AATATTGGAGTAGTAGTGACAACAACGACTTCAGTAGTAGGAACTGAACCAGTGGTGATTTCAGTGGTATAGGTAGTAGGAGTAGAACCTGTGATGGTTGTTGTGGATAATGGAGGAAGTTCAACTATAACTGTAGCTGTGACATTACCAGTTTCGGTTGGAGTGACAGTATAAGTTGTTCCGAAAGTTTCAGTCCAGGTGGAAGTGATAGTGGTGGTTTCGACAACACAAGTAGAATCTATGGTTGGGGAATCACCTGGAAAATTATCGGAAGTTATCAGGGTTTGATCAGGGTAAACAACAGTCATTTGGAATCTGGCATTTCCTCTATAATTAACATAAAGCACCTTCATTGGATAATATCCTTGTTGCAACGTGACAGTGTAATTGTATTCAGCGGCTGGGAATAAACCATTCAAAGCAGCTGAAGGACCAACAGCTTCTGTGATTTCGCTACAACAGTCAAAATCTTCATTGTTCCCGAAATATAAGGCAGCTGCATCATCAATATGGTTGAAGGTGATCTTATATTCACCAGTTTGTGAAGCATAAAAATATCCTGTAATTCTTAACCCGAAGTTATTGACATTAACAGTTTTTCCATAAAGGGTTTGATATGATGGGGTAGAAGGAACATCACCCTGACCAGCAGCGAATTGGAAGGTAAGATTTTTCACGTTATCCATTTGAACTGATGCTGTTTTTGAATCAATAACAGAAAGATAGTCAAGACAAGCAGTGTAGTTATCTGGACCAGCTCCACAATCGTTGAAATCATTATCAATATAATCAACATGATAACCATTATTGACATTCAGGATGGAACAAGAACCAACATTGATGGCATCTACTGACAAGAGTAGTAAAATCAAAGCTAAAAATTTACTCAACATTTGTCGATGATTTTTCAATTCATGATAGAGGTCTATTTATAATAAAATCAAAGTTGATCAATCAAGCCTGGAACCGACCCATTTTTCATAGGTTAATTCACTTTGTTATAGCTGGTTACCTTGTTAGGCAATTTTGTTTCTAATTCTGGTAATTCGTGAGTTCGACATTATGATCATGTCCCTGCACAGGATGGGTGGAACTCGGCAAAAATATATTTGAAATTTCGTCCCAAATGATCCGCTCGTTTCTGGAAAAAAGGTGGTATTAGGGGTTTATTGTATTTGATTGAAAACCTGAATTGAGTGTTTTGGCTGGAACTACTGAATATCCATATTGCAACTTAGGGATAGTACAAGGTTACATAATTCCATTGGAATTCCCACTGATATGACGATCTTTGGTACTTCCATGTTCACAAACCAATTGTCCGAGCCCTGTTACTATTTTCAGAGCTGTAATCATTTCAATCCTGAATTTTTGTGGACAATAGTCCAAATAAGGAGTTTTGGTGTCCGATTTGGGTAAAAAGCCCTTGAAAATATTTAAACTCCTTTGCACATACGTCTATTGAAGTCGATCGAATCTCCCTGAACAATAAAACTTTATATGCAATCCCTGGAATTCAGATTCATACATCACCAGTACAATTACGAAATTTTCGTTTTACAAAATTCTGGTAAACCAAATCTCGGTATGGTGTTGGTATTATGAACTTGACAATGAAACGATTGTTTTCCGTTTGTTCACCAATAAAATGGAATTCACAAAGCTTAAATTAGGGAACTGCCAATTTCAGATATGCCAAATGAATTACTCATTACTCAACCCCTCCTATCCTTGATAATTGGGATTTCAGTGATGCTTAGAGAAAGGTCTGAAGGGGGAGCTGCTTAACTCTGGTGATTGAAGACCGAATTGCTTTTGTTTGGGAAATTTCATTTCGTAATATTCCTTTCGATTCGTCATAATCCTTTCAACTCGTCACCATCATATCTGATTGTATTGCATAATTGTTAGAGGTTTATGAAACAATTGCTATTGTTGTCATTGATGTGTTTGGAGAAAAAGATGCCTTTGTTTCCTGGATAAATAAACCGATTCTTCAGTCGTGCAACATCATATTTTTTTATCTGATTGAGCGAGTATAACCGAGTCGATTACATGATGGCAGTAGGTTCACCTCTTCTAAGATGGTGTTGACGTTCAGACTGTACTCTATGAGCTACATTAATTGGTTGGAATTAGCCTTTGAATTCACTGACCTTTTAACTCAGTGACCATAAATTGATATTCTTCAGGTTTTAAGTCCAAAAATAGCACTTGAAGTTAAACTTTGTAAGCGGGAAATTCAGCCATATAGGGGTTTCCATTATTCTAAGGTGAACAATAGTACCCTCTTAATGATAGAAAATTATCCAGCTTCAATCGTGTCCACGGTTTTATTTTTTGACAAACCCTTCCGTAGTTATTACCAACCCTACATGTGCACAATAGTCGACTCATTTGGGACAGTCTTACTTCTTGTTCTCTCAGCCTATCAAATAGTGGCTTTCGTCCCGATAAATTTCATAAACATAACAGAATATTGTGTATTCTGCGGTCTATTCTTGTAAATTACTGGTTTTGGAAATAGTAGAGAATGCTGCGTTAATATTTACCTCTTTCGGTTGAAATCGTCAAACTGAAATCACATTTACGCTAGTTGAATGGATTTGCAATAAATTTGTACCACTGGGGTTGAAAAATTAATCAATTGGGAAATCAAGAATTCCCTTCACAATAGCGTAAATTACATTATCCATAAACTAATAGCGGAATGGAAATAGGTACTCAAAATTCCGGGTCGGCGATCAAGATATACTTCAGTTTCTATAGGAATTAAATTCAGGTTGTGGATTACTTTATAAGAAACCTTCAATATAATTTCTTAATGTCTTAATCAATTACACAAGACATTTGGGTAATCATGCTGATGAACATTAATTCCGGATTTGTAAATAAGACAGGAATTGAGAAACACAATTCCAGAGTCTTTTTCCGTGAGGAGATGCAGGTTCCTCGATAGATACTGGGTAATTTGGTCACCATGATTGAATTTTATTGTATGGAAACATATGCAGAACTCCTGGAATTCCACACCCATGAACTTATTATCTTACGGCTATAGTTGTTCCAAATGGGATGGTTTGGACCTTGTAAGTTTTGTATTGCATTTACGTACGGTTTTTTTTTTTTTGACAAATAAAATGCAACAATCGAGATGCATCAATTGTGGTGCATCGTGTGATTCCCTAATTGGGAAAAATCTTTCTTTTCCAAGTAATAATCCAATTGTTTGTCGAGTTGACCACAGACAATGAAGTCTTGACAGGGCTATTGACCTATTTAATTCGTAAATTATGCCTTTTGTTATTCCACCCCATCAACCTTTCCTTTCGGGCATGCACCGCTACCATCGAATTACATCGGAATCGAAATAGGAAAGTGATGCAGGTGTGCAGAAAGGGCTAAATTTAACTTTGTCCGGACTGTATAGCAAGCATTCCAGATATAATTCGTTTAAGAGCTATCTACCCATTTTCCGAGATTTGGATTTTTTTTAGTTTTTATTTTTGGGAGTGTTGATTTTTTGGGAGTTTTGATATTCTAGGAGTTTTGATTTTCTAGAAATTATTTGGTTTTTGAGAAAGTTTTACTGTTAGGAAAAGACTTATTTGAAATCTTGGTTTTCATTCGAGTAGCCCCGGATGTTAAAGCTGTTGTGGAGAATCTGATATACAATTTAAATGTATAGAGAATTATGGGCACCAGCCAAAGAAGTTGAATTATCAGAAACAACAAATGGTCTATAGCAGAGGCACTAGTTGTAAAATTCACCAATTGATGTGGACTGGATGTATGACATCGATGAATTTGCAAATCTATCGTATTGTAAATTCATGATACTGATAATCAGTTCCAATCAAAAACATGGAATTGTTCTTTGAAGGATGCCATACAGTCTATTACCTAAAGTATGGTCAGAAGAGACTGCGTCGTAACTTGACTGTTCTGGGATTTTCTAAAGCATATCACCAGGAGTCTGTGCTTATTTGTCATGGGGTATGAAACTCCAGATTTCTCTTGTGAATGATATCAACTAGCAAATTCTTGACTCGAAGGAAGAATGTATCAGTTCGAAGAAACCTCATAAGTAATAAAGATTTCTATGAAACTATCCTACAGTAAACTACTACTCAGAATCACAAATGACTTGTTCCTACGTACCGACTCTTCAAAAGTACACAATTCCGCCATAATAAAAACTGATCACCTGTATGATCACGTGACTCTTCATACAACATATTTTTTTAACTCGCGCTGAGGTACTCACTTTAGGTACACAACTTGATGAGTTACTTATCAGCAATAGGACCTTTAGGGTTGGTATTAGTTTATCAACTATACCAGTCCAAGGCCTCAGAAATAGATACCACTATCTTCGAACTTAATAATCAAGTCAAAGCTCTTGAAACCCAATTACTGGAGAAATCAAATCAACTCGAAGCTTTTCAAGATCATAACAATTTAATTAGCACTCAAGATAATAAAGACCACAAGGATAAAATCAATGGTTTGAACAAAGAGATTGAGCAGTTGAAAACCTCAAATGATTCTTTGAATGATAAAATCGTACAACTAACCAAGACCATCAATGATAATGAAACGATATCACGAAAGTATCAAGAAGAATTATCTTTCTTAAAGGAAAAGATCAAGTTGTTGGAAATTGACAAGAACAAATTGGATTTGGATTATAAAATCAAACTCAATAACAAGATCGAAGAACTTATAACTGAAAAGGACTTGAAAATCGAATATTTAAATAAAGCCATTAATGATATAACTAATGATAGAGATGGGAATCTTGATTTACATGTCAAATTGATTGAAAAATCCGAAAAAGAGATCAGAAAATATGAACAGGATTTGTTATCAGCCAATAACAAGTTACAAACATCAAGTAAAACCATTGAACAATTGGAAATAGACAAGACTTTATTATCTGATAAAATAAAAGATATCGAAACTGAAACCGAAAAGATGGTTGAGTTGAAAAAACTTGAAATCGAAGTTGCAGACCTCAAAAAGACGTTGAAAATTGAAGATTTAAACGAAATAAACCAAAAATTGAACGATTTTGATAGTTTGAAGAGTAAATACAAAGAAATCGAAGATTCAAACAAATCAACAATTGACGAATTATCTGATTTGAAGAACGAATATGATATTTTGGATAACAAATTCAATGAATTGACATTGAAATATGATGAATTGAATGAAGTCCACTTATTGAAACTGTCAAGTCAAATAGAACAGGATCACGAAGAATTGGTCGAACTCATACAGAAAGTTTTCAAAGAAACTGAAAACATTGTTGACGAAGCATTCCCGGATTGTCCATCACCACAGGATAAAGTGCAAAAAATTGCCGATTCGTTGCTGAAAATCGAAGAATTAAAGGCAAATCTCGACGCCAAAGATCACACTATTACAACCATGAACACAAAAAATGCCAAACTTTCAGAAGAAATAGAGGTTCTTGAAAACGAACACCGTAAGAAGATCAGTGAAATCGAGAAGCTTGATCAAGAGATCAAACGAATGGAAGATAATGAAAATGAGGAAATAGCCAGTCTCAAAACCACCATATCAAAGCTTGAAACTGACCATAAAGCCATATCTGAAACAAATCAATCATTAGAGGCTTCAAATAAAGAATTGAAAGAAAAAATCGATGAAACCAATAAGACCAATAAACAATTACTCCAAGCTAGAGATGTCTTAGATAACATGATAATAACTGAAGATTCAAAGAAGAAAAGTTTATTGGATGAAATTGAATCTTTGAAACAACAATTACAAGAATCTAAAGAAAAGGCAGATAAAGAAGAAACCCAAAGAATCAACAGTGAAACTGAGTTGTCTGAAATCAAACAACAACTTGAGGGAAAGAATAAAATCATACAACAATTAGAAAAAGTCCTCCATACGTAGAAACTTTTTCTCCTTATTGACTAAAAATCTGCGTGTTGCGGGTCGATATGGACCCCCCACCATCTCATCAACTGCCCGCGAACCTTCCGCGAAAAAGACTATCTTTAGTTTACTTTTAATCTCGTATGTATGTAAGGGGTAAACATCTCATCAATAAACTTCTAAATAATGAAATTTCTCTACTTCTCTTACACTGGACTCATAGTTAACATTTGAATATAATCCATGGTCAGTGAAAAATTCCATTGAAAAAATGTCTCAAAGCGGAATGAATTTCAGTCTCGAAACGTTGCTAAAATCTCAAAACAGGTAAAATAACGCAACTACATTCGTTTCATTAGAATTGTCACCCGTACTTATAGAATTAATAGACGACAATCATAGACTATTGGGACTACCTTCACAGCCAAGTTCCTCCCGTCAAACAATCAAATAATCATTCAAACGACACTGTAATCGTGGTGTACTTAAAAGGACAGCATAGCAGGTTAAACGACATAAGGATTTTCAAAGGTAAGTGGAACTGTTCTGGGAAGAGTTAAATTAATAACTTCAACAAGCAGAAACAGAAGGTCACCAGGATCCATCCACCTGAACAGTGAACAACAAGATCAATAAATTTGTTGACTCAAATTATCAGAGGAATCATTATTGACATTTCTTAGATAAGGAGTGCAAGTATTAAATCTTCCCCGTTATGGCTTCATTTTCCCTGACAACTTTATCCCGGTCATCGTTCTCCCCTTCAAGAAACAAATCCATATCATCCAGTCATTCCAATACCTCAATTAAGACCATCAAGCAGAATATCCCTACCATGTCCAATGATAAATATATCAAATCCATACTAAAGAATTTCAAGAAATTAGAGATCGGATTAAACAAATTCAATTCTAAGCATGATGCTTATTCTACCAATCTTCTTAGAACCATTCTTTTACCATTTTTAAGGATCGACTATCTCAGAAAAGAAAGTATAAACACCAAAACCTATAAAGGCTTAGTTAATATCTTTTTATCATTATTATTGAAATGGTGGTCTTCATTATTGAATTATCTTATTAACAACAACTTATCTAGTATAGACCGGTCGGTATATTTAGAGTGTATTTCCAGAATAGTGGCACGGAAAGAATGGTTTGAAGGAGATGATAAATCTAAAGAGAGTGATACTAATGACAGGAATTATGATGAACTATTAACATTGACTTTGGATTATTCTATGAATAAACTCATCACTATTAAACATTTACCGTTATCTATATCGGCATTCATTGGTAAGATCTTTGCATATTCATTTTTCCGAATACCTGATATTTCCCATGCCCTTTTATTCCTTTTAAATATCAAACAAATGGTTTTTGAAGAGAACAATAAATCTTTCAATCACCTTAAAGTCTCGGAGGCAGAATTACAGCTTTTATATAAGACTTTTCCATCGCATCTTCATTACATAATAAATTTCAAAGGTTTAACAAATTTGAAACTAAAGAACCAGAAATCTTTCTTTAATTGTTTGGTGCCACCTAAGAATGATGTTAAAGGTATAAAGAATCCTAATGGTAGTTGGGTAACTCGATGGTTCAATTCCGATTCCGATATTTTTAATTCTTTCTTGAATCATTACCTCGAAATATCCTCCATATTTTTACCTAATTTATCTGAATTATCCCCAAGTTTATTGATAAATCTACCCGGATTAAACATCATTTTAAGTCATGTGTATCAAATTATGAAACTTTCCATTAACAAGATTTCGGCCAACAATTCAAAGATTAAGTTCCAATTCAATAATAAAGGTAATGAGTTCACGGAGAAAAGTAACAGAATTTACTATAACTCCATATTTAAAATCTTCAGGACTATCAGAGATTTCAATCATTTCAATAAGAATCGATCTTTAGTGGATTTTATTGAAACTATGTTGATAAATTTCGGGAAAAAAGTATCAATCTATGATTTCAATAAGAATTCTTTGATTTTGAACGTTATTTTTGAATTCTTGAATCATTTTGAACATATAAATTGGAATTTCTGGTTAAATTCTATCTATTTAATGATGGAAAATTCCAACCACATTGAAATACTTTTGAAAAATTTATCTTTCATCTTCAATACTTGGAATTATTTACCGGATTTTTATTCCCAATCATTTCAGAAAGATATTGGAACCAATTTCTTATCGGATTCAGAGATAAAGGATAGTTTTGTCAATTGGTTGATATCTCCCAAGATGTTTATGAAACTTTTCCTTCATTATAATTCCATTGTCAGGAACTATTACATACGATTATTGATTTGGAGAGTTGTAGGAATCAATAATTTCGAATCGTCAGTATCGATAAAGAATTCTTTAAAGGTAGAAAATCATTTAAATCAATGCTTCAAACACCTTCAACAGTTTTGTCAAACCCATAGTGATATTGATTTCAAACCTGATAATCCTATGATTAATAAGAAATTCACCATCGTTCCCATACTGAAGGCAGATGTTATATTCGAGTTCAACGATGAAGAGAATTTGACACTCTCGAATCCAAGTGAAATCAAAAAGACTCATCCTTATGAAATCTTTGATGAAACAATTTACTCGTGTAATAACTCCTTGACAGAAGTCAATGAAGATAAACGATCAAATTCTTTGGTTAGTTCTATAGGGAAGATTTTCAAACTTCTTACTACTGATGATAAAGAAGAAGATTTGAAACCTCCAAAATCAAGTTCTTTGACTTCATTATCCAACCTTTCTTTGACTTCGAGGTCTTCGAGTCCTTCTTTATTATCATTCAATTCAACCCCAACTTCTTTAACTGACTTATCAGACAATTCCAGTGTGTCTTTGAAAAATGATGAAAAACTTTATACTTTCAAATTATCGCCAGAAATCATTCGTCCTATTTATAAAGTAGACCTTATCAATGACCAAGAAGCTATTATGGAGAAAATATATCTTATGAATACCAGAAGATTCCCATCCAAAGTCGAATATTTACCTCAACGTCCAAGGATTCCCACAGTATCGATATTCATCAATTCTGATCTTTACAACAAATTTTTCATCAGCACAGAAAATATATTGATCAATGATCCTAAGAATGAACCTTATATCACCGACAACTTTGAAACATTACATTTCCCAAATAAGATCATTGATATGATGAATCTAGGAAAATCAATATTTGAATGGAATTTGATGGTGGAAGAATTTGAAACCTTCCTTATTAATAAGATAGAAAACGATAACACCATGAATACGTTAGATGAGAGTGATTATTTCAAAAAGCTTATTCCTTTATTATCTATTGATAATTCAAAGTCATTGAATGCTGCATGATTCGAGTCAGAGATGCGTCAAATGTGACATAAATACATAAATACATAAACATAATCTAATCTTGTTTTTCTACCTTGATGGTAACGTTTTCAAGCATTTGATTTGAAAAGAAGTATAAACAAGTCAAAGCACTTACAGATACTCCAAAAGACCAAAATATCGAAACTCCAATTATCATTGAAAGGTAATAATATTGAGTGATATAGAATCTGAACCCTTGATAATTCACATGGAATTCTAAAAATGTTTCATAATTATTGATAATAATATCTTTAGATATAGTGACCATGACATCTTGTTTGAAGTCCAAATCCTTGGTCGATACTGATGTAGCTTTAACTTTAAGATTGGTATTTTTATTGATATTGGTAAGAAATGGAGGGGTCCAGAACCTCAAATTATATGGGATAAACCAGTTATTCTCGTGATATAAATATCTAGCATCACAATTAAGGATAAATTGACTATCATGAACTTGACCTGATAATTGAACATTTGTAAATAACGGATATATATCATCATTACGATTCCTATTACACAAAATCTCCATATTTACGATGACGTCATAATTCAAAGTAGGATAAAATTGGGATTTATAATACTCTAAGTCAACAGAAGCATGTAAAACATGATCTTTAACTCCTTGGAAATGTAATGGGATTTTTATCACAGGATTAGGTATTAATGTATTATAAAAAGTGACATATGATATTACTGAAAATGGCACAAAAGCCATCATATAAAATCCTATACTTAATACATACAACCATCTTCTGACCACTGTAGCCCCTAAATGTTTACTAAACAAAGCCATGCCTATTCAATGGATAGGTTGAATAGTGGAGTAAATGTATGTAAGTTTAAGAATCTCAAAATCGCGGAAGTGGACAAAGTAAGGATGACTCGTCACATTGCAGTTTTGCACTGTGACAAGCCTATTGATATAATTTATGACAAGCATGGGGATTTAGGTGATTTGTGTTGTAAACTTTTAGATGATACTGGTACCATCAAGTTTCCAAATGTCAAATATGACGTTTTCATACCAGGGGAATCCGTGGAAATAGAAACGGAGTTATCCAAAATATATGTAGATTTGTTAACTAAAATCGAAAGTAAAGAGATTGTGGGGATTTTCTTAAGTGGTTCAAGAGAGGACTCATTCGCCGAAGATTTGTGGATTAAAAAGCTTGATGATTTCTTAAAGAAGGTCTTCCAATTAGAAGATTTCCCTATCAGTGGAGTATGCTTTGGTCATCAAATCATTTGTAAAAATTTAGGTTTCAAAGTTGGTAGAAACCCTGAAGGTTGGGAAATCGGTACTACTACCATCAATTTAAATACTGAAATCTTTAGTATTGGTAAATTACAATGGATTAAATTTTTAAAAGATGAATTAAAAGTTGAAAATCATTTGACTGAACATTTAAATTTAGCAGAAATTCATGCTGATGTTGTTTTTGGATTAAATTCATCGTCATCAAGTATTTCTAATGCTACTTCAAGTAAATTCATATCCATCGGATCAACTTCAAAATGTTCAATTCAGGGTATTATTACTGAATCAGGACCTATCAAAGTATTGACTTTCCAGGGACATCCTGAATTTAGTAAAGAGGTTACTTTAGATATGCTTAATAATGTTAAGAACTTAGGATTCTTAGATGCCAATGCATTCGAAAAATCATGTTATAATACCAATATTTTAAATAATCAAGGTCCAACTATTGGTAAATTCATAGCGGAATTTTTCAATACCTTGGGTTAATCATCTTGGATTTAGCGGTTTTTTTTTTGCACCCTCATTAACGTCACTCTCATTATAGACTGTTGATTTAATCACATGAATAGATATTTATAGATAACACTCTTTGTCGCGACATATGCCGGACATATTCCAGAGGTGCGTCAGAAGTTCCGAACCATCGCACATAACATATTAAATTATTCATATATTCATTAATCAAATAAAGACTTATCAGGAGAAACAATAGAAAATCCTTGTAATTTACCTCCTTTAGATGTAAGCACATTCAACTTTTCATTCTTATCTTTGTCATCATCTTTCTTTCCTCTCAATAATTCATTTTGTCTAAGAAGTTTAGATTCCATGGTTTTCATTTTATCATTCATAAGCTTGAGCTCGTAGTTATGACTGTTATTGAGTTTGGTAATAACATCTCTTAATTCGTCTCTTTGGGCTTTCAAATTGGAAATTTCTTCTTGAGGTGATATTATTTCTTCATCTATGTTTGACACTAAAGAATATTCTCGTTCATTGTCTGACATCGCCAGGAGATTCCTTTGGTGATTACTATTAGTTTCGAGTTGTTTTTGTAATTGTGGGATAATGTTGGATTTTAATTCAGTATTTTCTTTGACCAACTCATTGTATTTGTTCATGAGATCCTTATCTATGGAGACATCATTATGATCAGTTTCATTCAATTTATCATTTAATTGATTAACTAAATCATTCTTGATGATTAATTGTCGGTAAAGTTCAGTCTTTTCATAGTTCAACTTCAACGGAGAAGGACTTTGACCATTTTCCATCAATAATGCATGTTCTTCAGCTATAAATCGGAGTCTTCTTTCTTTGGTCAATTTATCTTGTAAATCATTGATTATTTTACTCTTATTTCTGACTTCCTCGTCATCAATAGGTTTGACAGAACTGTTACCTGATTTTAATCTTGATTCTAAAGTCAATTCTCTTTTGATGGATGAAGCTAATTCGGTGGTGACCAATTCTAATTCGTTCAAGAGCTCGTTGTTGGCAGTCATGATACCTAATTCTTCTTTGGTGAACAGAACGGATTTCTTCTTACTGGAAACCGAAGAAACTGAGTTTCTATTCTTCTTACTACTACTGACGGAAGAAATGGAATTTCTAGTATCACTTCTTGTTACGGAGTTTCTCTTCTCGCTACCTCTAGATAATCTTTTGAAGAAACCTTTGGTCTTGGATGATTTCCTGGAAATCTCAATGTCACTATCACTGTCAATATCCACGTCGTGTCTGAAATTGTGGAAAGCAGTGTTTTTTGTTAACGATTTGAAATTTTTACTCTCTTCACGAACTATAGGTTTTCCTGAGTTATCTAAATCTTCAACTGTATCGTCAGAATCATGATCTGGTGGTGATGGGAGACTCTTTGTAGTTTCAGGACTTTGAGCAATGGAAGATTGACGGGGTTTCTCGGGAGATCTATACTTTTCAGGTGATTTTTGTGGTGAAAATTCGTTGGCGGTATAATAAACTTTTGATTCGTTAGCATTGGCTCCTAAGGATTTATAGGTATCTTGATGGAACTCATCACTACTACTTTTAACCATTGATTCTCTGGTTGGTTCATTGATGTTGAAAGACGGACTAGTTGGTTCATCAGCTTCAGTTTCAATTGGAGATTTAGGTTCTTCTTCAATATCAATTTCATTGAATAAATTCAACTTACGTAATCTCATAGAATTAGATTTCTTGATGGTGGATTTTCTAGAAACAAGTTCACCATCTTCATCATCGAATTTATAAACAACATCTTCATCTGGTTCATTTTGAGAATTTGATTTCGAAGGAGGTCCAGTATCTTCATCTTCTTCCTCAACAACGTTCATTAAGGAATCATTGGAGCTTTGGTTTACTGGGGTGGAAGTGTTGCTATTGTAGGAATACATTGGCATTTGTCCATTCATTTGTCCGTTCATCTGCCCATTCATTTGTCCATTAGGCATCATTTGTCCATTCATTTGTCCCATTTGTCCCATTTGTCCCATTTGACCGTTCATACCATTGGGCATCATTTGTCCCATTTGCATTTGATTCATTTGCATTTGGTTCATTTGCATTGGGTTCATTTGTCCATACATATTCATTTGATTATAATTCATCTGACCCATTTGTCCATTAGGCATCATAGACATTTGCCCATTCATCATAGGCATTTGACCCATATTTGGCCCTGGCATTTGTCCATTGGGCATTTGTCCCATATTAGGTGATCTCATAGACATTGCTCTAGGTCCTTGTTGTTGTGGACCTGGTGGACCCGATCTTAAACTCATAGCTCGAGGATCTCCTACTCCCAAACTCATGGTTCTAGGTCCTCCCAAACTCATGGCTCTATCATTCATAGGGTTATTACCTGCCAAACTCATGGCTCGAGCACTATTAGCCAAATTCATTTTCATCTGATGATTCATCTGTTTCCTATATTGCACGTTATTGATCTTATTAGGGTTAGATGGATTCCCATTATTCCCCAACGTAGGGATGATAGGGGTTGTGTCCAAGGTTTTACCTCCTGTGGAGTAAGGTCCTCTACCCCTAATATGTGTTATATCATCCAAAGATACATTATTACCAGTCAAATACTGAATATCTAATCCTTGTTCTTCATCAAAACCTCCCATCTCAGCATCTTTTCTTCTAAAGATCTTTGACATGGTTTTGGTTGATTGGGATGTTAATGAAGCTTTCCTTGAACTTGAATATTCGAAATTATTCAAATTCAAATGGGAATCTTTAAATGCTGCTGCCGTACCTGCTTCCATGATTAGTTATTAATGGTAGTAGAATGAGGTGAAATTATCTTAAATGGAAATGTTTCAGGTGACTAATGTTATAATGATTTGACGTAGAAGTTATGATAACTAGTTACGTGATTGTTTGTACGATATGTGCGTTGTTATAGTTGGAAATAAATAAAATCACTGTAGTGAAGGTTAAAAAATTTTATGTGAAATTTGAGATTTGGGATTTTTAGCGAGATGGTTAGATATTGAGTTATTTACCGTCGGAGGACCTGGAAATCAGGTACGGTCGATAGTTAAGACAAATAGAGGTGATTAAGAGGATTAAAACGATGAAATTATGATGTTTGGATCATAAATATTGATAATAGATTAGATGTATTGTTGAAAGCACCGCGTTTTGAATCTAGAATTGGCGTCGTTCACGCTGCGCCCATGGTCGGTGGTAGAGATTGTGGTAGAATAGTGAGATTTTTATACCATTTCCCGTGCTACTTAAATTTGATTATGAACATTGAATTTTAGTTACTTTAGTACTGTACTAATAACGATCTCCTAATGGTGAGGATCACTAATCTTCATGATCACTATCCTTCATGACCCCTAGTCCTCGCGATCTCCTATCACTCCAATTATCCGGTATCTCTTATGGAAGAATTCTATCCATTTGTCAAGACTAGCTAACTGTTTCTCACTTAAATCATCTATATACCAAGTATTATTGATACCATCATCTTTAAGTTTATTCAAAGCCAACAATCTTGTAGACTCTTTACCTGCCAAAGCATTATAACTCTTTTCAGGGCCATAACTCTTAGCATTAGCCAGAACATCATAGATCAATCCTTTGATCCCCACGTATATCTTTTCATTAGTACGACCGTTGAATACCGATAACTGAGATCGGGTCATAATAGGTAATCCTATAACATCTAATTGATCATTATACTGTTCAATTTCTTCGTCTACTGGTCTCATTGTAGAACTTGGGTGGGTTCACCTAAGATTAAATCCCTGTGAAAGATGCGCATTTTTCATGTCTATCACTGAAGAGATAGGGAAGTTCCCACCTAAGATAAGGAAGTTATTCCCTGACAAATTACCATTACCTTCATTCCCACCATCTGACTATGAGTACCATCTTCGAAAAACTCGAGATATTTCCCCCATAACACCGTTGAAACCACTTTTAACCCAGGCGGCTGCTTCATTACCTCAACCATCACCATCACCAAAAACCAAGTTACAAATCGATAGACAACAAAAGAGAGAACGTGAAAGTAAACGAATAGCCAGTTATTTAAGACAGTTGAATGATTATCACCAACAACCAGTGATTTCTGATCCTAGTAGAACAGTATTCGTATCTCGTTTAGATTATAAAGTGACTGAGATTGATATATCCAATGCTTTGGGGAAATATGGAGATATAGAGTCGGTCAAGATCATCAGAGATAAGAACGGGAAGTCTCGAGGTTATGGATTCATAGTTTTTGTGACAGAAACCAGTTCCAGATCATGTGTTCAAGAATTAAGTGCTACAGGATTGAAGATAGAAGGCTTTGAGAGGAAGATCCTAGTTGACATCCAAAGACATGGTGCTATGAAGACGTGGAAACCTCGAAGATTGGGTGGTGGTTTAGGAGGAAGAGGATATACTAAAACCAATAATTATTCATCTGCTGCTTCAAGTGGCCGAAGATTGAACTTAAATCCGTATCCTACATTCCCAAAGTCTGGTCAAGCATTTTCCCTGTCGTCAAATTATTCAGCTCCATCTTATCAATCACAAACTTCAACTCAAGCCTACTCTTCATATTCATCATATTCCCTGTACCAACCCATGGAAAGAGTCGAGAGAAGTATCAGAGACAAATATTCCAAATATAACTACTGATTCTTCATTTAGCATAGCATTATCCCTAATATATAATAAGTAAATAGAATTTTCAAGATCTCAGGTCATAGGGCCAGCACTCCGCGAACCATCTCTCCCCATCGCAATTTCATCTTCCACGCGACCATGTCCGACAGCAAAAGGATGAAAGGTGACGATAATGAAGTTTCTTCTTTAAAGGAAGAGATCTTCAAATATATAGACGCCAAGTTTGATGTGTTACAACAACAATTGACAGATTTGAAAGCTCAAAAATCATCTCAAGAGCATCAATCTCCCGTGAGTAGACCAGACACCAAACTGTCTGAAGTACCACTTTCTGTAACTACACCATCCCAAAAACCTCCTTTACCTCCTAGAGATAAATCCCCAGCACCAGAAAAAGCTTCGAAACACACTTTCGGAGGTACATCATTCAATTTCAAAGTCACTCCTACAAATTCCATTATCGAACCAAAAACTCCCAAAGATACTCCCCAAGTTAATTCGAAAGATACTCCTAAAGATAAACCAGTATTTGGATCAACTACTTCATTTGCTGAACGTCCTAAAACGAACATTTTTGATACGGGGTCCAGTTTTGGATCTAACACCAAATTTTCAGGAGCTTTCCAGAATTCCTTGAAGAAAAGATCATTCTTGGACGTGGAACCTGAAGCTACCCAAGAAGATAAAGAAGAAGAAAAAGAGCAGGAGAAGGAGAATCCCGTACAATACAAGCAAATCGATTTGACCTTAGTTGAAAAGCAAACAGGTGAAGAAAACGAACAATCACAATTTTCATCCCTTTGTAAATTATTCGAATTAGAGTTCGAAAAAATCAGTGAAGGATGGAAAGAAAGAGGCTTAGGAACCATCCATTTGAATCAATCCACAGAAAAGAAGCTTAGATTAGTCATGCGATCCAATGGGTTATTGAGAGTGATTTTAAATGTCCCAATTTTCAAAGAAACTGAAGTTTTCAAAGGCTTGGAATCTTCTTTGAGTCCAGACAAATATCTTAGATTCAATACTATCAAAGATTCTAAACCTGTACAATATTTGTTAAAGTTCAGTAATGCCAATTTAAGAAATGATTTGTTCGATAAGATCGAATCTTTGAAGAGTGAATTATAAGACTTTACAAGTGTATATTATCTAATAAATGCTATACTACAGATGGTGGTACCTTTAACTCCGCCGAATTCGAAAGTTGGATATGTAATTTGGTCCCAAACTCTCAATCCGTGACTGGTCATGATTTTAGTTAATTCTTCTTCAGTAAAATTACAGGATGTGATCAAGAAAATGGTTCCTGGTCTCATGAGCTGTATGACTTTCTCTGGGTATATGTCCATGCCGATTTTATTGTCTCTAACAATATCTTGGTTCAAGGCAATGGCATCAAAAGTTCCTTTATCGAGAATGATGTCATAAGTTTCGTCCAAGGTTTCATTCAACAAATCTACTTGTTGGAATTTTATATCTGTTTGGTATTTTGTATTCAATTTTTGGGCAAAGTCAATGGAATCTGGTGAGTAATCAATTCCTTTCATGGATACCTTGACCTCAACTTCCAATTCTTCCAGGAATTCTTCCGTCATTTGATATAATAAATGGCCATTCCCCGTTCCTAAATCAAGAATCAGTAATTCTGTTTTATCTATATCCCCATTGTTTATCTTTTGGATCAAAAATTCAATCATTTTAGACTCAGCATCAGAATCATCAAACCAACATTCTCCCTCATCTTCGGAGTTTTCCTGGAAATTGTTGAGTTCCTTCTTATAGAAATTATTCCAACTATTTTATTAGTAAGTGTTCGGTGAGTCATCAAAGCTTTAGTACATACTATTCTTCAGTCCCCAACTTAGAGGAATTAAGTCTCAAGTCTTCCATTGCGATGGGATTTCGCAGCTGTCAATTTGATCTGAACCATAGTCTGAAAATTATAACCATGAATTCACCAAATATCGGCATTATTGGAGTATGGAGCCCCGTCTTAATCACTTGCACCAAAAGAGTTATTCCATTTGTCATTTTTCATAAGAATTTTTCCGTTTTAGGTTTAAAACCGGTAGATAAACTTGCTTACTGACAAATGCGGTGTTTAGCCTAATCGGGAAGGAGAGGCTTCCGTCAAATTGTCATGATTACAAATGGCTGCAAATAAATACCATGGAAGTTACATGGATAATTTAAAAATATGTCAAATTCTTCAGTGGTACAGACCGAATCTGAGCTGATCCAATCCAGAGATTCGGAGAAAAATTCTAATGATGTGGAAGAGGTTACCTATAACATTGATAATACATATAATCAAGGATATTCATATGTTATCTTGTTATCAGTATTCTTGATCTCCTTCTGTTCTTGGGGAAACAACGCTTCTTTTTCAATCTATTTGGCACATTATACCAAGTACGACACCTATGATGGTGGTTCCAAATTAGGTTATGCCGCTTTGGGTGGTCTTAGTGTAGGTGTTGGATTCATGTTATCACCCATCATCAACATAGTCATTGGTAAGATTGGGATCATTGGTATTTTGTGGGTGGGAAACATCTTACAAACCCTAGGTTTGGTGTTAACTAGTATTTCTTCTCATCATCAAATCTGGCAATTGTATGTGTGTCAAGGGATTTTGCAATCTATTGGTTTAGCATGTTTAGGACTTCCAAGTTTCACAATTCTTCCTCATTGGTTCAGAAATGACGAGAAGCGTAAATTCCTTTCAACAGCTCAAGGTATATTCATGTCTGCTACTGGATTCGGTGGTTTGACTTACGTTCTTGGAATGCAAAAGGTCATTGAAATCGATGGAGTTAGATGGGGACTTAGAGCTCAAGCTATCATCAACTTTGGCTTACTTTCAGTAGCCATCCTCTTAATGAAGGTCAAGTCAGCTCAAAAAGTCAAGAAACTGTCTCAACTAATAAACATGGATATTTTGAAATCTTCAAGTTTCTACTTGTCCTTATTATACATCTGTTCAGGGATATTTGGATATTGTGTATGTTTATATTCCATGGATTCTTACGTGATTTCAATGGGATATTCTGATAATCAAGGTTCTATCGCTTCAGCTATTTTACTTGTAGGTACAGCTTTAGGTAGACCTGCTATGGGATACATTTGTGATCAAATAGGTCCAATCAACACCTCCATTATTTGTTACATCATTACAATCATATTTATTTACGGAATGTGGATTCCTGCCAGATCTTATGCTACCATTTTGGTCTTGTGCTTCATTCTTGGTTTCCTCATTGGTACTGTTCTTATCACTATGGTAGTAGTGCAATTGAGACTTTTAGGTGGACAACTTCAAAGATTAAACACATTTTTCCTGATGACATTATTCCCATTTGGTATGGTGGCCATAGTGGCAACATTGATAGCATTTTCGGCCACTAAAGATCATGCTTCTCCAACCCAATTCCTTTACTGTATAGTCATTATAGGATGTATGTTCATAATCTCCATCATAGATTTGATTATATTGAGAGGTTACATCATTTCCAAAGATCAGCTTGTTGGAGATGCAGAATTAGAGCAAGATGAATACCTTAAGACCTCCGTTCCCATAAAATTATGGGTTAAAAACATCTTTACATTAAGACACAACAAACGTTTATAGATTTTGCTTTTCGGCTCATCACTTACAAGCAAACTGATTGATCACATATTGAAGCAGGTGAATGAATTCCTCATGGGGATAATTTTGAAACTCGTCCAAAAATGCATACCCTATATTCATACCAGTGCTGCAACTCACTATTGTGAGGCTAAAGGTTGCACTCACTCCAAGACATTGACTACATATGACATCTCTGACATTCCAAGGACCATTGGAGAATTCATGGTACCCCAAATTTGAAATTTCAACTATATATGGCTGTTTAATATGAGTTTTGTTTGGTTTTACTACGTCTCTGATTTTTGTAAGGTTTAGAAGACCTAACCATTTGAAACCTATTTGAGACTTGATTTCCTTATTTAGAGATACATTGAGCCTCTTCAGTTCAGGTAGTATTTCCTCTAGCTCGAACAAAGGTTTCATTTTCCATTCAAATAACGTTACGAAATTGGAAAACTTCAATTCAGACTTCAACTCCGGATGATATCTCCTGCCACTGATATCTATAGCGCTAACAGTCGATTTGGGTTTCTGAAGAGTGACCTTCATGGTTCTCTGGAGACAATAGTTTACAGCTACAGTCAAAAATGATGTAAGTGTTGTTCCTTCACTCCTCAAATTTTTCACCAAACCCTTCATGGTGACATCGTCTATCTTAATGAGTTTCAAATTGGTCTTGTAAGTTTTCATGTACTTGGATTTAAAAAATGGAAATTTGATGAAGTTTGGATAAGTCCCATCAGTAGCTCTAGAAACGATATTTTTCACCATTTCAGGGCATAATTCCCTTATTACAAGCTTCGTTTTTAGGAATATGTTCAGTTTGTGTATGTCAGTCATCTGATCTAAAGGTAATGGAAAATGAAAGTTGTGGCCAAACTCAAACAAACATTCTTGAAAGTCCAATTTTGTACCATCGAGTTCATCAAGGATGCTTAGTACCTCTTTATGAAAGTTGGCACCTGCTTCTCCGTCAAAAAAAGTATGGTTGTTATAAAACGTAAGGTAATTATCGGCATAAAGAATCACTCTCCAAGTGACTTTGTTGGTGTCATTTTCAATTAGCGTATTATTAATATAATTAAGTTCTAAAGTAGAATAATTTCTATCCACTACTTCTACTACATCTTTGAATTCAATTATTTCTACCGGACTGACTCTGTAGTTCTTATAATCGTACTTGATATCCCTTTCAATCTCCCTCCCAGTACTGCGCTTGGATCTGTTGATAGTCAACGCAAAAACAGGGTATCTCCCTATCATCGTACGTAACACATTTGATAGAAGAACGGTATCCAAAGATTTATTGTATACTCCTGTCACATGAAAGTTGCTATAGAAGTTACTAGCCCCATGAGCTATATGAAAACGTTCTATAAACAGCGGAAGTCTTTCTGGTTTCTTGATGCTGACCTTTGGCTCGTTAGACATCCTCTTCCGTCAAATTTTAAAGAGATAGTATGGTAGTTATAGAGAAATAATCATGGGACTCACATGATCGGGACATCGATGCCACTTCTTGGATCTACATGATCTTAAGTCCGTCTTGGATTCGGTCATACCTTCGTGGACCTTACTTTACGTCCGCCTCACCAATATGAAGTCTTAGATCTGTATCTATACCTTGGTCATCGAGATAGGTGCATCAAGACACATGACACCACATATTATCTAAGAATTAGTTCGAAATTATTGTTTCAGCCTTAAGGATGAACATCTGACTGTCCATAAGTCTCTGGGTTCTTCTAGGTAAGGCAGTCAACCGCTAACTTTGGTGATGTTCTTCAACCTATATGGCGCGCCCCACCAAAATAAAACGCGCTGTATCATCATGACCGAACCAGTAGATTCACAACTAGATGAGAAGATCCAACTTCAATATCGTGTTTGGAAGAAGAATACTCCGTTCTTATATGACTATATTTCCACATATTCATTACTTTGGCCATCACTATGTGTTTCGTTTTTCCCTGATCTCGAAACCACTGTGGAAAGTCAAGAGGTCTTATTACAACGATTACTCTTAGGAACATTCACTTTGGGTCAATCAATCGATAGCATATCCATGTTACAATTACCTTACTATAAGAACCTCAATCAAAATTTGGATATTGATCGTTTAAATTTCAATCCTGATAAACTAGAATTCGAATTAGGCAAGGTATCGAAGAAGAAGATGTCGGTGTTGCAAAAGATAAATCATCTTGGTGATGTTAACAAATTAAGGTACATGCCTCAAAATGCAGATATAATTGCTAGTGGTAACAATATGGGGAATCTTGTCATTTATAATCGTACTAAGCATTCTTCGTATAACACCATCAATACCGATATTAACACTCCAGATTTAATACTAGGAGAACAAGAGATAGATGAAAATCAGGATATCTATGCCATTGACTGGAACAGACAAATAGAAGGAATGATAGCGTCAGGTAAAATGAATGGGAGGATTGACATATACGATATTAAATCTCAATTCAAAGATAAAGATAATACCACCATTAAACCTATAAAATCTATATTGAATGTAGCTGGTGTTAATGATATAGAATGGGTACGTCAACATGACTCCATTTTTTGTATAGTTGACGAAGCTGGGCACTTGAAGTTGATAGATATGAGAACAGACAGCCCCACTATAGATAAGAAGATCTTACCTAATGCCATCAATTCCGTCAGCATCAACCCCATGAACCAACAATATTTATCCACGGGTGATAGTAAAGGAGTTGTAGAAGTATGGGACATAAGGAACCTCGATCAAGGAACTTCTTTGTTCAACCTTTCTCATCATACAGATTCAATAACGCAAGTCAAATGGCATCCTAAATTCCACAATATTTTGGCATCAAGTTCTTCTGATAAATTCCTCAAGATTTTTGATGTTGACAAACAACCTGATCCATTGATCTTCAACCATGGAGGTCATATGTTGGGAGTTAATGATTTTGACTGGTCTTTACATGATGATTGGATGGTTGCAAGTGTAGCTGACGATAATTCTCTTCACGTGTGGAAACCATCAAAAGAGATTGTTAAGAGTTATAGTTAATACGTATATATTTTTATGACTTGAGTTCCTCTACGATTCTAAGCTTTAGCGAAAAGTTTTTCGATTTCAGTAACTGATTCGTTTAAGACTTTTTCTTGGAATTTAGGATTTTCAATTTCTTTGTTAACCTTTGATAACACAGATTTGATTAATTGTTCTTGTTCTAATTGTCTTTGTTGTTGTTCGAATCTGACCCAAGAATCTAAAGTTGATTTAGCTTCAGCAGCAAGAGCTGATTGTTGTTTTAATTCGAAGATTTTGGCTTCTAATTCAGCGGTTTCTTTAGAAACAGCGAATAATTGTTTGGTGGTTTCAACAACATCTTTTAATTGATTAACATTTTCAATTCTTTCTTTAACAGCGTTGACGTGTTTGGCTCTTGAACCGTTTAATAAATCTCTTACTTTTTTGATTTCATCATCAGCCCATGAAGTATATAATGGAGCACCAAACTTAGCAGCTAAAGCACCGAAAGCAGTGAAACAAGCAACTAAAATGGTTTCATCGTGTAAAACGATTAATCCATTAGAGATACCGTAAGCTGAAGCAGCAGCGGCAGCAGCTAAGTAACCGGTTTTTGATAATAAGTTGTTACCTGGCATGGCATCAACGATGGTGTTAGCCTTTTCCTTTGGTTCAACTGGGGTAGACATGTATCTTAAACCAATTCTATAAATGTTAGTATTACATATTATTCGAAGTTTGTAGGCAATTGAAGTTTTGATAGTCACGGATTTTGTTACTAATGATCTGGAACATCCACATTGATAGGTTAAGGATTTGAACGAAGATATTTCGAATACCTATTATTTGGCGTTGTGAATCAATGGTATATCACAACTTAAACATGGTAAATCACTCGGTGGATCCCGTTGAAAAAAACAATTACTCAATCACCCTTTATTGAATCATTGAAACATACGATGATGGTCTAACAGCCATTTTAGTAGGAGCAACAGCCCTTAATGCAATTCTATTAATCATTGACATCTTTGAAAAATTCTCAACAATTCGGATTGGTGAGATTTGAAATGATTGGAGGAGATTTTCGAGAATTAAAGTCAGATGCGAATCATGTGATGTATCATGTGATTTTATATTGTTATCTATATAGGGGTCGTTTTTCATCGTAAGAAGGGATTTGAATGAGTAATGAACTGGGGATTGTACACTTTTGGGTTTCTTAATCGTTCTTTGTTGTATACTTTTCTTGTAAGATCTGATTGATCACTTTGTTGGTACGCTGTTGTGCAATTTCAAACTCCCTCTTCATACTATCCTTCAAGTCTTGGTTGTAAGTGGGCTTCTTTTCAACTTCAAGATTTTCGAATTCTATTGCATTATCAGCAACTTCTTTGGATCTGGCAAATATACGGTTCTCGATATCCTTAGATACCAATTCAACAGTTTCGTTACCTGAAAGTTTCATAACATTAATTTCATTCGGCGTTGGAATCGTCTCAGGAACATCAGACTCCGTATTGGCTTGCTTTGGTTCTTCTTTGGTGACTTGGGGTTTATTCCCAGCTTTTCTTTGGGCCCTTAACAATGCTATACGCTTCTGTCTTTCATTGATATCTTCCATAACCCTGTGCGACTTTTTGCAGCGATGGATCTGAGATACATACCCAATACCAGAGAGTTATAGATCACGTTACCCAAACTAAATCTGTTCATAAATCCATATATTCCTAAAATTGACTTCCCAAATAATCATTGACCACATTAACCAAGAAGGTGTCAGGGATCAACATATGACGACCTTCCAATTCAAAGAACTCTAAAGCTTCCTTCGAATCAAGCGTTTTCAAACCCAAAAAATCTGACTTGTAGATGTTGGAGTTCTTCATGCTAATTATCTCCCCTGTTTGAATATCCAATTCTCCAAAATGTGCACTTTCTTTGGGTGTGACAGTGGTATCTTCAGAGAATTGAATCATAACAAACTTATTTAGCATCTTCATTCGATCACTGTATACCTTGTTGTAATGATCTAAGGCTTCGTTATTTATATCCGCTAAGAAATTGGAATATTTCATGTAATTCACATAATCATAAGGATCTCTGAAATACTGAGCTGGGACTACACTATGCTGAATGGAACTAAACCATACTTGTTTCTTTAAAAAAGCGTTTCTACGTTTACAAACCCAATCTTTAGGGTCTTCACAGGCAGGCAAATCCATGACCCCCATGTGAGGAGATCCAAATGTTATGAGATTATGGATTTTGGCCCCAGAACATCTTTCCACCAATCCTCGAAGTAAAAGTCCGCCTTGGGAGTAACCTATAGCATCAAATCCATCTGATAAATCCTTGTTTTCGCCTATCTGAGTACAAATTGTTTCCAATTGTTTATTTATGTCTCCTACCAATGAGTCCTGTTGATCTTTCGAAGGGTCATCGTCTAGACGTATAGAATAAACACTGACCTCGGGATGGAGCTGAGCTATAATTTCATGAGTTCTATGCATTCCTGAAGAATTATAGTTATCACCCAAACCGTGCCAAATAACCACTGGTCTTCTTTTGTCGTAGAATCCTGTGATTTCTGCTTCCTTGACTAATTTCACATTCCAGTCATACAGAAGTCCGAAAGTGAGTAATTTTCCGATGTGCATTTTAACGTTGCCTGACTGTCTGTTGCTATTGCTTATATCCTACCCTCTGTCTATATATCCTTAAACTATATCAACTTTAAATCTGACTGACTCGCGATGTCGCACTCCACAATGTCTACAGGATCGCATTTCGATAAGGAGTCTCACTTGTGTCATCCTAAATCCCTACCATCACTAACATTCACGAACAATAACATATAACATCATGCTGATAAGGTCGAAGTTTTCTATGTTGAGAGAGTATTTAACTCCTATCAATCATAATTCCAACTTTACTTCAACAGGAGAAATCAGTCCTGAAGAATTTGTAAAAGCTGGTGATTATCTTACTTACAAATTCCCTACATGGGAATGGTCTAGTTGCCCTGACAAGTTACAAAAGGATTTCTTACCTAAGGATAAGCAATTTTTGGTAACGAAGCATGTACCTTCATACCAAAGAGCATTCAATTATTTGGGAATTGAAGCTGATTTGGATGAAGATGAAGAGGAATTAGAAGACGGATGGGTCAAATCTCACAAGATTCACACTACAAAAAAGTTACCTCAAGAAGTTGAAGAAATTGATGAATTAGAGGATCTTGTTGATGAAACAGCTGAGCTAAATATCGATGATTTCGAAGATTTGTCTAAGAACGAAAACAATTTGAGAAAATACGATTTATACATATGTTACTCCACTAGTTACAGAGTTCCCAAGTTATATTTGGTTGGTTTTAATTCCAATGGGATTCCTTTGTTACCAAAACAGATGTTTGAAGACATTTCAACTGATTATCGTGATAAGACTGCCACCATTGAGAATTTACCTGTAACTTACAACACCACTTCAGTATCAATTCATCCATGTAGACATTCCACAGTGATGAAAGTATTTATGAAGCATGCCATTGAAGCTCAAAAGAAGAAAAGGGTTGAAGATGATTCAGAATCTTCGGAAGACGTAGAAGGTATAAGGGTAGATCAATATTTGATCATATTCTTAAAATTCATTGCTAGTGTAACTCCTGGTATAGAATATGACTACACCATGGAAGTATTCTAACATCCCTCCCCTTCCATTGTCACCCCTAACCATTCTTAGAGTGTCTTTTTGTAGTACCAGTTTTTTATAGGATTAATATAGATTATCAAATGCGCTTCGCGAAGGGTCTACTTCAATCATGGCAAAACAAGTAAATAAGTCTGATAAGAAACTGGGTACCACCGAGGTACCCGTAGAGGAACAATCAACTGAAACTCATGTAGAGCATTCTCATCATACACGTCATCATGATGCAAAAGAAGCTAAAGTTTTGAAGAAGAAATTACACCAAAGTAGAAGAGTTGTCTTTATTTTGGGTGCTGTTTTAGGTATATGTGGAGCTATATTTTTTTCCACATCACCAGAAACATTGATGGTAAGGGATTTAGATAGTTATGTGAATTTTGATTCATTTTCCAACGTGTTTGGTGATTGGAAAGATATGTTTCCATCGTCAATTCAATCGGTGTTGTCAGATTTCACCGATAAAGATAATGAGCAATTGAATGGATCAGCAGATTCTTTTTCCGTGGGGAGAAGAATGGCCAGTGAAAAGTTATCGGCCAAGGATAATGTCGTTATGGTTCCGGGTGTTATATCTACTGGAATCGAAAGTTGGGGTTTATCCACTGATGGGGATTGTCCTTCTATCAACCACTTCCGAAAAAGATTATGGGGATCTTTTTACATGTTGAGAACGATGGTCTTGGATAAAACATGTTGGTTGAGGCATATAATGTTGGATCCGGAAACCGGTCTTGATCCACCTAATTTCAAGCTTAGAGCTTCCCAAGGTTTTGATGCTGCTGATTTTTTCATTGCCGGATATTGGATTTGGAACAAGATTTTACAAAATCTAGCTGTTATTGGCTATGGTCCTAATAATATGATATCTGCTGCTTATGATTGGAGATTGGCTTATTTAGATTTAGAGAAAAGAGATGGTTATTTCACTAAATTGAAATATCAAATTGAAGTCAATTATAAATTGAGTGGTGAAAAGACCAGTTTAATTGGTCATTCCATGGGATCCCAGGTTATCTTTTACTTCCTAAAATGGGTAGAAGCTGAAGGGGAACATTATGGTAATGGGGGTCCTAATTGGTGTAATAAATATATCGCTTCTGTTGTGGATATTAGTGGATCTTCTTTGGGTACACCAAAGACTTTGACTGCTTTGATCTCCGGGGAAATGAAGGATACGGTTCAATTGAATGCCTTAGCAGTGTACGGGTTAGAAAAGTTCTTCAGTAGAAAGGAAAGACTCGATATGTTAAGAACTTTTGGTGGAATTCCAAGTATGATTCCTAAAGGGGGTGAATTGATCTGGGGAAACTTGAGTCATGCACCGGATGATCCAACTAATACCTTGATGACAGAAAATGATGCATTAAATGATACTTCTGCCTTAGATGGTCCTAAAGATGAAAGTTTTGGTAATTTCATTAGATTGAAATCTGCTCAAGGTGATAGAAATTTGACCATGGATCAAGCTATTGATTATTTATTAGATTTCTCACCACCATGGCTTTCAAATAGGATTAAAGATCAATATTCTTTCGGTTTTGCAAAGACTGAAAGTGAAGTTCAAAAAAATAATCATGACCATTCCAAATGGACTAATCCTTTAGAGGCATCTTTACCTAACGCCCCAGACATGAAATACTATTGTTTCTATGGTGTGGGTAACCCTACTGAAAGAGCTTACTCTTACAAAGATGCTGAACCTGACTCCAAATTAAATATTACTATTGACCCTGAAGCAGTTGATCCTGTTTATTTCGGTGATGGTGATGGTACTGTCAGTTTGTTGACCCACTCTGCCTGTCATATTTGGCAAAGAAATAATACCAGATTCAACCCTGGTAACATTCCTGTCACTATTGTAGAAATCAAACATGAACCTGATAGATTTGATATTAGAGGTGGAGCTAAAACTGCCGAACATGTAGATATCTTAGGATCAGCTGAATTGAATGAGTTAGTGTTGAAAGTCACTGCTGGTAAGGGTGACACCATCGAAAATAGATACATAAGTGAGTTAAAGAACATTGTAGAGAAGATGGAAATTTAAATATATATATTAATTTACTTCATTAAAGTCATCTAAGTCGTTAAAATCGTAATCAATGTAATCCTCTTTAGAATAATCATCCACAAGTTTCTGTTGTTGTAATTGGAAGATCTCTTTCCTGTTTTGGATATCGTAAAGAGTTACATTCTTTAGTGTTTGGTCTAAACTTTGTTTACATTCTTGTTGCCAAACTGTTTGCTTCATATCATGAGGTAACTTCTCCCATCGTTCAAAAGCTTCGTATACTTTATCCTCTGTCCAAAGGGGGTGTTTATATCTTTTCACTCCATCCACTACTATATCTCGTAAATTCCCGTCAGGAGGTGTATCGGGCCATTGACCTACAGGTAAGAACATACATACAAAATGGCCAAAGTTGGAAATATCTGAATGATCACCGAATCCATTCTGGAAATCTTCAAGCACTGATAATCGAGATTTGATTTGGCGATCTCTCATCTTCCTTCTTAACCTATTTCTCTCTCGAACATCATCTTTCAGGTTATATCGTTTAGCAATTTCTTGCTTTTTGATTCTTTTATTGACTTGCTTCACCAAATCATCATCAGATCCTGACGGTTTTTTCCTCCGAGTAACGTTCTGACGTAATTGATCTATTTTGTCTGATGGATGTAGATTGTCACCTTTTTTCCGATCTAAATGACGTCCTAAAGATCCTGGTTGTTGGAAATCGGCTCCACAAAATACACAATGCTTTTGTTTAAGCATATTCTTATCTACTTCGTCAACAATTGCACCTGAACTTATACTGCCTCCGTCGTCACCATAATCAAGCCCAAACTGTTCCATTATCTCCCAGTCGCGACAGAATTTCAAAGATAAACACTATGAGGTATGTTCCACATTTGAGTTTGTCTCATAATTTATACTAACTTAACCAGTGGGAAATTCGTTAGAGCATCTAAATATCGTCACGTCTTCGGACAAGCTTCTAAGAAAGAGCTTTGTTACGAAAACTTAAAAGTCACCAAGAACGCTTGGGATTCGGACATTATTCAAACCAACGGGAAATATATTTCTTTGAATTGGGATTCTTCAGGTGGTGGTGCTTTTGCAATTATCCCTGTAGGTGAAGTTGGTAAAGCTCCTGATACCGTTTCATTATTTAGAGGTCATAAGGGCCCAGTTTTGGATACTTCATTTAATCCCTTCAATGATCAACAAATTGTTTCATGTTCTGATGATGGAAAGATCTTGGTATGGGAAATTCCTCAAGATTACTCTTTCCATAAGTACATTGATGAGAATGAAAATATCAAAGATATAACTGAACCAATCAAAGTCTTATCAGGTCATACCAGAAAAGTTGGTAAAGTTCAATTCCATCCATGTGCCGAAAATGTCTTAGCTTCATGTTCATTAGATTATTCCGTTAAGATTTGGAATTTAGAAACCGGTAAAGATGAAATCACTTTACAACATAAAGATTTGGTCACTTCTTTTGCCTTTAACTACAATGGTTCATTAATGGTAACAGCATCTAGAGATAAGAAATTAAGAATTTGGGATGTTAGATCAGGTAAAATCATCTCTGAAGGTCCAGGTCATACTGGTGCCAAGCCAGCTAGAGTCGCTTGGCTTGGAAATACTGACAGAGTTGTAACCACTGGTTTCTCAAGATTATCCGATCGTCAAGTTGGGGTTTGGGATGTTAATGACATTAATAAAGGTCCAATTGATGGATTCTTAGTCATTGATCAATCTTCTGGTGTTTTAATCCCAATTTATGATGATGCTACTTCCATTTTATACTTAGCAGGTAAAGGTGATGGTAATATTCGTTATTATGAATATGAAAATGACTATTTACATGATTTATCTCAATATCCTTCAACTGACCCTCAAAGAGGTTTCTGTGCTTCTCCTAAAAGAGCTGTCAATGTTAAGGAAAATGAAATCTTGAAATGTTACAAAACTGTCAATGATCATTCAATTGAACCATTGAGTTTTATTGTTCCTAGAAGATCAGAATTATTCCAAAATGATATCTTCCCTGATTGTCCTTCAAATAAACCTGCTTTAACTGCTGATGAATGGTTTGGTGGTAAGAAATGTAACGGTCCTTTATTGATGAGTATGGAATCAATTTATGAAGGTACTGAACCTGAAATCACCGAATCCAAACCAGGAATTAAAGTCGGTGAAGCCAAGGCCGCTAAAGAAGCCGAAAAGGCTAAAGAAGTTGAAAAGCCTGTTGAAAAGGTTGTCGAAAAACCTGTTGAGAAGGATGAACCAGTTCAAGAACCTAAATCAGTTGATGACAGTTTGAAATCTTCTTCTGAAGTTAATAAACTCTTGGATAAGGTTACTGTTTCAAGTGATGTTGAAGAAGAAGTTGAAAGTGGAGTCAAAGATGACGAATGGGAAGAAGTCAAAAAACCAGTTGAAGCCCCAGTTGTCATTGAAAAGGAAGAAGTTCCAAAAGTCACCAAAGAGGCCAAGGTCGAACCAAAGGTCGAACCAAAGGTCGAAGCTAAATCTGAACCAAAAGTCGAGCCTAAAGTTGAACCTAAAGAAGAACCAAAGATATCCAAACCTGTGGAATCAGCTCCTTCTGAAGTTACCACCGAAGCTAAATCTGAGGCCAAGCCAACTTTAAAATCTACCATCGATAGACTTGCCTCTATTGTCGACAAATTAGAATCTCAAGTTTCCAAGTTAACTGCTGCTGGTTTGGAAAAAGACGAAAAATTACTGCAATTAGAGAAAAAACTTGATGAATTATTAAAGAAATAAATGTACATTAACTTTTATATTGCCCTGCTTGAACTTACTCTTTCTTGAGGTCATAGAATTTTTTGAATATGAAACTTGTCAAATTCATGGAATCAAAAACAACCATACCGTCAAAAGCTTCGTATTTGGGTTTATTTTCATATTGAAGATTTAAGATCTCATCCAAAGATATTGAACTAAATGCTCCCGGAATGTTAACAGATCCATTAGCTGCTTCGATGGTAAACTTACCTGGTTGATGACAACTGAACATAAAATCGAGTTTAGAAGACGAACTGAACCTTGAATTCAAAGGTCCTCCAAAATCAAGAACAATTTTTTGTTCCATAAGTTTTTTAGCTGAATATTTATATGAACCGAATTTGGGCAATCTATTAGATTTTTTCAATTCTCTATGGTAAAAGTACTGTTTACTGAATATCGGTATAATATTAAACAACTTTTTGTCTTTAGGTTTCAGTTGTAATTGAGACAAAATACTATCAATATGAGCGTTGTAGTCTTTGTGTTGTCTTTGTAATACTGAAGATTTTTCTACCAACTTTTGGTTGGTTTTGATGGCAATTTCGAGTTGTGATTTTCTTGATACTCTTTGTTGATGTTTGGTCTTAATGTCTACAGCAATTTGGTTAAGAATTTGTTGGTATGAATCGTTTCTAGATACCAATCCCATGAATTCCAATTGTAAAATAGTTTCCAAAGCTTTCTTCTTTAATTCATGATAAGAAATAGTAGTCAAATCACCCAAAGAAGTCTTATGGTAAGCCTTTTTACGAGTCTTGTCGGATTGTGATTCATTGATTTCACTGGTAGTGATTTGTTTGAATTTTTCTTCATGTTTAGGTTGAATTCCTGAGATCAATAAGTCTACAAGTTCATCACCTTCTTGAACTCTGATAATGTACAACACTGATCTTTTGACTTGTGTGAAGAGAGCATTCCCTTTAGTGTCAGCAATAGACTCTTCTTTGGTTGTAGGATTAAGGCTCAAAGAAATCATTCCCAACTCACTTAACGATACCAAATCATCAGTAGAGTTGATAGCATTATCTAATTGATTGGCAATAACATAAAGCTGATCATCAAAACTTGGAGCTAATACATCGATATTTCTTTGAACAATCTTTTCAATCTCCACCATATCACTAACTTTCATAGTTAATTTAGGTCTTTCGTGGGTGACGATATCATCATAATCATTCAATTTATATTCTTGTTCAATATCATTAACATCAATCAATTTATGGATTATTGATTGAGCTATGTCACTGGAATTACGTAAATATTCATTCAAAGGTTTGAGAAAATTGTCATTGAAAGGCTTCAAAGCAAATACTTGCATAATGACTCTACTCAAATGCTTCAAATTCAACTTGGATTTAGCTCTGAAAATTCCAGGGTTGAAAGGATCGTTAGCTAAGAATCCGAAATTTTCTGGATTGAAGAATATACTAGCAATGTAATGTTTATAAAACATAACCCCAGCAACGGATAAATGTTGAGTTTCAGATTTCTCTGGGAAATTCAATTTGGAAAGATCGTACCCTTTTCTTGCAATGATTCTTATATGCAAGGGAATTTTTCCCACTACAGCATCTAACATGTTTAATGTCTCTGTAGCAAACTCTCTCAAATTCATAAGGTTATTGACAAATTTGGATGATACTTCAGGATCTTTTATGGCCATAGCAGCAGAGCAAGAAGCATCTCTTTCACTGAACCCGTTGATTTTCATATCTCTATTGATAAGCTCATTATGAATCAATTTTGGATCACTTTCAAAATCGAGTTCGTCATCATCGATTACCATAGTAACAATCTTTCCTAGTAAAGACTTCAAGTGGAGTCTTTGGTAGGTATGATTATTTAATTTGAGTAAATAATCAATCCAGAAACACATGTTCGACTTGGTTAAATCTGTCATGTTTTTACAGTTCTTAATATCACTATCCATCAAGGACAAAATCAATCTTAATAAGAAGAATTCTTCTCTTGAATGGAAATTTATTGATGAATCTTTGATTGGGAATAATAACATTATGAAACTTTGAAGGTTCTTGAATTCAGGGGTTTCTTTCAAAGGGAAGTCAATGTTTTCATGTAATCTAACAAAATAAACTGGCTTGGTTTGTAAAAGATAAAACAAAGATTGATACTTTTCAATTCTCTCTCTTGAAGATTTGTTCAATTTTTCAATGTTTAAATTATTGACCTCTTCATCAATGACCTTATGATTTTTGAATTTGTTGTTGATGAAATCTTCTAAAGAGATTTTGTTTTTATCCAACAAACCTAATTTTATATCAAGGTTCTCAATCAAAGTTTCCAATTCTTCATTAGCTTTGGATTTTTCTATAATTTGATCTTTCAATTCAGACAATTCCATTTCTTGTTCATAGTCCATATCATTATCACTTAACAAGTAAGCAAATCTTCTGATAATGGATAACGGAGGATTTCTCATATTGATCAAAGATTTATAAGCTCTTTGATCGAAATTTCTCTTAATGAATGATTGAGCTTTGATGACATGATCTAATCTTTCAATATAATAATTGTCAATAGAATTGAGTTCCTTTCTTATCTTGTTTCCTCTTATGATTGACTGAAGATTCATTATTTCAAAAATATCTTCATATAAACCTTCTACAATCAAATCTTTCTGGAACCTGTTCAACACTCCTCTGAAAAGTGATTGTACTTGAATTACTTGATGTTCGGATTCTTCCAATAATTGTTTATCAGTATTGATTTTGTTTCTTATTAAGTTACCTCTCATTTTGGCAAACAACTCATTCATAATAAGATCCTCATGCATCAAAGTAATCAAGACATTATTACACAAACGAGTTCTGGCAACTCCACCTCTAGCAACAGCTTGTAACAACGTCAATCTTTTTCTTTGCTTACTCAATACATATAGCTTGGTGAAGTATTCTTCTCTCAATTTTTTACCTCTGATGATTGATTGTAAGTCTATCAAACCTCCAGAATTCTCAAGGTTGGAAATCAAATTGTTGATTTTTGATCTTTCATACAAAACTCTTCTTATGGCAGATTGAAATTCAACCATAGCTGGCTCGATCTCCTCCTTATTTTCCAAGACTATCATTGTTTTATTGTAAATCAATAACATCTTCAGTTGACTTTGTAACTCAATCATTGATTCTTGATGACGTAACAATTCGAATTTGATGGATTTCACTCTGTTCCTTACTGAATCTCCCCTTAACTTACTTTGGAACTCTGTCATAGATTTTTCAAATTTATTCAAGTCATATTTGGCACGAGCTCTTAGAAGCTTCGATCTGGCCACTGCTTGTAAATCCATAATCTCATACTTGAATAACAATATTTCATCTCTATGTCTGTGAATGGTTCTCAATCTGGCAGCGTTACCTCTAATGATGGAATTAAATTGTGTAATTTCATCACTGTAAGATCTCAACATAATCTTGTTGACAAACATTCTATATCTGAAGCTAGCCCCACGACTCAAAGCTTGAAGTTTGACGATTTCTGTCATAAGTCCGTCCAATTCTGGGGTATAATATTTACTTTCCTTGTAGTCAGTTTCCCAATGGCTTGGTCTTTCAATGATTTGTTCTTTTGGCGTGTAAAAGATATTTTCATCAGTGTCAGAGGGTTTTGACTTTTCGGGAGTTTTGAATTCAGGTTTTTCGTTGTTCAACTTGATAGGACTCAATTTGATTGGACTGGGCTTGGAAGGTGAAGTAGCGATGGCTCTATTCATGTAACTGCTTTCTCCAGAAACGTTATCATCGTTATCTGCACTGGAAAAATTAGGCAATCCAGTACCCACCAATGATCTATTGGCAATCCTGATATCCTCAGGGGAGAAATCAACTTTACCCACCATGCTTTCTATTTGGGGTAAGGAAGAATTGGATTTATGTAACATATAACTCATAGCGTGTAAACAGAACCAAACTTTGGGTACATTTTTAGCATCATATAAGTCAGTGAGTTCGAAAGTGAACAAATCGGGTACACTTAAGAAATCCATTAATTTGAAGAATCTGTTGATGTTTTCGGTATGTCTGAATTGTAATTTTGGATTGGTGAATACGGATCTTTTGGTTGGTAAGATTACATTAGCTAATTTGGCTAATATTATCCCGTTTCTGATATCAGTGATTAATTCTGCTGGTGTCTTATCGATCTCCTCATTCAATATCTCTTGCAACCAGTTTTTAATTGATAAAATTCTACATAAGTATTCATAACCTGGAGAATCTTTAGATGTGCTATTACTGGGGGATGATAAATAAGGTCTTGAACTGGAAGAATCTGAAGTCTTCAAGTCTGGAATCTCTTTTCTGGATAATGGGGTTTCATAATTTCTATTTCTTTTGATGGGGGATGCTGATCTACTTGAGGTGTTGGATGAAGATGAAAAGTTCAGGGGAGTCTTGAATGAAGACACAGTAACTGACGGTGTTTCGAATTTTGTTCTTAATAATGCAGTTTTAGTAGGTGTTGAAACAGGATTGACATTCAATTGCATTGCCAACTTATCTAGATCTTCACTAGATGTAGATCTATTATACTTGGAAGAAGGCTGTAAAGGTAATTTGCTGGGGGTATCATTGATGGTTTCTAAATACTTCAATGCCACATTCTTCAAAGGTGAGGACATAGTCTAATGGTATGAACTTCTTCGATGTTTCACTTTATAAATATGGAATATGGTGTTTTTAGCGAATCTCATTTATTTACCTTTGACGTTTTGGGAAAAAGGTAAACATTGACAATTTGAAACATTCGGTGTGTACACGCTTTATGGATGAGATTGAATGAATAGAGTTAAAAAGGGGCAGTAAAATAATATACATTGTCTATTATACATAATCATTCTCATATTTGTTCTGTAAGAAAACTGTAATTTCGTTTAAACGGTCAATTTCCGATAACTGTTTGGGAATTTGTTCTTTTAATTCGAGTAATTTAATTAGATGTTGTTCATAGTCATTAATCATTTGAGCTTTAGTGTCTTCTTGTGTAACATTCTCGTTATTATCTTTATTCTCGTCTTGGTCCCCAACTTGGCCCTCCTCTTTACCTATATCTGCGTTGTGATCTTGGACCTCATCTTGATTCGCATCTTCCGTCTTGTCTTCATTATCCAATTCGTTCAATATCTGAGTGACTTCCGCATCGGTATCATTGATGATGCTATCAAACACATCGCTTATATCTTGTGGTATCTTCTTTCTCAATCTGGTAACTTCGATAGTCTCTTCTTCAAAACTCTTTAAGATATTTCGAAGTTTATCGTTCTCCTCAATATTGAACGGTTCGGTCTTTTCTCTCGGTTTTATCGACAAAACATCTTGTATGGATGTGTTGCTTTTATTGAGATCTATTCCATCGACTACCATGGCATGCTTTGCATCTTCAAATACTTCAATTAAGAAATCATGTAACAAGTCTAATACCTCATCCCTTATGTGGTCCTTTTGCGGCAAATGGGTTTCAATTTTTGGTATTATACTACCGAGTAGTTGATTATACACAAAAATAAGATCTTGCTTGGTCATCTGTAGCTTCTCATGACCATTATTCATCTTATAGTTTGTGGGTTATAGACTGTGTATGTTGTTTTTGTTTCGCGGATTTGTCGCAGATTACAGACATCACCAAAAGTCGTACTTGCTTCGCACAAGTCCAGGAAATTCCTCAGTGGACAATTTCATTTATCAATGTCAGAATTAGGTGAAGCTTATACACCCGGATTTGCTCCATTCTTAGGCTTTGCAGGTTGTGCCTTTGCCATGGTATTATCATGTGCTGGTGCTGCTTTCGGTACAGCTAAGAGTGGGATTGGGATTTCAGGTATCGGTACCTTCAAACCAGAATTGATCATGAGATCTTTAATTCCTGTTGTTATGTCAGGTATCTTGGCCGTTTATGGATTAGTCGTTGCGGTTTTAATTGCTGGTGGTTTATCGCCCGATCAAGATTATACTTTATTCAATGGTATAATGCATTTAGGTTGCGGATTATCTGTCGGATTCGCTTGCTTAGCTTCAGGTTATTCAATTGGTATTGTTGGTGATGAAGGTGTTAGACAATTCATGCACCAACCAAGATTATTCGTTGGTATTGTTTTAATTTTAATTTTCGCCGAAGTTTTAGGATTATATGGTTTAATCGTTGCATTAATTTTAAATACTAAAGGTACTGGTTAACCTACATAGAAATATAAGAGTTTGGAAAAACATACATTGTCATATAATCATGATATTTATCTTGGTGATAACTTTAAGGTCTCTTTTTTGATGGCAGCTCCTAAGTCAGGATGAATCTTACTGAAATATTCAAAGACTCTGTCTTGAATATCTGGTCTTGCTGCTGATACATGGGTAGCAACATTATGACCCAAATTCTTTTGACCGTTAGGATATTTAGCTAATACTTCATACAATCTTCTTGGTTGTTCGAATTCACTTTCAGTGGCTTTCCAATGGAATGGACAAGCTGCACCTTCCCATACTTCTTGATCCTCTTGTAAACTAAATTCTTTGAAATTGATTTCTTTGGTAGAATCCAAGTAGTTGGGGAAAGCTCCCAAATTACCATCGACATTCATAGCACCGTCTCTCATATGAGGGTTAAACACTTTACCAGTAATTGGGCAATTGACTGGAATTTGAGTATAATTAGTTCCCAATCTATGTCTATGAGTATCATTATAGGAAAATAATCTACTTTGTAAGACAGGATCAGCTGATGGTTCCATATAAGGAACAGTATGAGAAGGAGCAAAAGCAGCTTGTTCGACATCGGCGAAGTAGTTAGCAGGATTTTTGTTCAAAGTCAATTTACCGAATTTTCTCATAGGATAATCACTATGTGGCCAGACTTTAGTCAAATCGAACACTGAAAATGGAGCTTTTTTAGCTTCTTCTTGAGTCATGGTTTGAATGTAACAAGTCCAAGAAGGAAAATTACCATCTTCAATATTTTGGAATAAATCTTCTTGAGCAAAATCAGGGTTAGAACCAGCTAATTCTCCGGCTTCTTCGTTAGTCAAAGTTTTATTTCCTTGGTCTGAAATGAAGTGGACTTGAACGTAATGCCATTCTCCTTGTTTGTTGGACCATTTATAGGTATGACCTGAGTAACCATTCATTTCTCTGTAACTTGCAGGAGTACCACGATCACTGAATAAGATAGCTACTTGATGAGCTGATTCAGGATTGGAAACCAAATAGTCCCAGAACATGTTAGGATCTTTCAAGTGGGTTTGGGGGTTTCTCTTTTGAGTATGGATGAAATGAGGGAATTTGGAAGGGTCTCTAATGAAGAAAACTGGAGTGTTGTTATAAACCAAATCTAAATTACCGTCTTCAGTATAAAATTTGGTTGCAAAACCTCTTGGATCTCTGGCACTATCAGCACTACCACTTTCACCACCAACGGTGGAAAATCTGGTGAATACTTTAGTTTTTTTACCAATTGTGTCTAAGAATGATGCCCCACAAACATCAGTGATATCATCAGTAACTTCGAATTCTCCAAAAGCACCTGAACCTTTGGCATGAACAACTCTTTCTGGAATTCTTTCTCTATCGAAGTGAGCCAAGGAATCAATTAAATTGAAATCTTGTAATAATAAAGGACCGAATTTTCCCACTCTTTGGGTTGCAAAGGGTTCAGGAATTGGGCAACCATTTGAATTAGTAAATATTTTACCACCTTCAGTTCCTTGAGTGTTGGTGTTTAATGGACTTGGATTTGTACTAGCTGGTGACATAATTATCTAATAATAATTCCCTTTCGGCAATTGCTCCATATTTATACTTTTCCAACACCATTAGTGATATTATTTTGAAGTCGTGTGCGTGGTCACTTTTTGCAACCTTGCTCAGTCAGCTATCCCTCATCTAGATTCCATATCCCCATAATTTACCCACTCATGAAGGGGGGATTATTAATTTCTTCATTTCTAGATTTTTTTACCCCAGTTTACAGTTTCCTTACCAATGGGACAACTATCATGTCAACATTAGGTTCTTGGGTCTGAGACAGGTGGGTCGGTTTATTCGCAGCAATTATTAATGTGGTTCGAGACAATATTACAACATTGCTACGGATTGTTTAATTTGAATTCCTGACCAATAAACTTCTTTTAATAGTAATTTGAGACACTTTTGGTACAGGGCTTTAACCAGATGATTTCAGATTAACCTGTACGGTTTATTGAATTAAGCCCAATGCATACTGAACTAGTGAAAGGATTGATTTTGACATTGTTAGTGGAAAATACGATCGAAACAATTCATACGCTTCTGTGAATATATCCTCTTGGTTTTACCCAACTATCAACTCCTCCAACCCCTCAGTAACAAAACTTCAACACCATCTGGTGTGTTAAAGTTTATTTTATTATGTCGTATGACGTATGTCGCTAAATGCTAAGCCGCATACTACCAAAGGAGGGGGATTATGAAATAATGTTTTTTGAGTATCTAGAGATGTTTAGAAGTTCAATTGAGGTAGAACTAAATGTGATCATACGATTGAAGGGTGAAAACTTTTTGAATTTTTTTTTGCAATTTATTTTTACATATTTTTTGCCAATTTCGTATAATTTTGATAATATGATCGAGTCAGTTTGAAGTCAAAAAAAAAGATGATTAAAAAATTTTCATTTAGCTATAAAATATGTATAAGATTATCCTTGATGAAGAATTTACCTATAAGCATTTAACGGTAAAGAATTCACTGAATTTTTAAAATTTATCGTACAAGTTTGGTAATCCCAATTACTTTGCTCGCACAACATATAACCATATTGTAAATTTAAGTTTGTTTCGAGGAGGACTTTGACAAGTAGTTCTTGTTGTGTAACATTGATCATGGATTTAATATCAGGAGGGAGGTCATTAATACCTGGAGAGTTAGCAGGAGGTGCAGCTGTCATACCAGGGGTTTGGTTCATTCCAGGAGCTGCGACTGGTGGTGATGGAGCGACTGGAGGTATTCCTGGTGCAGGAGATGGTGAGGCATTAGCTACAGGTGAAGCATCTGATTTGAAAATTGTTGGATATCTGATGACTAACATATCAGAAGCGACAATCATTCCACCGTCGGGACTAGGAATGATTACAAAACATCTATCGAAACCTTTTTCCATCAATGAGACCTTCTTTCTACCGTACTTCTTGGGTTCGCTTACGTCAGGATGTCCAGTTTCTTTGAAGGTACCATGCAAGTTTATGATTATTCCATTCAATTGATTATATTTGAAAGCTTCCATGGAAAATAAATGAGAATTCTCTATCAATTCGTGTTTCAGCTTTGGCAACTGGTTGAAGCAATTTGCAATTTGATCTTTTCCAGTAAATAACTTTTGCATCTTCAATTTTGAAGCAGAAATTCTTGATAAGTTTCTTGAGTTGGTCAAGTAATAGGTGAAGTCGATTTGTTGGCCATTCAAATCATGAGGATTTGACATATCTACTGAAACAGAAAATTGTGATTGGTCTTGATATAATTGTAACAAGTTTGATCTATTGGTATCCCATAAGTTATAGAAGTTGGTGATGAAATTGGTGGAGATATTATGGATGTCATTATCTTGAAACATCATGGATTGTGAATTAAAAGGGAACTTTAAATTTTCTAATAATTTGGGTTCATTTCTTAAAACTTCACCATTCAAAATGATTAAACGAGGAAACAATCTCATGATTTCCAATTTGACGACGTTCAAATCATTATTGAGTATTGGATTTCCTGAAATAATGAATTCCCTTAAGTAATTTAGTTTGTTTTTCCAAATTTCAAATACTTTGAGTTTACTCAAGTTATTGTTCATCAAGGATAAATTGATCAATTTAGGGAAAGTTTGTGGTAATGTAGTGATAGTATTCAAATCATTAAGATTGTTGTTGCTCAAATCGATAGACTCTACATCAATTTTTAAATCGCTGGCTATTTTCATTAATGCAGGGAAGAACTTTGAGGTAGTTGAAATGGAAGCAAAGAATCCTTGTTGGTTTAAAGTGGCATCATTCTGAACACTAGACAAATTAAGCATTTTTGATGGTTCATCATATCTTGTCTTCAAAAATTCTGTGATAGTTTCGATGGTGTTGCCTTTTTTATTTGTTCCATTTGATGAAAAGCTCTTGGTGATTTTCAAAGACTGTCCGGCAAATTTGACACCAGACCAATTGAGTAAGTCACCTGCTTCTTTTTCACTCTTAACGTAACCTTTGATATTCCCATTGGGTTCAATATTGGCATTACTGACAACAATTCTACATTTTCTCGAAATGAAATTTATACAATCTTCCATTGATGCACCATTCCATCCGGCGATTTCTACAGGTATCGAGTTAGAATTCACATATTGATTGATATTCTGTGGATTAGGTGGTCGTTGGAAACCTCCCCTACCATAGTTATTGTAGTTACCTCTTCCTCTACCACGGTAACTCATTGTTAAATTTTTCTGCGAATTTTCATCTTGAGATGTTAGCACCTTTTGAATTACTCATGAATAACCCATACTCCCAGGTCTCGAGCTATTGTTTCAAAATAAACTATTATACGGGGTTTGAAGTTTAAGACCTGAGAGTGGACCGTTTAAAACCGGCTAAAGCTCAGCCGAGATTCGTGATTTCTCTGATAAATTCTCGATTATCTATATCTCTCCCCACAAGAAGTCTTTGGTTTGGTTCATCACTTTAAATCAAAAAATTCCACCTTTCATTTGGCCAACAGTCGCTAGATAAGCCAGGACAACTCCACTAAGTAGCCCGATGGAGAAGAAACTCAACGGAGACGGCTCAACGGAAAATAGGAAAGAGGTCACACAGAGAAGATAGAGAGAACATAAACATAAAACATGTTTCAACACATACTTGGAATCCAAAACGTTCACTGTAATACAAGTGAAAGGATCTTCAACAAAATTTTCTAATAAATATACTAATAAATATAAGGGACTCACTGAGACATAATTATTCTTGGGGTTCATTCAAAGTACCAACTATTTTATACTTCATTTCGAAATGTTCTTCCCAACTTTCTAAACTTTCAATTTCCTCTTTAGTCAAGTCTTTCAAGTCGTCAATTGGTTGATCCAAAGGAGTCAACATGTTTAAATCAAAAGAATTCTTAGCTAAACCCCTAGAAGCATCTCTACCAGCGAAATTCTCATAGGGACCTCCTGGACCATAAAAACTAGCACCCTGACTTACGTCGTATACCTTACCTTTGACAGCCATAAAGATTTTTGGATGATCAGAACCATTATATTTCTTTAAAGTTAAAGGAGTGAACTTACCTTCAACAACAGCTGCATCTTTAACACCAGCTTCCAATGGATCGACTTCATTGGATTGAAAGATGTCAGTTATTAAATCTTTAGCAAAATATAAAACAACCAATACAATTACGATAGTGGTAATCATGATTGAATTTTCATATGAGTGAGATCTCAGATCATGAGGCTCGTATAAAATGGTGGTGGACTGAGAGTCACGAGACGAAGTTCTTTAAGTGTTCTAGAGGTCTGGGAACGGTTTAAATTGCGGACTACAGAAGTCAATTGAACTTCAATGTTCATTATGGACCGATTTCAAGAGGTTTTGTGGTTCAGTTAAGGTTGCACAAAGATTGTCAGATAATGCGGAATTTTCAATAATGCCATCCATCAACCTAGATGATTTAACAACCAATAATTTGGGGGTTTTCAAGAAAATTTTTGGTGTAACCTTACCTATAGAATACAGTGAAGACTGGTACGCTAATTCTTTTGATTCAGATCAAATTGTTAAGTTAGCATTCTATTCTGAATTACCAGTGGGTGCTATGAAAGCTAAATTATTAAATATTGAATCATTCCAAGGTAATTTCGACAATTTCAATACTTCTAAGCTTGTAAGCAAGTCAATACCCAATGCAGTATATTTAGAAACCTTATCAGTTTTAGAAAGCTACAGAAATCTTGGAATTGGAGAAAAGTTATTGAATTACTTGATTGAAGAAACTACTAAAAGGTTTGTCCATGAAATTATAATACATGTTCACGTTGAGAACACCAAAGCTATTGATTGGTACAAAAAACATGGTTTTGTAGAGAAAGAGTTACTCAAAGACTACTATAAATCGAAGGGCTTGACTAATCCTGATGCATACATCCTTTCATTAAAAGTTTAGATAGTATATGTATATATTGGCTAGTAAGAACTATTCATCTTCATCTTCAGTATCAGTGTTAATATCAGTGAACACATCTTCATCTTCGTCATCTTCTTCCTCTTCTTCATCATCCTTGATTTCTTCAATCTTTTTAACTTTTCCTCCTCTTAATGCTGACAATGCACCAGCTAAAGTATCTTCATCAGGGTCAGAGATATCACTATCACTATCATCATCGTCATCAACATTTTTACCCAAGATCTTGTCTTTGTTTAAAGGTACTGGTGGAGGATTCTTGACTTCCATATAAAGTGGTATATCTAAATCAACACCGAAATATGCATTGTTCTTCAAGATAAGACGGAATGGATAAGATCCAGGTCCAGCAGGTGTTGGTTGGGTGACAGGAATGTTGAAGTTATTCAATTTCAACACTCCTTGTTTGGTTTTTTCATCATAAACTTTACCTTTTATCCATTCTTCTTGAGTTAAACTGACATTAGATAAATCAACATTAGTCAAGTTGATAATTGTTGATCCTTCAACAATTTTGTTGTCTTTTTGATTAATCAAAATACCGTTCCATGAGTTTCTCAAATCATCAGGGAAGAATGGACTATAACTGATTGGTAATAATGGAGCTGATTTATTGACAACGGATGGATCCTTTAAATATTCAATATTTTCATTAAAATCATCTTTTATCTCTTCATCCTTAAGATCAGGACATGATTTCAATTTAGGTGATTTGACCAAGAATTTCAAGTTGATATGGGATTTAGCAGTTGGAGGAACGATATCTTCACCTGGAACTTGGAATTCGCTGGATACAATTCTTAAACTACAAATCTTTTCAGCAATTTCCATACATTTCTTCAATTTAGCATCATCTTTAATACCCAAAACTTTCTTTAATTCTTCGTTCTTGAGAGTGAACAATTTACCTAATCTTTTGATTGGTTGACTTTCAACGGTTGCTCGATCAACATAAGGTAATTGTAAGATATCGTGGTGTTTACCTGTGAATTTAACAGCTTGAATTATGGACTTTTTCAACTCTAATGATACCAAGATGACATCATATTGTCTAAAGAAAATGGCAATTTCATTGAATTTGTCAATTAAATCAGGTAAACTGGAAACAACATCAAAAGTCTTAGAATGGGCATTTGAAAAATCTCTTGAAGTATAACTTTCAAGAATTTTGTTATATTCAGATTCTGAAATATTTAATTTTTGGATTTCGAAAGTCTTAAAGAAGATTGATAAAAGAAACTTTGGAGTGATAACTTTACCTGGGTTTCTGTCAGTGAAGAATTTAGTAAATAAGTCAGCGGATTTGACGTGTAACCCATGACTGGTATATGATTTGACATTATTCCACCAAGAACCGACTATGAAAGGTAACAAGACACCAATTAAAACAATGTAGAAACCAATCATAATTAATGATGATTTTCCTTCAACTAAGAACTTAGGTAAGGCAATACCGTTGGTTACTTCTTGCTTACCATCAGGATGTCCAAATTTCAAGAAGTTTTCTCTGGTAACTTCATCAGTTAAAGCTTTATAGGCTTTATTCAATCTGACGAAATCTTGTTCCATTTTTTCCCTTTCACCTTCACTCAAGTTCTTAGGAATTTTATCTGGATGATAAATCAATGATAACTTTCTATAATGACTCTTAATTTGTTTCTCTGTCGAAGAAGATGAAATACCTAAGATTTCATAAGGATCGAAAATTGATGACATATCGGCAGATTTAGTTAAATTGATAAGAACATAGATCACAGAAGCCCATCCAATAATGATTACTATCAAAGTTTTATTGAAAATTCTTGATCTAGTTGTCTTTTTAACTGTTGGCAAATCCAAGCTATCATTATTTTCCACAATTGATCCTTCCACTTTACTATTTATCTTGATGATCGATTGTTGATAATTCAAGACATTGTAGACATAATTGATGGTCAAAGGAATAAGGATGACTGAAAGTATAGCTATAAGAAAATATGGCCATACGTCACCTTGTTCATCATATGAATACTCTGACATGTTGGTGAAATTTTTTCAGTGCGACCGTGTCAGGATAACAAGAGTGGACTAAAGAAAGATCTAATTTCCGAGAGAAAGTTAGAGATTTGATGATAATTAACTAAACATGTATTAATGATGGAATAATCTAATTGGATTTTCAACATAAACGATATCGTGAGAATCAGCAGCGGCGAAGACAGCTTTATCCATGACACTTCCTGAAGGAGCAGTAATGAATTTAACACCAGATCTGGCAGCTCTGTAAACATTGTCTGGGAATGGGAAGAAAGCATCAGATGATAATGCAACATTGGTGTTCTTTGATAACCATTCTGATCTTTCTTGTTCAGTTAATGGTTCTGGAACGTCAACGAATTTAGATTCATATTCTGATTTTTCTGGTTCAGTCTTTGGGATTTGATTAGATACAAATAAGTCAATAGCATTTGATTTATCTGGTCTCTTAGTACCTTTAGCCCATTTGAATCCTAAAACTCTTGGGTGTTGTCTTAACCACCAGTTATCGGCTTTGTCACCAGCTAATCTGGTACAATGGATTCTACTTTGTTGACCAGCACCCAAACCGATAACCATACCGTTTTTAACGTAACAAACAGAGTTTGATTGAGTGTATTTTAAAGCAATGGTAGCAACGGTTAAATCAATTTTACCTTGTTCAGTTAAGTTTTTGTTTTTAGAAATGATTTCTTTAAAAGTGGTGTTTTTAAAGATAGCATCGTTTCTTTTTTGTTGTAAAGTTATACCATAAACTTGTCTTGATTCCAAAGTATCAGGGTTATAGTTTGGATCAATTTGTAAGATACAGTATTTACCACCTTTTTTCTTTTTTAAGATTTCTAAAGCTTCTGGTTCATAACCTGGAGCAATAACACCATCACTGACTTCTTTACCAATGATTTGTGCAGTTGGTAAATCAACAATATTAGATAATGCAATGAAATCACCAAAACTTGACATTCTATCAGCACCTCTGGCTCTAGCATAAGCATTGGCTAATGGTGATAAGTTTTCAATATCTTCAACGAAGTACATTTTCTTTTCAATATCAGATAAAGGTAAACCGATGGCAGCACCAGCTGGTGAGACATGTTTGAAACTAGCAGCAGCAGGTAAATTTAATGAAGCTGATAATTCTTTGACCAAAGGCCACGAGTTTAAAGCATCTAACAAATTGATATAACCTGGAGAACCACCTAAAACTTTGAAAGGTAAATCACCTTGTTGAACGAAAGCTTGAGCTGGTTTTTGATGAGGGTTAGCACCATATCTTAATGGTAATTGACTAACATTTTCATTATATTGTTTTCTGAAGAAATCAGAAATAGCAACATCATAATCAGCAGTGTGTTCAAAAGCTTTTAAAGCATATTTGTTTCTAGTTTCACTTGAGATTTCACCAGTTTTTAATTCTTGTAAGAAACCAGCGTAATCATTTGGATCTGATAAGATAACAACTCTTTTGTGATTTTTAGCAGCAGCTCTTAATAAAGTAACACCACCAATATCAATTTCTTCAATAGCTTCATCAATTGTAACGGCAATTTTAGAAACAGTTTCTTTGAAAGGATATAAATTACATACAACGAAATCAACTTTTTCAATTCCTTGAGCATGTAAATCAGCTTCATCACTTTCTAAATCTCTAGCTAAGATACCACCATGAACAGCAGGATGTAAAGTTTTAACTCTACCACCTAACATTTCAGGAACATGGGTAATTGTTGAGATATCTTCAACAGGGAAACCAGCTTCTTTGACTAATTTAGCAGTACCACCTGAAGCTAAAATTCTAACTTTAGCATCAGCTAACCCTTTAGCTAAGTCTAATAATCCGGTCTTATCATAGACTGATAAAATAGCAGTTTTAGTATAACTCATCTTTATACGTTCTAATTAATTTGAGTCAGATTTTGAGATTTTATTGAGGATTGAGAATTAGGAGAGAATAGAGTCAATTAGAGTCAATTTTTCATTATCGTTGATTTCAATATTTCGTTATCATTGACAGTGTTTGGGGAGTCGATAAGGGTCGAAATGGACCTTAAGACCAATTAAAGAGTATTTAATCAAGATGATTTGAAGATTTTTGATAGGATATTCCAATTTCATTAGTCCGATGGATCCCCATACTTTATTCCAAATAGAGTTTATAAACTATAATTCCCATGATAAGCAGACTTTACAGGACAATATAAAGAATATAAGGTATATTACTATATATCATATTAAAAAACCAGGAAAAACTAACCTGATTATTTTCTGTATCTCCATAAAGATAAAGTGTTGTGTTTTTTCCAAGTGTGGAATTTACCGGCTTTGGTGTGGTTGTATAAGTGACCTTTGTTGATACCTCTTGATTTCTTACCGGCTGAAGTAAGACCTCTAGCTTCTCTGTGTTTGTGGACTGGGTTAACAATCCAGTTGTATCTAGCATCTCTTCTGATAGCTTTGTGAGATGGATCGACTAAGATAACTTCGAAGTATTTGTAAGTAGAATCTTGGTTAACCCAGTATGAGTTTAAGACTCTTAAATTGGCAGCTTTTCTACCAACTCTGTCTTCAGCAATAGTTCTGATAGATCTTTGGTATTTTAATTGAGAAACACCTTCGTTGGTTGGTTTACCGTAAGTGGCACCCTTTGGAACTGGTCTCTTTCTGTTACCTCTTCTAACTCTGATTCTGAAGATAACAAATCCTTGTTTAGCTTTGTAACCTAATTTTCTAGCTTTTTCTGGTCTTGATGGTCTTGAAGCTCTGTGGATAACGTTCTTTTGTCTAAATTCCCAACATCTGACTCTGTATAAGAATCTCATGACATCAGATTGTTTCTTTCTGTTTAATTCTTCTAAATATTTGTAGGCACCCATTTTTGATGTGTTTAGTTAAATTGAAAATTTTTTAATTTTTCACTTTGTTCTCAATGAGGTGTTGAGAGAGCGTGTCAAAATCAAATAAATTCGAGAGTTGATTTCTATCTATTGAGAAAATGTCACAGGGCCGGTTTTTTTTCGCGAAATCGGCGTGACTGCGAATATATTTAAGCTTGAGTATAACGAAGCGAGGGCACCAGCCCTGTTTCATATAATTGGCTTAATTCGACAGTTATTAATAAGCCTGACTTACATGATAGGTAAACATATCAAACGGCTTTTCTATTTCAATTGCAAATAGGGAAATTTCCTGAAGATCCAAGAAAAATTAGTTTAAAGTTTTATGCCTTTTAAGGATTTTAGGGTGGTTTATTTTGCACAAGATTAGCCCCTCACTAAGATTACGGTCGTAATAATACCTCAGTGATGATCCATGAAGAACACGAAATGAATAATGCGTTCTTGCTTTAAGGCATACCAAAGAACTTTTCATATATTTGAAGTAATATCTTTCATAGAAAAGATCAGTAATGGTGAAAATAATCGACATGAAGTAATTAGGTTTAGAATCTAAAACTATCTTAACTATAACTATAAAGAGATCAAACAAGTAAATATCAAGGTTGAAATAACGGCTCCAAACTCTAAAAGTTTGATGGTGATCACTTGAATTTACATGCAAGTACTATTATAGCCACACTTTAAACTTCTTAAAGAAGAGATAAAAAGCTGAAAAAATTACTGAATAAAGTAATTACACTGGATCAACTGAAATATGCATGGTAACAAAGGCTCCTTATATGCGACAGTTACGTAAATTTCGCAATTCTTTGTTGGTTCTCCATGAAACGCAAGTTTCGTGGAAACAATTTCTTAGTGAGGGCACAATTTTCTATGCAAGAGAAACAATAAAGAAATTCGCTTATGCATGTCGGTTGCAGAAGTAATTACTATAAATTAAAGTTTCCATAAATACTAAACAAGAAGCTAGAGGCGGTTAAGATCTTAATTGGTTAAGGTACCGTAGCAATTATTATTATGATTTCATAGTGATTATTTATAGAGACCCAAAATCAAGGGCTTATTTAAGTAGTCCAAATTTTCGGCTTACAGTTTTAACTTTAAATTTTTTAATTTCCAATTAAATTTTTAAATTAAGCTTTACTATGGAATTATTAATACCTAGTATGAAAAATGATAATTTTTTCGTCAATTCAAATTTAGTTTCCAACAGTCAATTGGATTTTTTGAAACTTAATGATAGTGAATACTCCATGGATCCTTTTCAACCAGGAGTTCAAAGGATCAATCATTCAGAAAGGAAATCCGGTACAAACCCCGGGCTAAATGAGCCAAATTCTATTAATCCTAATTCAAATTCAATTGCCAACCATGACATCAATGCAAATCCTAATTCTGAAGCTTATAGAGGTGATTATATAAGGTCCGCTCAAGTTCCACAAGTAATGTGGGAATTCGATGGATATTTTGAACAGCCAATTGATATACTTGATGAACAGTTTGACTTTGATATCAACAACCAAGTGCAAAATTCTTCAATAACCAATTCGGGTCATAATCCTGTCGATGGAGGTCACAGATTATCAATTGCAGCTCAAGGTATACAAGAACCAATTATGAATAGACAAGGGATACTTGGGAATTCAATATCAGCTGCTCCTTTACCAACAATAACAAGTCAATCGCTTCCTAATCAATTGTCTAATAATACCCTTACCAACTCAGTTGTCAGTCCTATAGGTGGACATGCGGTTCCATCTGCACATATAAGATCACCTGAACAGCCAGTAAATCAGTTCCCACAATCATCGGGGCCTTCTGAACTGTCTTCATCATTGCACGGAAATAACACCGTGGCTATTAACACACAAGGATCAATTCCTATTCCAACTCAAACTACTACTGATCGAGAATATTATGGATATCCTGATTTGACTACCATGGTTAATTCCAATTCCAATATGGTTGTGCCATTAGTAGAATCAAGATTCATTGACAGGTCCAAATGTTCAGTATGTGGTAAAAAGATTCAGAGAGATATGCAGAGGCATATGAGGACTCATCATTTGGAGAGTAGATTCATTTGCCCATTCCCTTTAAATCAATGTAATCATAAATCGAGAAAATTCAACAGACCCTATGATTTTAAGAAGCATCTTTTAAACAAACACTTCAATTTCTTGGATCCTTCAATTAAGAGATATCATAATTTAAGTGACAAATTAAACAAATGGGGTTTTTGCAATTGTGGTAAGAAATTATTGAGTAATGACTGGTTAGCTCATCATATTCTTATCAAAGATGATAATGAGAAATGTGAACTTATTAAGGATAATAAATGATAGATTATGGTGATATTCTCTTTTACCCTAAACTGCTCTGGTTACGTTAAAGCGGAAATTTGAGATAACAATTATAAATAGGCGACGTTTCATAACGGAATTACGGTTACCAACATCAGATGTTATCCATAGCTTCTCTATGGCTTCAATTACATTTTTATTTTGGTGACAATTAGGGCGGACATCAATATAGGATACTATACCGATACGTTCAATTAGTTTTGATTGCCGATGACATAACTTAAACCGCAGATAATAGAATATCAAAGATTTGGGGAGATTATAATGGGGGTTCAAATTAAGGTTTGTTTGTTCTCATGTACGAGTTCGTAGATGTTTGAAATTTACGTTTCTAGAATAAGCTCTAGGGCGAGATTCGATGAAACATTTATGCAGACGAACCCAAATTTCAGGGGGCATGTGAATCACGCCCTAGTAGAGTTCGTAGACTTCGTACCCAGGGAAGCAATTACATAATCCGAAATTAAACTTTTTTGCTCGCCACTTACCGGCCGAAATTAAAGTTAAAGAAATCATGCCATTAAAAGATCGTTTTACTATGATCATTTAACAATTAAGATTTGATATAATCGAATTTACGTAGATGTAAAAATAATTGAGCATTAGCGCATTACAAGCGACTGGTGTGTCGATACTATTTCCGGTATTTTTTATGTGAACGAACACCTCTCACTTAAAACGCATTTCTAGAAACAGGTAGGAAACCCTTTGTTCAATTTGGATGACCTTCTTGAGAGTCACAAGGCTCATAAAAGGAGTTATTAAAGATGCGTTAGAATAAATCTCAATACGTACATTAAACTTTGCTATTCATTATATCATCATATTCACATACTTTTTTACCTTCTTTGCTGATAAGAAGATTGATATAGTCGGCTATGATTTCCACTTTCGTTGGCCTGATAGCGAGGCTAAATGGCCAATGAACACCAAGTTTTTGCATTAAACCCTCACCAAAACCTTTAGACTTACCAGGCTTTCTTTTACCAATCAAACCACCAGGTCTTAAGAAGAAATAATCATCAAAACCCAATGCCTCAATGTCTCTTTCTAATTCACCTTTGATCCTCAAATATGGAAACATGGAGTTCGGATTTGCCATTCCAGTACTAACCAAGATAAATTTAGAAACTTCTTGACTTTTACAAGCCTTAGCAAAGTCAAGGTTTGTACCGTAATCAATCTTTTTGAAGTTGTCAATTCCTCCAGCAGCAGCTCTGGTAGTTCCGAAAGAACTAATAGCAACATCGATATCTTTGAAATTGTTGCTATCTGTAAACCACTGATCTAAAGGCAAGACAACTTGCTTAATCTTTTCATTTTCAATTTCCACTTTGGACCTAGTTATAGTGGTAATAGATTCAACTGACTTATTTTCAACCAATTTCTTTAATACTTCATTCCCAACAAGACCTGTGGAACCTAATATTAACACTCTCATGATTAAGTTAAATGTGAGGTTTCTGTGGTTAAACTTTTGATGATGCGCGGAAACTAACGAACATCCGGAAACCGACATGGGACCTCAATACAGAAAGCAATCGGAGAGAAGCCACAGTGAGGGTCATTGAATTTTATTAGTATATTATTATTAATGACCGGCATTGGTGAATAGCCATCTCCCCGGAACATATCATGATGTCCGATCGATAAGTCGGAATATGGGAGAATTATTCATTTACCATATATAAACTTCGGAATAAGGAACTTTAAAAAAGTTCCGTAGCGAGATGCTAATCGATAGCTTCGAATCAATGGTCCCTTTAAGTCATCACATTGATGAAATGGTCAGCAAACTAATAATTGCCATCGTTAAGATCCTTATACTCAATAACCTTAGTACCTTCTTTCACCAATAATTTATTCACACAGTCTGATACAGATTCAACCTTTACACATCTAAGAAAGTAATTAACTGGCCAGTATAAACCGAGTTTTAAAAAGAATTGTTCTGTATTCCCGTGATAAGAATTGAGTTTTCTATCACCTTGAATCCCACCGGGTCTTAAGAAAAACATGTTGGGAATGTTCAAAGCTCTAATATCTCTTTCTAATTCACCTTTGATTCTGAGATACGGCAACATGGAATTGGGACTTGCCATTGCAGTACTTACCAAAATGAATTTGGGGATTGATTGTTCCTTACACATTTTAGCAAATTCAAGATTGGTACCATAATCAATCTTCTTAAAGTTTTCAAGACCTCCAGCACCAGCTCTAGTCGTTCCGAAAGAACTAATAGCTACATCAATATCTTTGAAATTGTTGGCATCGCTAAACCATTGATCTAAAGGCATAACAACCTGCTGGATCTTTTCATTGTCAATTTCAACTTTAGATCTTGTTATAGTGGTGATAGATTCAACAGCAGCATTATCAATTAACTTCTTCAAGATTTCTCCTCCAGCAAAACCGGTTGATCCTAAAATTACCACTCTCATTGATGAGTTTTTTTTGTCCGTTTGCAACATCATTGATTTAAATAAAACGGATTTCATTATCTACATCACGTGACACGGATCTAAAGATTTAATCATGGTGCGTATCTCCTTGGTGTTATGGTCTCAGGAGTTTTGTCAAACCTTACGGTCACGTGACCCAACGCTCTCGTAAAATTGTCGCGTTGTTATTATTATTGGAAAACTTATGTCCAAGGGTATAATCAACTATATTAATGATGGTTGGTCTTTTCGTATCCGACCGAGACAACACCACGATGATACAGTTGGCCAACATTCCTGTCAGATAAGATAATGAGTCAAACACCCCAACAACTGGTGCACCAGGAAAATCTAAACATAGACGCGAAACTAAACGGCGACACGGTATTTTGATGATGTTTCAAAAAGGAAAGTACTTCATGTTGATATTTAGATCTTACCTTAAATAAAATTCTCCTATCTTTAAATCTCGTGTATGTTTGGCCACTCCAGGTTTCGAAATCTGAAACTATCGAGCTTCCACAAGTTGAAATTCATCATCTCTACTATACCTTCCCTTCAATTATATCTCCAATATCTGTCAGACGTTGGATCGGCAAACAACCGAATTCTCGGACGTAAATATTTAGCTTACTCAAAAAAGTAATGATACTCATTTTGGAAGCTTTGTTGATTTTAAAATTTAAGAATCGTGCATAAAAACAATACGAATACAAAATATTTACTACGACGTGTTGTTTATATATGAAGACAAACTTCCCACAATCAAGAAAGCATCTATTTCATAGCATTTAAAAGTTGGAAACTTATTCAACATCCTTCTACATTCAAAGCATTACCTTCCTTTTGGCATTATACACACTCATTTAATAGATCATGACTGAAGAAATTGATATTTATGCTAACAAATTAAAATTCAAATTAAAAGATGCTTATTACAAGTTAAACAAAGATGTCAATGTCAATTCCCTTAATTCCCTTAATTCATCAACCAAATTAATCATTACACCCTTATCATCTAAGAATTTAAAAATCTTACATTCTAAGAATTTGAATAGAATGAAAAGATTACCATTAAAATCATCACCATTAAGATCCAAAAATTTCAGTAATTCTATCAATATCAACTTGGGAAAGATTTCCAAACCAAAGAATTTGAAGTTATTTTCCATAAAGAAAGATTCCCAATTTTATAATAATTCATTAAATTCTGTATCGAAGAATTTACCTTTAATACCAACTAATTCTTTCACTACGTCATTTAACTCCACATCATTCAATAGTTTCAATTCAAATGTAAATAATACTAGTTTAAAGGAAGAGTTACCACCAATCAACAAGATTTTAAAGACTCCTTTAAAATTATCCAAATCTCCACTTAAGGATTTCACACCAAATTCTTTGAATGTGGCAAAGAGTTTATTACAATTAGGTAGTGGTTATTATTAATGATTAATGAAAAAAGAGTTTCACTTGTTCTCTAAAGTTCTCATTACGTCGTTTTATACTCATCAAAGTTGAGTGTATAAATACTTCCGCTTAAATCCATGATCTCTTGTAGTTGAAAAGGTTTATATGGCTATAGATCCGATACTTTTGGACTTTGGACGATCGAAGATGAGTTCACATATTCAGCTTCCTAGGACTTTAGTCTGTTGTACATTGGCTGCAGATTCCATAATAGCATAAGTATCATATTGAAACTATATTATGCGGCTACTCTCGGAAATATGCATGAAATGAGGACCAACAGTTGAACCATTCCTTACATTTAGTGGTGTCCAGAGCCATCGTTTCCATTGCTTAATCATCATAAGCGAAAACCTTTCAAATCCACAACTCACACGGTATTACTAATCACAGTTGCTTATCTATGATTCCACACCTTTCCTTGACGTGCGCATTATCGGACCGGTGAATTTCCTCAGTATAAATTCAAGTACGAATCTCAACCCCCTATATTATCAAAATGTTTAAGATTGGTGAAGATACTCTTCCAATTGGTTATGGATTAGGTACTAAATGGTTTAAGAAGTCAGATGAACTTAATACTGAAATCACTGATAGTTTAATTGAAGCTGTTAAGACTGGTTTTACTCACATTGATTTAGCTGAAGTTTATGGTAACTATGCTGAATTCAAAGCTGCTTTACCAGAGATTTTGAAACTTGTCCCAAGAGAAAAGTTATTTATTACTGATAAATTCAATCCATCTGTCAAAGATACTGATCACACTCCTTTAAAGCACTTGAAAGAGACTTTAGCTTATCTTGGTTTGGAATATGTTGATTTATATTTAATTCATTCTCCTTTTGTTGCTGACCATTTAACTATCGAATCAACATGGGATGAATGTAAGACCTTAAAGAAAGAAGGTTTGGCCAAACATATCGGTGTTTCAAATTTCGCTGTCAAGGATCTTGAAAAGATCGATGGTGTTGAAGCCAACCAAATTGAATTCTCTCCTTTCTTACAAGCTCAAACCCCAGGAATTGTTGAATATTGTCAAAAATCCAATATCCTTGTTGAAGCTTATTCTTCACAAACTCCTGTTATTCAACAAGATGTTAACCCTGAATTGACTGAATATTTAACTAAATTGAGTGAAAAATATGGTAAATCTGTTGGTCAAATCAATTTACGTTGGGTTTTCGATCAAGGTGTTTTACCAGTCACTACCACCAATAAAGTCGATAGAATGAAAGAATATTTAGATCTCGATTTCAAATTGACTGATGAAGAAGTCCAGAAGATCAATGAATTAGGTGCTAAAACTCACATTAGAAAGTATTGGACTGATTATTATAAATAGTTTAATAAACACTCAATTCTTCTATTATATCGAAAATGTTATTCTCTAATTGGAAATCGTCAAATACCAAACATTGATTCAATTGATTGATCTTTCCATTTAAATTGTCGTCACTTATCATCTTGGATATGATTGACTCGTCTACTTCTACACCGAATAATCGATTTATATTCTGAAGTTTTATGGATTTGTAAGATAAGGGTAGTACAGACAAATTGGTTTGAATTAAATTTTCAATGAGTTTTGATTTTGGTAGTTTCAATATCCATTTTGTTTTCACTGCAGCCAAGAATGACTCGAATTCGTTTATATGGATGAAATCTTTATTCAATAACTTCAGAAATAACTCATCTTGGAAATGTATGTTGAAAGATTGCTTCAACTTGTGAATAAACTTCAAGATCTCTGCCTTTCTAAAATCATATTTCAGTATTACCAGTAATTCTACGATCTTCTCTATCAATTCAATTTTCATGTTATCAGGTGCTGAGTTGACAAGGGTTAATTTCTTGTTGATCAATTCTATGATTTTGTTCTGATTTATCAGGTTAAGTAACAAATAATCAGAATGGATATCTTGGTATTTCAACTTGATGAATTCATTCAAAACGGCATCATTAGATTGTGGACACGGTACGAGTTGTAAGTCATGCTCGAAATCCTTTAGGATAGATAATTGTTCGTTAAGTTGGTTGGAACAATAATCGCTATAGATCTGATCCATTTTGAGATGTGAGAATTTCTGTGAGAGTTTGAGGTTGGGGGTTTTGAAGGTGAACTTGGGGAGACAACATATGGGCAGGAACCATGCAGAACCTGGAAACGAGAGTCTCTTTGATAAGAACCTTGAGATATAAACAAGGATTTACACCATTATCACATCTATGTAAAATCATAATGGAACGGCTACACTATCCTTAAACTCTCATCTATCCATATCTGCCACACTCTCCTTCAAATCCTTATCTATCCATCTCCCAAATACCCCACTAGCCATATCGATCTGACTACAGCCACCGTAACTTTAAATTGACCCAACCGTACCCAACTTCCTAAAACAGTCATAACTTAACTTTGCCCTAAGAGGTAGTTCCCGCCTATCGCGAACTGATAAGAAGACCTTATTCCCACTTGAATCAATTATGTATATTCCTGACAAATATCAAGCTTCTGATTGGGAGTTACAGAAATCCATCATTGAGAATTATCCCCTTGCAACATTAATCACCTCAAATAATGAACTCATAGCCAATCATATCCCCTTTAACTTGATAGAAAGAGATGGTAAAAAGTATTTACAAGCTCACATAGCTAAGAAAAATCATCAATTACCTTCATTGGACAATAATGACAATGTATTGGTAGTATTCACTTCCCATGATTCTTATATTACACCTGCTTACTATGCTACCAAGCAAGAAACTCATAAAGTGGTGCCAACTTGGGATTTTGCTAGCGTTCATATCTATGGAAAATCTCAAATCATTGATTCACCTGAATTCCTTCGTGCTCAACATCTGACTTTGGCAGATGAAAATGAACCAACCATTAACGGGAAGAAATGGACTGTGGACGAAACTCCGGAAAATTACTATAAATTATTATCCAAGGCCATTACAGGTTTAGAGATTGAGATTGTCAAAACTGAAGGTAAGTTTAAATTCGAACAGAAGATGAAATCCGAAGATGTTAAAGGGGTCATAACAGGATTGAAATCCCACGGTAAAGATCGAGTTGCTCAATTTGTCGAAGATTCTAATGCTGGAATCTAAAATTCTATTTATTTTATTTATTAATAAGGATTGAACCCTCCTTTTCCTCTGAATGAACCTCTAAATCCGGCTCTACCTCGAGCCCTTCCACGACTCCTTGTTACACCACGACCTCTGGAACCTCTTCCTCGAGAACTTAATCCAGGTATATTTGTTCTTTTCGCTGCCACCTTCAATTCTCGATCCCTGAAAGTGCTTCCATCTAAAGTTGCAATGGCTCTATCCACTGAATCGATTTGTTCAAATTCAATGTAAGCAAACCCTTTGGGGTTTCCTGTCTTTTTATCTTTCATAATTGTGACTCGATTGATTTCACCTGCACTAACAAAGTGTTGTTGTAGTTCTACAGGAAGAGTAGCATAATCAACATTACCCACATAGATCGACCTACTGTCTATATCCTGCTTTTCTTGTTCCTGTTCAGCATCTACCATTGACTGGTCAGCACTAAACAGTTCTTGCAACTCCGTAGTCTGTTGTTCGATATCCTTTAGCCGTTGTTTGTAAGCTTCTACAGCTTCTCGAGACTCTGACATGGTTTTTTTTTTTGCAATCGCGCATGGTTTACCGAAGTTTATAAGAAGTGAAAAAATGTATTAAATTAAATAATTAGACAGGTAAATTCCTAGATCTATGGAGATTACCCTTTTGTTTAATGGACATAGGTTTGGGCGGACCTCTTTCGATAGTACCATAACCATTTTGAGCCATGAAAGGAGCATTTTCATCATCGGTCTCATAACCTCTATCCCAATTACTTGGACCATGATCACTCAGACCAATATCCATGAAACTTTCAGGAGCTTCAACGTCAAAGGGATTGGGTGGAACTTTAAGTTTGTCATTGGATCCACCAAGACAAAACATTATGAGGAAGATCAAGAAAGAGAACAATATAAGTCCAAGAATGACACCAATTCCCACACTGACGAAACCTAAGTGAACATGGAGGAACCCTCTATCTAACCAAGAGGGGTTGATTGGTCTATCGATCAAAAACACACAAGGAGAATCTTCGGCAAATGATACACATCCATGAGATAAAACCTTGATTTTATGAGATAATTTACTACCTGAATTATCAGTAACATCGAAAATAACTCTACCATTCTTGTTCTTCTTACAAGAGAATTTCAAATTTGTATGGTTGGATCCAATTAAGTAGCCAGTACTTGTTTTATTCAAACTTTCATTATCTTGATCTTCCATACAATTGATTAATTTAGGTAACTCTTCATTGGGGATTATATGCATTTCCATGAATTCCCAAAGATTCTCCATTGATGTGGTGATATTGTAAAGACTCATGGATTCTGGCGTGGGTACTAATAAGGAATAATTATTGGAGTTGAAGAGGAAATCTTCCAATAAGGGGAATTTCTCGATTAATGATAAGAAACTCAAACCATCATCTTCAGTGGATTTTATCAAGTCAATGAATGAAACTTCGAAATCAGCTGGTAAAAGCAACTTGTTTACAATATGAATAACACCTTGATTGAATAAAATGTCGGAATTTAAAGGTAAAGATACCACGGTATCGTTGATCTTCACGAAATGATTATACTTATCATCCATGGGACCTTCTTTTATTATGACGTTATCTCCTCTCAATGTTTGAAAATGACCATCTTCGTCTTCAGATAATGAAAAATCCGAATAAATCGTTCCTTCAACAAATATTCCCTTTAAAAGATTATGGAAGACTTTAGGATTTTTTTCTAAGTAATTCAAAACTAGTCCTAGACTTTCCCAATTTCCCACGGTTTTCAACCCTACATCATCATTGAAAGGTTTACCACATGGCAAAAATGCAGAATAACCCAACTTATTTTCTTTCAAAGCAAGTAAGTCAAAGTCATTAAGATATTGAATGGTTTTCAAGCATTCTTTCTGATCAATTTTGATATGTTCCAAATGCCTTTGTATAGCTCCAGATGATAACAAATCAGCTAAAGAATGCTTCAAATTACTGGGGGTATCAATAGACTTGTCGACAATATAAGCTATACTATCGTTACCCACAGCAAGAGCATCAGATTTGATTTTAATATCATCGTTGACTCTTGACTCTAGAGGATAATTTGACGACGATAATTTGATCTTGAAACATCCATTGATTTTTTTCTCCGAACATAAACAGGTATCTGCAAGTTTATAAAAAGTTCCATTACCAATATTGTTTGTAATATTGATCCGTTCATCAATGAACTGATACATCAATGATTGTTTTGAGCTGAATCCAGTGATAGACATATCTTTTTCATATACGTAAGCTTCATTGTCTTCGACATCATCCCTTTGATCGAAACTTAGAAGAATTGTTTGATTAGAAGATGAGCCATCAATCAAATATTCTAAGGAACGAAATTCCAACTCGTTGACAAGATTAGAATAATGTAATGCATATAGTGATTTCCTAGGGATCATATCAACCAAAGGAATATTCAAATGATTGAAAAAATCTTTGTTGCCAAAAACATAAATTCCTCCGTCATTGGCTGAAACCATATGTGAGGAATTGACTTTACTATTAACGGATAATTCATTGAAATGACCTGCTAGCTTAAATTCAAGACCACTCTTACTCTTATAATGATGTTTGGTGGTGTTTGAAGGGGAAATGTATTCAGGAAATATCAAATTATCAAGTAAATTAACAATATCGTGTTTGATCTCGAGGATGGATTTATCAGTGGATGTGAACCTGTTACCATTGATAGTATGATATAATGCAGAATAGTATCTTCTTGTCATGTTGGACATGGAATTAAATACCGTTTCATCATCAGGAATGAAGATGGTGGATGTGGTGTTAAGATATTCCTCACAACTTAAAGGAAGCTTAGGTGGTTTGGTATGATGTTTTTTCTTACTCTGAGGTATTAAGGAAGCTTTGGATTGATGAAATAACAGCTGAAACAACAGTTGTATGAATGTGATATCGGTAGTATTGGTCTTACCTAAAAGAATATCACACATACTGGGTTTCAAAGGTAATTGTGCATCGATTCCTTGAATAAATGACCATTGATGTTTGGCATAGATATCTGGTTCCACAATAGTAGCTCTGTGGTCAACCTCAAATACTTCATCCTCGAAGTTTGGGGATATTATAACTGGATATGGTTTGCCTTTAATTGTGTATAAAGATTCAAACACGGCTGATTTTTCGTCCATCCAACCCACACGAAACTTCTGGTTTAATACATACCTCATGAGTTCGTCATGATCATTAGTAATCTCAAGCTGACTGTTAGTGAAAGCCAGATTCACAGGGGCTAATAATGTTATGTTTTGTAGTTGGTTTATTATAGGTATCAAACCATTTTTCTGTAAGATCCTCAAAAAGTAAGAAAATTCCACATTTGATGAAAGAATATCCACGATGGTGGACGGAGTGGGTTCTATCACCGGTGTGGTGGTGGTAGCTGAGGTCGCTATCACCAATAGAAAGAACAAAGCAAGAAGGTTAAAACCCATGATGATTATCCTGTTCGCGGTGAATTTTAGATCGCGGAGAGACATTTATTCTATGTAGTGGAAAGTATAAGAAAAGGCTTTTTTAGAATACAATAACGGCCCAGGTCCCCAATACAGCTAAGAATGTTGATACAAAAACTGCCAGAAGGACCATGAATCTTTCGAATCCTGAAGTTTTCACTAATTTCAAATAAAAACAACAAGGTAATATGATACATACTAAGAAACAAATAGATGCCCCTAACATACCAATAATTTTATCGAAATCAGGGAACACAATGGCCAAGTAAACGAAAATGGCGTTAACACCCACTCTGGTGATGAATTTCCCGAGGTTCTTGATTAATGCTTTGAACCAATGGGATGATTCTGTGTTTGTATGTAACATAGAATCTAAAGTTGCAATAATTGGTTTAGCATTCAAAGGAGTCTTTGCAATGGGTACAAGACAAATGAGTCCTGAGATTAAAGGATAAATCCAATCAGGGTAACCTTTAGTGAATAAGATATTATTAGTGATTTCATCTTTACAATACATTCCAAACATCAAGAACCCTAAAACCCCCATAGAAAAATCAGTTAACAAAGTAATTGAATAGGTGGTTTTCAAAGTTTGAGTGAATTTGTATGGATGTCTCATATCACTCTTTAAATTGGGAAAGATAGCATGACCACCAAAAGGAGCCATTAAAATACCTATAGCAAGTAATAAGTCTGTGTAGTTATCTGGCCAAATTTTTGTTGGCATGACATCTATCAAAGATCCAGGTGAATCAGCTTTCAATAACCCACATACTAATACTAATATAGTTATGGAAATGGTAGATATAATACCAAATAATGAAAAAATTGAAAGAATAGGTAATGGCATGAAAGTAAAAGGAGTTAATACGATGAAACTTAAGATTTTGAATTTGGGTTTCGTCCAGTTTTCATCGTCTCCCAATAATGCATAAAGTGAATCGGAGAATAAAACAATTAATGAAACTCCAGCACCAATTAAATCAATGGAAAAGATCAAAGAAATCAATAATTTTGCCATAGATCCATATGAAGCATAACCTAAATCAGCATAAGTCATTAAAGTTTTATCAGTATCCATAGATTTGGATAATAAGGTGGCTGACCAATAAGTTGCAAATCCACATCCCAATAATAATGGTACACCGATGATCCAACCAGCTTTTAAGAAACCTACTGGTAAGGCTAATAACCCTACACCAATAAGGACATTAATAGAATTGAAAATTGTTTGAGGAGCTGTACTTTGACCTTCTAAAACTGTAACCACATTACCATCTTTATCTTCGATTTTTTTAGTATTAAGATAATCAGCAGTGGTGATATTAGAAATAGAACTTCGAATTGATGAAAATGAAGGTGCTGGGATAACTCTTCTTTTGGGTATAGGAATTCCTTGGTATGAAGTAGCTGTGGAATTAGTTCTAGATTTAGAACTATTCAATGCATTGATTATATCATCTTGATAAAACACGTCATTATTATATGGAGATGTACCACTTCCATTACCTGGAGAATTATAAGAATGACCATCATAACTGAATAAGTTATTTCTTAAAAGATTCATATCATGAACTACAGTACTTAATCTTTCACCTCTCATTGAAGGGATCATTAATTCTGGGTCGAAAGTTTCATCGGTTTCTCCGTCGTCATGTTGTTGAAAGAATGATCTCTTCTTATGAATTTTACTGTCCAATTTACTTGCTTGATAGGATTGAGCTCTTGTGAATGAACTTGCAAAATTATGTAACGAGTTAGGACCTTTGAATGAACCAATAGGAGCATCCAAAACCAGTTGTCTTCGGAAACTATTCAATGGTGTATATTCATGAGCTATCAAAGACTCGTCATCATCAATAGTATCAGACATGGTGACCCCTTGAAACAAAAATGGAGTTGAATTTCAAACAGGGTTTATGTTGAGAAGATTTCGAGATTTCATCTTTGACGATAAGGAAACTTTGTCACGTGATATGACTCTGGTATTTATAATTTTTTTTTTAGGTCTCAAAAATCTCGTACGGCCCTCCTTAAATAGAATAACTAATAATAACGATGATTCTGTGGTTTAAACGAATGTGGAACCATTCAATTATATTTAAGAAGGATAATGAATTAACTAATGCACAAAAATGGGGGTTGGGACTTTTCAATTTAGCTTCGGTAGTTATCTTTTGGGTAATGTCTTCATTCTTAGTAAGTGATCTTTTTGAAAGTGATATCTACCGGAAACCTTTCTTGATAACATATTTGAATACGGCATGTTTCAGTTTTTATATAATACCGTATTTGAAGTTTGAAAAACTCAGTATCAAGCAATTTATATCCATAGTAAGGAAAGAATTAAATGAAAAACGGATCGATATAGAAGCGGCATCCTACGGATCTAATGATAGTGATGAAAATGTCGAACAAACCGATACTGCATCTTCACCTTTAATGAATCATACGGAGATAGTGGAAGGAGAAACTTTAGAATCAAATAAGAATTTAGATATAGGGATTTTAGAAACTATCAAATTATCATTAACATTCGTTGCATTATGGTTCTCTGCCAATTTAGTCACTAATTCATCATTATCATATACTTCAGTGGCATCACAAACGATTTTATCAAGTACTTCATCATTTTTCACCTTGATTGTAGGATTTATATATTCTGTGGAAAGAATTAATAAGAGTAAAATTTATGGAATAATACTATGTTTTACTGGGGTTTTGATAGTTACTAATGAAGATTCTGCCACTTCGAATCCTACCAATTCAACATTGATGGTTTTCATTGGAAATATGTTAGCACTTTCAGGAGCTTTAATTTATGGGATTTACACGATTTTATTAAAAGCTAAGACCATTATTAAGAACTCCCATGTAGAAAGAAACTTGAATGCCCATTTGTTCTTTGCATTTGTCGGTTTATTTTGTCTTTTCCTTTTATGGCCAATAATCATCATCTTACATTTCACTGGTATTGAAGAATTCGCTTTACCTACAGATCGTCATACTTTAACATTATTATTGATCAATATGTTAATCACTTTTGTTAGTGATTTCTGTTGGTGTAAGGCAGTTATCTTGACTAGTCCTTTAACTGTTACAGTGGGATTATCATTAACCATTCCTTTGGCTATGGTTGGAGATTGGATCATTAAACAATTTAAGTTCAATTGGATTTATGCTACAGGTGCTACTATCGTCACCATTGGGTTCTTAATCATCAATCAAGATGAAAAGAACGATCATGATCGTAATTTATAGAGTAATAATAGAAAATGCGCGGAGTCTTCTCAATTCAATTTCTAACATCGTCAATGAGACCTGGTGGTTGGCTTTTCCTTCTTTGGTCATTACAAGTATGGGCATATAATTCCTTGGAAGCTTTGACGCTAACCGAAGTATCTAGTCAATCAGAAGATTTCATAATACGGATTGAAGATGGGAATTTAGATCTTTTCACAGGTGTCCGAGATTATTATACTTTGGTGATATTGACATCAACATTGGACAAACATAATTGTGTACCATGTAAAGGTATCATGGATGGAATCAAAAGGGTATCAAAGAATTATTTCAAGGATTACAAACAATTACACCAATTATTCTTTGTTGAAATTGATCTTGTTCATGAAGGTAATCGAAAAATCGCCAACGATCTCCAATTAGCAAGTATCCCACATGTTTGGTTAGTTCCACCTAATCCTAAAGAACAATATGAACCTTTAGCAATTCTTAAGGAACAACATTTTGTTTTTAAAGTACCTAAAGGATCAGTTGCAAATCAAGCTTTAGAATTAGCAAGATTATTATCTCAAACATTGAATAAGAGTATTTATGTCAGAGATGAAGATCCTTTGACACAATTCATCTTATACTTCTCGGTGACTTTCTTGTCCATTACAATCTTGAAGAGAAGGGGCCCCAAAATTGTCACTAATCTTGGGAAACCTATGGCTTGGAGAATTATAGCTATTGGTGCTATATTATCTTCAATTACAGGTTATCAATTCACCAAGATTAAAAAAGTTCCTTTCATCGCCAGAAATGAGAAAGGGATCATGTTCATTAGTGGAGGTCATCATTATCAATTTGGTACTGAAATAGTCATCGTTAGTGCTAATTATATTCTTTTGGGTGTAGCTACCCTTTTCTTGATCTACCTTGGTAATTATAAACCTCATGAACGTAGTAAATTCCAGAAAGATCATATTCAAATTTTAATCACAATCAATTGTGTTGTACTTTATATATTCTATAGTTGTCTTACAAGTATTGCATTAAGAAAGGATCCTTACTATCCTTATCATTTCACGAAGTTTTTTTAAGAAATATACAAATTCGCGTCATGAAGAGGAAGATAACTGATTTCTTTCAGGTCTCTAAGAAAGTGTCAAATAATATCAAAAGTGTTCCGAAGACTGACATTAAGGTCGTTAAGGGTTCCGATAGTGATAAAGAGAACATTGACCAGGATAATAAAGATAATGATGGTAATGGAACCGCGTATGAAGAATTTGCTAAAAAGAATGGATTTGATAAGACCAAATGGTTAGAATCTTTAAATGAAGAACATAAGGAATTGTTGGATTTGGAAATCAATAATTTACATATTTCATGGTTAACTTTCCTTCATAAAGAATTAACCAAACCATATTTCTTGAATTTAAAGAAATTCTTAAAGGCTCAACAACTGAAAACTGTATTTCCACCCAAAAATCAAATTTATTCATGGTCCCATTATACTCCATTACCTGAAATCAAGTGTCTTGTTTTAGGTCAAGATCCTTATCATAATTTCAATCAAGCTCATGGATTAGCATTCCTGGTATTAGAACCTACTAAACCACCACCATCATTGAAAAATATCTATAAAACCATTCAAACCGATTATCCTAAATTTGAAATCCCCAACTCGACAAAAGGTGGTGGTGGTAACTTAACTAAATGGGCAGAAAGAGGGGTTTTACTTTTAAATACTTGTTTAACAGTTGAAGCTCATAAACCAAATAGTCATTCGAAGCATGGATGGGAAACATTTACACAGAAAATTATTGAAACAGCTATTAATTTCCATTTGGAAAAACAAGGATTCGTTGTCATGGCATGGGGAATGCCGGCTCAAAATACATTAAGTAATTTCAAAGATCTCAATAAAGATAATTTCTTAGTTATAAAGACATTCCATCCTTCACCATTTTCAGCAGCCAAAGGATTTTTCACCCTGAAATGCTTTAAATCGTGTAATGAGTGGTTACAACAACAAGGGAAACAACCTATAGATTGGTCAATTGTAGAAAATAATAGTATTTGGTGAGGGTAGTTTATTTCTTAATATAGAAAAATCTCAGTGCCCGGTACCTCTTAAATATCTCGTAATTATAACGCAAAACACCAACATTATCCCCAACTTAACCTTAGATAGATAAATATCACCTCCCTAATATATCGTCATTTTTTAACGGTTTTCAAATAGTGGAAAAATGACCCAGTTCCATAATCTTCTTCAATAGTTTAAAAACTCATAAATCTCATTATTTTCTACACGTCTATTTTCGCAGCAAAAGGAATTCATGGGTGTTACCCTGCCTGACCGATAAATGAGAATTTTATAAACCTACCCAGTTGAAAATTTTTAAGGATAAACCATTATAAACAACAACCTTAACTAAATTTTTTATCAGTGATAATCATCGTGAATCATCAGGGAATTCTTGAATATTTATTTCGTTACAAATAATTCCTTAACTCCAATATCAGATATACCAAATCGGGACATTGATAGATTTCTTTTGTTGTGACATTAAAACGTTGATTTTTATAATCCAATCTTGATTCAATTTTTTTAAACAAGCTGTCAAGTTAATTTATTACAGTAGAAACGTTATGACAAGTACGAAATTAAAATTTGAAAAGGAATCTTTAAATGATAGGAAGAAGAGATTTATCTTATCAACAGATCCTGCAACGGCAAAAAAGAAAGATGTAGATGATTCTACTAAAAGATTCCGTTATTTATTAGGATATTCTCATTTATTCCGTCATTTCATTGATTTAAATGCTTCAAAAGATAAGAATTTCAAACAATTAATTCAATCAGTTGATAAAGAACATTCATTTACTGATAATAAGAAATCAAAGAAAAAGAATACTAGAAGAAGAAAAACTGAAAAAGAAGAAGATGCTGAATTATTAATGGAAGAAGAACATATCGGAGATGAAGATTCTACAACAACGGTATTAACGGAATCTCCAAGTTATGTCCAAGAAGGTAAATTAAGAGAATATCAAGTTGATGGACTTAATTGGTTGATTTCTTTATATGAAAATAGATTAAGTGGAATTTTAGCTGATGAAATGGGTCTTGGTAAAACTTTACAAACGATATCATTTTTAGGTTATTTAAGATATATTAAACAAATCGATGGTCCATTCATTGTTATCGTGCCTAAATCAACTTTAGATAATTGGAGAAGAGAATTCGCTAAATGGACTCCTGACGTTGATGTGGTAGTTTTACAAGGAAATAAAGATGAAAGAAATGAAATAATTCAAGATAGAATATTATCAGCAAAATTCGATGTTTTAATTACATCTTTTGAAATGATTATAAGAGAGAAATCTCAATTGAAAAAAGTTAAATGGGAATATATCATAGTTGATGAAGCTCATAGAATTAAGAATGAAGACAGTTCGTTATCACAAATCATTAGATTGTTTTATTCTCGTAATAGATTATTAATTACTGGAACTCCTTTACAAAATAATTTACATGAATTATGGGCATTATTAAATTTCCTTTTACCTGATGTTTTTGGAGATTCTGAAATGTTTGATGAATGGTTTGATAGTAATAATACTAATGAGGATGATGATGATGAAACAAAAGAAAGGAAACAAAATGAAGTGGTGGCTCAACTACATCAAATTTTAAGTCCTTTCATTCTAAGAAGAGTGAAAGCTGATGTGGAAAAATCTTTATTACCTAAGATAGAAACCAATTTATATATCAAAATGTCCAATATGCAAAGTGAATGGTATAGAAGATTATTGGAAAAAGATATTGATGCTGTTAATGGAGCTATAGGTAAAAGAGAAGGTAAAACAAGATTATTAAATATCGTTATGCAATTAAGAAAATGTTGTAATCATCCATATCTTTTCGATGGTGCTGAGCCTGGTCCACCTTATACTAATGATGAACATTTGGTTTATAATTCAGGTAAAATGATTGTTTTAGATAAATTATTGAAAAAATTCAAAGCTGAAGGATCAAGAGTTTTAATATTCTCTCAAATGTCAAGAGTTTTGGATATAATGGAAGATTATTGTTATTTAAGAGATTACACTTATTGTAGGATTGATGGTTCTACTTCTCATGAAGATAGAGTTGAAGCTATTGATGATTATAATGCACCTGATTCAGAAAAATTCTTATTTTTATTAACCACTAGAGCTGGTGGTTTAGGTATTAATTTAACAACTGCTGATATAGTTATTTTATTTGATAGTGATTGGAATCCTCAAGCTGATTTACAAGCTATGGATAGAGCTCATAGAATTGGTCAAAAGAAACAAGTTAAAGTCTATAGATTTGTAACTGAAAATGCTATTGAGGAGAAAGTTTTAGAAAGAGCTGCACAAAAATTAAGATTAGATCAATTAGTCATTCAAATGGGAAGACAACAATTACAAAATAATACCGTAGGGAATTCAAAAGATGATTTATTGGGAATGATTCAACATGGAGCCAAGGATGTTTTTGATAGTAAATCCACAGGTAATGAAAAGAATCAAAATTTATTGGATGAGGATATTGAAGAAATTTTGGCAAAAGGAGCTGAAAAGACAGCTAATTTGAATTCCAAGTTCAACAAATTAGGTTTAGATGATATTCAAAATTTTACCTTCCAAGCATCAAATTATGAATGGAATGGTGAAAATTTTGCTAAGAAAGAAGAAAATGGTTTAGGTGTTGGCTGGATAAATCCTTCTAAAAGAGAAAGGAAAGAACAGAATTATATGGTGGATAATTATTATAGAACAGCTTTCAAAACGTCAAATGTTGATGGTAATTATATACCTAGTGGTAGACCTAAAGCTCCTAAGATCTATAATGTAATGGATTTCCAGTTCTTCCCTGACCAATTGGTGGACTTACTCGAAAGGGAACAATTACAGCATAAGAAGGAAACTGGTTTTAAGTATACCTTGAAAGATTTCGGTGATAGTGATGAAGAATTTCTTGCTGATGAATTCAAAAATGATTTATCTAGAGAAGAGAGGAAAGCCATTGCTCAAAAGAAACTTAAAGAAGCTGTTCCTTTATCTGAAGAAGAAGTTCAATTGAAAGATGAGTTATTAGCAAAATCTTTCCATAATTGGACAAAGCGTGACTTTACCAATTTTATCAAAGCTACTGCCAAATTCGGAAGAGAATCTTATGATAAATTGTCAGAAGAAATCGGTACCAAAACTCCAGAAGAAGTTGAAAAGTATCTGAAAGCATTCTGGACTAATTATAAATCCATTAAGGGATATGAAAAGTTCATTTCACAAATTGAAAAAATGGAGAAACAAGTGAATAAATTAAAATCACAAAATGATCTTTTGAATTCTCGTATGGGAAGTTTACCTGATCCTTTGAATGATTTTGTTATTCATTATCCTCCTAATAATGCTAAGAGATTATATTCAAAATTGGAAGATAGATTCATCTTATTCTGTGTATACAAACATGGAATTTTCGCCGAAAACTTATCGGAAAAGATCAAAGAAGAAGTAATGAAAAGTGACTTGTTCCGTTTCGATTGGTATATCTTATCAAGAACTGCTAATGAATTAGGTAAAAGGGTTACCACTTTATTACTGGCCCTTTCCAAGGAAGAAGAAAAGAAGAAGAAAACATTTAATATTGGATCCAATAGTAGCACCAGAGCTGGATCCGTCGAACCTTCAACTCAAAACGAGTCCCCAGGTATAAGTGATGCATATGGTAAAAGATTGGCGGAGGACGATGGTTTGAAGAAGAAGAAAAAGAAGATTATAGCATAATATTTTTTGTAGTATAGTATAATTTACATTCTATTTTTACACACTGAACATATCTTACAAATATTGAGGTTGAATTTCCTCTTCAACTGTCGATATGAAATAAGGAACTTTGTTGGCTGTCCAACTAACTGAGAGGAAGTCACTCATTTCATGTCTTTCAACACTCAAATAATCAAATAACGTTTTCTCTCCAGTTGATTTATATCTTGGAGTGATGAAATTCTTCAAACTGATAAGTTTGGCCCCTGGTTTGAGCCCATATAAAAGTTTACCAATTTCAACATTAAGTTTCATATCGAATAAATAATTGTTAACAACTATGACATCACAATCGAGAATTTGGTTTCTGACTTTTTCATTATCGACAAAACTTTGACTCAAAACAAACTCAAGATTTAACTCTTTTATACCGAAACTTCTCAATTGCTTTTGGAGTATATTAGCTTGAATTTCTGTCAAATAAGATGCATGTTCCATCAATTCACAACCTCCACTAAATCCAGCCCCAAACTCTAATGCCGCTTGGAAAGTGGTATTCCCTACCCCTGAACCTAAATCATAAAATCTTTGACCTGGTTTGAACATGATCTTGGTCAAAACCTCACTCATGAACGACGGTAACAATTCACCATAAACTTCCGCCGTGAATGCCTTGTACTTTCTAAGTTTAGACGATCTAGTTGACACTACTCGTGAATAAACCCTGACTAAAAATTGTTGCATACAATATCTTGAAATGGTATTCTTGGATTTTAAACACTCAAAGAACTTGTCTCTATAAACCTTGGGACGTGAAAATTCACCAATCAGTTCTTTCTCTAGATCTTGTAAGTCAGTAGCTGGAAACATTGGATTTTCCCCAACATTCAAAGCAGGTATCTCCTTGGGTGTTAATGAAGGCTCTTTGCCATCATGTACTTCGTTTTCAGGTTCTGGAGTTTGCGATAATAAACTAAAATTCAGATTAACTGAAGTGGGAGTATCAGGGAAAGGCGAGTTTTCTGGGGGAGTGAAGAAGACAATCTCTTTGTAGAAAACATCAAGCTTCAAAATTTCAGCCCACTTCTCTGTATCTTCTTCTGTTTCGGGCTTTAATCCAATATCGGTATTTCCAGGTTCTATAAAAGCGTCAGGGACAGGGGTAAGATATCCTCTAACTTCAGGGTTGATGTCTTCCTTAAACAATTCCTCGGGCACGTCATTGGGAGATAAGATAAGCATGAGTCTATTCCAACTATCAATCACTTCCATAAAAGATATGAAATCATCATCAACAATGGATTTGTCTAGCTTTAAACAATAATCTGTATAGACTATCTCTTTTATTTTAGGCGAATGGGAAAAATATAAACAACAATGAATTTGGAATAGCTTTTGAATTTCAACAATTGGATTCAATTCTTCACCTTTTGGTAATCCCAAAATAAACATTTCATAACGTTCAGGGTATAACAAAGTTCTGATTCTGATTTTGTTGTAGCTATTCAATTCTTCATCACCTAATGCGTTGATAATGAAAATCTTGGGGAACGAAGATGGTAAGTCTTTATATCTCTTCTGGTTTTCAATGATGATACTGGTAACAGAAGTGTCACACTTTTCGATTCTGGGATCTGTTAAATTATCAAAATCATTTGTATCTTCAACGAACTCGATTTTTGGAATTGAAGATTTAGCATTTACAATTTCGTCAACAAAAAACTGTCTATCGAACATTGGTAATTCTGTATCAATCATCATATCAAATGGATCATATGGACTGATCAATTCTTCTTCCTCTTCTTCCTCTTCGTCGTCCCCTTCTTCGTGTTCTTCAGTTTCTGCCAGAGTGGAATCTTCTTCAGATTTCTCAAGATCACTTGAATCCATAGCCTCAGCTTTGGCTGTTTTCTTTTTGATAATTCTCTTCATCATTTGTCTTTCATGATGGGTAGGGACAAAGAAGGTGGTTTGTGATCGTTGTCTTTTCTCTTTGCCTGTGATGACTTTCCGATTACCTGTAACACTTTGAAAATAATCGGCTTCTTCCTTCAAAGATTTCCAGAATCTGGCATTAATTGCACCTCTGGGAACTCTAGAAACTTTTGATACCTTGGGTCTATTCAAGGCTTCGATTCTACGTTGTTCCTTCAATTTCTTTCTTTCTTCGGATCTTCTCTTTTTACGTTCTCTAGCCTGTTGTTGACTTTCAAGCTTATCCCTGAATTCCTCAAAAGTTATTTCCTTCTCCTGTTCTACAAAATTTTCATCCACTAATTCAACAGCCCTCTTCCTTCTCGAACTTTGAGTTCTACTCCCCGATCTAGTACCAAATCTATCGGAAGCAAACCATTGTGACTCGTAAATCAATCTGTCAACTTCATTTTTGAAGATGGTTCGTCTATGGGTTTGATTCATCAGTATGATTTTATTCTCGAGATATTTAATACTTCTATGTGGTAACAAAGAATGGATATAGTTAACAGATTTTCTATCGTTAAGACACTTTTGTAGAAGCTTCACTTCAGTATCAGGGAGTCTTAATTTGTGAACATCAAAAGTGAAAGATACCAATTCTCTCGTAGGAATACCTGGAAATTCAAGTCTTAGCCTATCACGGGTGAATCCAATATGGAGGAGATAATCAATAAAAATTTGGTCGACTTTCAAATCAATCGGTTTTAGCAGATTAATGATTTTCTCTATATCTGTCTCTGATCTTAATGGTAATTCTTTGAAGATTTTTTGACTATCGTAAAGTGAATGTTTGGCAACCCTTAAGAAAAATATTTCAACTGGTGTCCAATCCGGTTCGAAATTTGATATACATTTAAGAACCTCGTCAAGTGGTTTATCAGGAAATTCTTCAAACAATCCACTAGTAGTTAAATCAAATTGTAATTGAAATAGAAGAGTAGCTTTCTCTTCATTGGTCCAGCCTTCAACCCCGATCAATCCTTTGGAAAGTGATGACAACACTTTGACCTTTTCAACCACATCTTCAGCACTTCTTAAGGGTAACATTTGATAATTAGCTAATTTCTTCTCATAAATGCATTCCCCTATATATATATATTCACCTCTTGTCCAAGGAACACCTACAGCACTGAGTTTTTCAATGATGTCTTTGATGTTGACGTTCGGTAGCTTCAATTTGATGGTATCCAAAGTAAGATCATAATTGAGTAAATAGTTCAATAGACGAGTCTCTTCTCTGTTCCATTCTCTGATTTCTTTGGTTGGAGTGGGTGGTTCTCCCTTACCTTTGGATTTAGAAACACTACCTGTGGTTGACGCGTTGTGAACTTCTGATGATGATGTTCCTTTGGATGGACTGTTTTGTAAACCAATGTTGCTCATCGTCTTCGAGCTCATACAATTGTTATGATTGTAGGTAAGGTAAACAAATTCTCGATGTAACAGAAGGTCAATAGTTGACTTCTTACCTTAGAATCTCGAGACTGAAAATATCGTGATATAACGACTTACTCCATCTTCGCGACATTTTAAGGGTTAGGTGGGCACAGACCAGAGAGTTTCATTTATTTACAACTTACTCGCTCTAAGACCATTAAGTCTGAACTTCAAATCTTTCAATACTTTACTTTCAGGTTTCCAAGCGTCGAAAGTTTCATATAATTCATTAATTTCATCATATCCTGTTTTTCCTAAATCGCTACCTTTGTTGACACTCAATAATTTCTTGTTATTGGGCCAATTCTTTTCGATATTGAAAAGAAGTCCTCTCAAACACCATGGTAGTATGAAAGGATTGGTGCCGATTTTTCCGATGTTAAATTCTTTAATATAAACTTGGTTAGTTATAGGCAACTTGATTATTTCCTCAGCTTCCGTAATAGGAAATGCGCCATAAGCTCCAACTCCTGTAGTTACTACCCCATCTTTTGGTTGGTTATTTATGGTGTAAGTCAATGGTTTATCGACTTTGTAGCTTTGGGCATAATCCGTTGGAGGAATTATGATATCATCAGTATCGAGGATAAACTTAACTCCTAGATCATATACTTTACCATCGTTATAAATTTTAGAATGTCCACCTCCTGTCAATGGTCCCGCCAAAGCAGTGCTTAATTCTTTCAACACATTGTTATCGAAATATCCCATGTTTTGTAATTGACAACATAATGATACCAACTTTTGGATGAATAATGGTGTAGACGATGAATGGTCAATGTAACATGCCCTATAGATATTAGGGTGGAATATGTGCGATGCTACAGCAGAATACAATGGTACCAACTGATCATTGATAGAACCAATAAAACAAACTTTTACATTGGAGTTAACAATTATTTGCATGGATTCTTTGTACACCAAAGATTGTTCGCTAGCGAATTTTGTCAATTCAAACAATTCCATCAAAGAGTCATGTTCGATGGCAGAATATGCTTTCATGAAGAATGATTGGTCAACACCGTAGAATGGTCCATTATTGATACCTGCCATTCCTAAAATACCAATTCGTTTTGATAAAGGATCTTTCAAGATACCTAATTTGATCAATTGAGCTAAAAGGATGATTGATACCACACAACCTTGTGAATGAGCAGCTACAAATATGAAATCAGCATTATTCAATTCTTCTTGCCATTTTTGTAATATTTCAGTGAAGAATGAAACTCTGTCAAAAATTTTACCTTCCTTTTCAAGAGCAATTTTTTGGATACTGGTATCATTTGAGTTGTGTTCTTCGATCAATCCGTTTTCAATACAATACCTGATTACAGCCTTTTCCGCTTCGTTGGCAAATTTCAAAGATGTACCTTTTGGAGCTCCGATAAGCGGTCTTATCATTCTTGTTGGAAAGAATCCATGAACCCCAATAACAAGAATCTTTTTGATTTTCTTTAATGGGCCACTACGTTGACTGACTATATCTGCTTGCTTAAGTAAAGGGTTAGAAGACCTATTGTTAGATTTAGGACGATGATTGATCAAAAGGTTTCCCATAGGATCGTTGGTGATGGAAATAGTGTTTGGATCTTCAGCGTCTTCTTCAAGTTGAGTTTGTTGGTCATAAACATATGTCTCTTCGTCGTTCTTCGCCCTGGTATAGTATTTGTTATATGAAGGCAAACAAGCTCTCTTATTCTGAGGTAACTTAGCCAATGATCTGCCAAACAACTTGTAAGTTCTCTCGTAAAGAAGGTTGAATTCTTTTTCAACCTTATCTTTAGAAGCTGAAGAATTCTCATGATCTTCTTCGTGATCTTCTTCGTTCATCACACTGGTCAAAGTTTGAGAACTGAACCCTAATTTTGTGGAAAGTTGACTCAAAAATTGTTTCCAATTGGTTAAATCTAGTTTGGCAGCACTGGCTTCATTGGAAGTGGAATTGTTTCCGAATAATGTCGATGTTATGTTATTCTTAGCCGTAAGTGAATTCTGCATTGGCAAACAGTTATCCCAGTCCGGTACAATGATATTTTCCTTCAAATTTTCGTTCTTATGAGTGTTTATTTTATCAAACTCCTTGGAATTGTCATGAGGTTTATAAAGGACCGCATCATCTCTAGAGTTCCCTTCTTCGTCCAGTTTGTCTGGTTTGGGGAATGATGGTGTAGAATTTACGATCCTATTGATATGGCTCATCTTCTCTTCTTCTTTATCCTTCTCTTTTGTGTCTACTTTATCTTCTTTTTTATTGAGTTTTCGTTTCTTATCTTTTGGTTTATCATTATTGTTGTCATTAGTTCCGCCAGAATTTGACTCCCCTTTGGATCCCTCTCCATCACTGTCTAATGGTGGAGAGTCTCTATTCCAAAATTTCCAAGATGATGAACTCTTTTTCCTATCTTTTATTTGATCATCAATATCATCATTATTGTAATCTTCATCCTCGTCATCATCCTCTTCGTCATCATCAGCATTGACTGCGTGTTCGTTATCATGTAGATATTGTTCGTTGTTAGCTCTCCCCCAGTTCATCCATGTCGAAGGAGTGAATGTAGATGAAAAGCTTCTGCTTACTGATCCTTCAGGTGATTTAGTTGGAGGTTGCTCGGATTCTGATGATGTTGGATTGGCCACAAACTGCTCAGAAGGCTCTGATTTGGGTGAATTCCATTTAGGTAGCCAATTACTCATATTTAATTGATCCAAATCACCTAACAGTACTCTCAATGGTAGGTCTCTAAACTATCAAGTGGGCTGGAAAGAGAAATTGAGGTCAGTGCGCATTATTTCATATGATAAGATATCTATATTAAATTTCTAAATCCTTCTAAGTCTTCTTTTGTAGTGACAGTGCCCCCACAAACTATCACTATGATGATGTCTTCAGGTTTTAATTCCCCGAAATGGTCCAAGAATTTCTTGTTCAGACCTTCGGTCAAAATCGATGTTGATGCCCCACACGCAGGTTCAATCACTTCCCCAAATGTGTCAAAATAGTCAACACATCCTTTGACAGATTGTAAGTCAGGAATTACACAATTGGATACTGGATGACTGTGATAGTTATGCAATGACTGTTCTGAGATGTATGGAGAAGCTAAAGATGTGGCTAAGGTTTTGATATTATCAAGAGTAACCACTTTGTTCTGTTTGAGAGCTTCATCAAATTTGGGAGCTCCGTCTGTTTCTACTGCCAAAACAGGAACTTCCTTCAAATTTTTTGAATCTTTTAATCCTTTGACTACCCCATTGAATAATCCTCCACCTCCAACACTACAAATCACTCCTTTAACTTTTGAAAGTTCTGATTCACTTAATTGTTGTTCTATCTCTGCAATTAGTTTACTGTTTCCTTCCCAAATAAGGGGATCATCAAATGGGTGACAATAAATAGCATCGGTTGATTCGTCCAAATTTCCAATGATTTCATTTCTTAAATATCCGTCCGCTTCTCCCCAATGTTCGCCCTTGAGATGTACGGTAGCTCCATACTCTTTTAACTTCTCAATGACAGAAGGTTTCCCGAAGTTTGGTAACACAACAGTACATGGTACATTATAGTATCTGCTGCTGTAAGCTGCAGCCAATCCGGCATTACCCCCCGATGAAGAGAATACCTCAACCTTATCTTTTCCCAATGCCCTGGATTCTTCAATTGAATTACCTATTAAATGACCAATTCCCCTTAATTTGAAACTTCCTGAAGGTTGTTCACTTTCCTTCTTGTATAATATCCTGAAAGGAGTTGAAAACTTACTGGAAACATCAACTAGAGATGTCTTTACTGCTGGATACTTCATGAAATCTCTATCTAATATTGTGCGAAATCTTCTTACTATGGTGAAAAGGAAAGGCGGATCTAACATAATATCACAGTTTGATGAAGTCCCAGATAAATACGAAGATGAAGTATTGGAAGCTTATGCAATAATAACAGAAGAATCGGGTGACTTCTACCTCAAACAAATGAAGAAATTCTTCAATCAATTATCAATTCCAAAATGCTTTACCTCAGACATAGTTGAATGTGTAGATTCATTTTATGCATTGCAAGGGTCTTTATACGCGTCCACTAGTCAAAAGAGGGATATCATTTTGCAGATGGTGTTGGCTTTCACTATCACAGGAAGTATAACTAATGATGATGACATTATAGATATTATTGACGTAGATAAATTGATTAAATATAGTAATAGGTTACTAAAGTATCGAGACAATTTCAATGTAATCAAAGAAACATGGAAGTTGTTCGTACTGGATGATAATTTCATTCTGGCTAAACTATCGTTGCCGGAATTGCAGAAGATCAAACAATCTTTGAATCTCGATCCCTCATCATTGAATGACGGCTTACTTATTGATATGTTAAGCTCTTGTAAAACAGATGAGGAGGGTACGATGCATAATTTTGATTTAGGAAAATCATCTAACGGACTTTACATCAACATCAAAGATTTCGCTTGTATATTAGGAAATTTGGGAGAATTCGATTAAATGTAAATATATGTATTGTCGCACTGGAATTACTTGATGAGTATAGATGAAGATAACACCAATATAGAAAATGAAATACTACGGTTGGCTGTACCCAATATCAGTGGATTAGATTTGTTGAATGGTGGGAACTTGTCTAGTCTAGAAGATTTGGATATTCTTTTATTCCATATAAATAGCTCACAAACAATAAATCAAGCATATTTTCCCTCAACTATTTCACTCCACGTTATATTAACGCTTGCCACCAGATTACCCCAATTGAATTGGTCAAAAGAAGCTCACGAACATGAGATTGTCAAATTAGCCGTGGAACAAGAAGTTGTGCATGGATACACTTCAATGATAACATTTAAAGATCGTTCTCATCGTATACTATCTCGGTATTTGCAACACTTACAACAATGCTTCGAACGAAATGGTAACTTGGATGATTCGGAGCTATTCGAACAATTACGATTCATTTTCAAAGAAATGATTTCCCAGCATGGTTCTAAAAAAAAGGTACGAAATAAAACCCACAAGAGGAAAGATTCAAGTGAACATGAGATTGTATTGATATCTGATTCTGAAGAGGATATAACGCTCAAGCCGATCACTAAGCAACCAAGTTTGAAGAATGAGCAAAATTCGCCAACTAGTGCTATGAAGAATGCCCAATTGTTGATGGACAGGTTTGGTGATTCTAAAAGTCGAAAACGTAGGAAAAAGGAGATACCCACCCAAAATACCAAAATATTTGATGACCATTTGATCACTCATAAGCTTAATCCTTTATTGAATGACGGGTATTCGTTGTGGCATTTGATTGAATGGACATTCTGGTGTTGCAAAAGATCAAAAATTGAAGAAATATCTAAAGATATCACTTTAGATGGTTTTCATGAATCTTATGTTAACTACCAACGGTTCGTCGAATGGTGTTTGGATTTCCTTATTTTGGATTTTGAAATTTTGATCAATCGTTATAGGCATCAGCTTGAGCCTTCTCGAACTTCTGGTGAAGATAAATTCAATTCCCCAAAATTCAGAATGGACAAGGTGATGGCTAAAGAAAAGAATCTCTTATATTTGTTGATCGGATATAAATCTGGTGGAGATAGACACAAGGACATTGTGGACATATGCTTGTACGGATTGGTCGAAGGAGAGAGAGTTAATAGAAATCCTGTTTATGGCCGTGAAAGACAATTACTCGATGAAAAATATTTCACTCGGATGGGGGATTTAAATAGAGATCAACGGGGTTCTATGAGTTTGAGGACTAAAATTCTATTCACTGTGTACAGAGCTTCAACATATTATTCTTCTGATTCCGTTACCAGGAAGGATATAAGTTCTGACCAAACCTTGAACTTTGTCAGTCACATAGATGGAAATAACAGTACCTATGGATTGATTAAGCTTATTGCCGACAAAATGGTAGAGATAGATTCAAGGATAAATGAGATATTCTTTAAATCGTTGGTTCAACTAGCTTTGGACGAAGATTGTTCAATCCACAGTGTTGAATTTCTATTCATGACTTTAGCTTTTGTTGTATCCGAACAAAACACTGAAGTTGATCTTAATGAAGCATATGAGCTGCTTTTCAAATTGCGTAAAGCTAGCCACGAAGTTAAGGTCCGTGAAAAACTCACTGATTTTTTGGAATCTCAAGTCATTGGACGAGACCTGGCCGCTTATTTTGAGTTGATAGCAGAGGAGTTGAAAGATTCAATAGACACATAATAAAATTTTTTTAGTTATTGGGTATGTATGTATATAAAGACAAGTTTTCTTTTTTAAATGATATGTTTAACTTTAAAGTAATGTCTTAAGTATTGTATTTGCCATGCACCTAAACCGATTAATGAAATAATAACAATAGTTGAGAAATATTTAACTCTTGAATTAGTTGATTCATTAGTATCTCTCATTCTTTCTTCTCTTCTTTTTAAATATTGTAATTCACTAACGATTTCGGCAGTCATTTCTTCAATTCTACGTAATTCAACTTCATTAGGTTTCAATTTTTCGGCAGCTTGTATAGCATTCCAATCTCTGGCAGCTGCACCACTTTCAATATCTAATTCAATTTGTCTTGAAACTTGAGAATATCTACCTTGATTTTGTAAATAATTTGAAAAACAAACATCAAATGCAGCATTGTGGAAACTGTTAAAAGTGATTCTGGTATCTTTACCAATATCGTTCTTCTTACGAAGTTCATTTCCAAGAGAATCAACAACAATAACATTTAATTGTTGACCATCACCTATTCTACCATCAGTTTTAATGTTGATGACAACTAATTGATCTTCATGAGCGAAATCTCTGATACAAATTGGGTCAGGATTAGCTTTAGCTAAAACATCTAAGTTCAATGCAGTAACCCAAGAAATCAATGTTGATAATATCAAATAACTGAATACTTTCATTCTATTTTTAAGTTGATCTGGCGTCGAATTTTTTCACCGCGTTGTTGGTTTTGCGTTTGAGGTCAAGCTATGGGGTGCGCTGAAGAGCATCTATGCCTAATTGGGAAGTCTAGCTTAGAAAAAAATTGAGAACTTTATGAAAATTTTCAGAATCGCAGAACTTGAACAGGTTATAATGGCTAAAGTTAAGAATGCTTTCACCATGGTGAAGTTGATTTCAGGTGCCAAAACTGGTTACGAAAAGTGGTTTCAAATACCCAGAAAAACTGGAAAACTTAATTTAATTTTATATGATCCTCGTGCCAAAAGACATTGCTTATTCACTGAAAGTAAAAAGAGAAGAATTCAAGAACCTCCTCCAAAAGATTATTTTAGGAGACATCGTGTATGATCTTCTTTATTGATAAGGATAATAGAATCACACATTTTTAAGGGAAATTTTCAAGGAACATAGAAAGTTAAAGATTTATGTTGTAACGTCACTTGTATATATATAGACATTTTCATATCTAATAAATAAACTATTTACAGGTCTATGTAATTTCAATTAATTGGTATATGATTTTATATCCCATCCTTCACCTACAGATATTTTAGCATTATCACCAATGATAGTGACAATTTCTTTATCGCCTCCTAAGAGGTATTTTTCAGTAACGTTCTTCAAATCTTCGTTTGAGACATCCAAAAACCTTTCTCTTCTTTCTTGCCTCATTTCGTCACTGATTCCTTCAATGAAATTGGATAACCCTTGTTGGTTGATGTTGGAAGGAGCATCAATACTTTGGAAGATTGAAAGTTTAGCTTCTTGTAAATCTTTAGAATCCCAATTTTTTTCAATTTTCTCCAAGGCAACGTTGTACGATTTCTTGAATGATTCAACGGACTTCAAGGCATTAGGATCTCTGTATGAGTAATAATTCAAAGTTCCACCTAATCCATCATAATTCAAACCTCCCCCATATGCACCATTCGATTCTCTAATTGCTGAGTGTAAATATGATGTTGTAAGCAAATGAGACAACACTTGTAAGGCAGCTCCATCTTTCGAAGTGTAGGAAGCTCCCAATTTTCCAAGTGATGCGTATCCTATTTGGAATGGTAAATTGAATAATGTTCTTGATTGATTTACAGGAGATTCATTGAAATTGTTGATGAAGCTAGTTAACTCATCTTGATACAGAACAGGTTTGAAAGAATCGTCGAACTTTTGGATCAACGATTCATTTTCACTGATGGTTTTACTGTCACCTATCAAATTATACTCAAATCCTTCTTTGAGTGAACCTTCTACAACCAATTTTTGAATAATTTGCAAGACAGGTAAGATCTCCTTCTTCAAAAATTCTTTACCCCCTGCTTCTAAATCTTTGTTAAGTTTCATGATGAAATCCACTTGTTCCATACCACTGGTCATGTTTCGAATGTTTTTGGATGATGTTAATTGAGAGTTTGTATAAGCGTTGGCATATGAATGACCTCTTTCAGCAATAGAATCCATTTGATTACTTCCCAAATTTTTAATCAAAGTAGTGAGCTTGTCTAAAACTTCTTCTTCTTCCGTGAATTTGGTACTAGTCAAAATTTCATGCCACAACTCATAAATGTGGGATGAATTTTGGGACAATGACATTCCTGAAGCAAGGAACTTCAACTTGGTAGTTGAAATATCATAAGGATCTGTCTTGTTGCTTAATGAGAAGCTGATCCCACCAGTGGTAGATTGAATTCTGGATTCCAAATCAATGATTGAAGTTTTCTCAGTACCAGCTAAATTTGTTAAACATGAGATAAACAATGGCATATAGACATAGTATTTAGGTGGTAAATAAGACAAATCTTTACTGGCGGTCGAGTAGATCAAACCGTTAGTATCCACAATTCTTTTTTGTAAAACTTTGTCATTTATTTTACTAAATTTCAAATTGTGGAATTCTCCTTGACGAGGAATATCATAAATTGACAATGTAGGCAATACTGAGACATCTTCTTCTGTTTGTTGTTTCTCTAAAAGTTTTTGTGATCTTTCAAAGATAATTTGTTTATCTTCATCTGTCAAATTTTCAGTCTTGGCCAATAATCTTCTGTTTTCTTCCTCAACTAATTTTTCAGTGAATTTTTCATCAGGTTTCATGGTAAATTTGAATTTAGGGGTTTCTGGTAATAATAAAGTTTCGATCATATCTTCGAAAATTTTGAGACCTTGTTCTTCATAATCTTTTTTGAACCTGTTCAAGATTTTTTCAACTTGTAAGGTTTCGAGTGGATCAACATCATTGATCCAAGTTGAAACTACAGAGTTCAATAAACCCAAACCGAAGTCTGGTTTGTGTTTTTTGAAACTTAATTCTAATTGGTGCAAAATGGCTTCAACTCTTTTTTGGAAAACCGGTGAGTTTTCACTGAATTTTGGTAATACTTGGGTTAAGATATCATCAATCTTAGCGTTCAATCCGTCAACTTTTTGAGGTGTCAAACTAGTCAAACCAATGGTAAATGATAACAAAGCAGTTGTTGAATCTAATCCAGAATTAACAGAGAAATCTTCACCATAGTTCTTTTCAATTAATTCTTGATAGAATGGTGAGCTATGACCATCACATAACAAAGAATTTAAAACCTTCCACTTAAAAATGTCATAGTGATAATTTGGTTGCAAAGGATCTCCCAAGTAGAAAGTAACAGAAGATTGGTATTGTTCTTCAATTGGTTTGTTACCCATAACATCAACAGGTCCTTCCATGATAACCTCTTTGTCCCAAGCACTGACATTTGGTTGTCTGATGATATTCTTACTCTTTCTCATACCGAAACGAGTATAATAGGCATTCAATTTCTCCAAATGATGAACTAAAGGTAAGGAACCATAAGTAAAAGTTTTAGCATTAGAAGGATGATATGCTGATTGGTGGAAATCAATTAAGTCTTCGTATTCTAAATCAGTAATCTTTTGAGGATCTCCACCTGAATTATTAAGTGACTTGTATATAGCTTCTTGGAATTTGATATAATAGTAGTAGCCGGAATTTGAGTACTGTCCCTTCATTTCATTGTATACAACTCCCTTGAAAGTCAAAGGGGATTTTATATCATCAACAACTTCATTTTCCAATCTCCAACCTTCTTGAGTAAAATCTTCATATTTCAATAAAGGTTCCAAAGTGGATGATAAGTATACGTCCAACAAATTTTCAAAATCTTTACCGTTCGTGGTTGCAAATGGGAAAAATGTGTAATCGTGGCCAGTCATAGCATTCATGAAATTACTTAACGATCTGTTTAACATTTTGAAAAATGGATCTCTAACTGGGTATTTGTAAGACCCACATAAAGTGGTATGTTCCAAAATATGAGGAACACCAGTCTTATCAGGAGGGTTTGTCTTGAAGGCTATAGAAAACACATTATTCCTGTCATTATCAGTATGCAAATGTAAATGTTGGCCACCTTTTGCATGAGTTAATTTGACAGCTACCAAGGAAAATTCTGGGATGGGCCTGACATCCTCGATCTTAAATCCATGGTAATTGAGTCCAATAGGATACTTGCTCAAGATTGAAGCTTGATCAAATGAACTATAGAATCTTTTCACTGGCCTTGCTTTAAGCATCATGAAGAATTTGCGAAGATGAGATTACTAAGGTACTTGAATGATCTGAGAATTATCACCTATTCCAAAGTAATGACTTATTGTGGGATATCAAACAACCATTCTTGGAGGTTCTAAATGATATTTGTGTGTAAAGATAGTTTTAGAGATTATTCATGTGTAAAAAAAATCTGAATTTTAGAAGAACTGAATATCTCTTGGTTTGACTTTTCGATTAAATCAAAGACTCCGGGAGTATGCATCACTTCACCGACATTAGTGTCTGTCTGATATTGATTCAATGTGATTGAGATGACTATAAATGCCTTGATTACCAAATGCCATTATATCACGAGGGGATTTTGATATGAGACCCCCTATTTCCCTCCCACCTATTACCGTAAGACCGATGACTAGGCAATACCCTAGACCTCCAATAAGGTTTGGTCCAAAACACTACGAAATTAAAGTTGCCGATCTCTAACATGTTCAGATTTCAGACTGGTTATACCCAATGTTGCCAAACAATAGGTTCTACTATATAGTGACGATTGTTAGAAGTCGTCGTTTATTACTATGTGATCCAAAAATTAAGATCTAAGAAATCAATCTGGACCAGAGTATAATGGAATTGCTTCAAATAATTATAGTCATACATTCCTAATCTTTACCTTTTGTAGATAAGAACTGCATACACTGTGGTTGCACCAACGGTTTGAACGTTTATGCATTCCTCCCAATAAGATAGTTGTCAAGTACATTTGGGATGTGTTACACTAAGTCGATCGGAGGTTTATTGTTCGAGATTAAAGGGTATAACCGAATGAGACATTCTCCATTGTTCACAATATAAATCCCTTACCCACAGTCCAATTGTATCCCTCCGACCCAAATTTCCGTATAAAAAAGGTCAATTTAATCGACTACAGTAGCTCAACAATTCTAAGCTCATACTAGCCATGTTCACTAATCAAATTAATTTTTGACTAATTGAGTGGTTATCTCTCCTAATCTTATCTCAATTAATCAGATAACCTCATATGCATATTAAACTCTAAAACCCATCTTCATTTATCGAGAGAATATCAAGACGTTGAGAGTTTGTGTATAGTAAGTGGTGACATAAACCCTCTAGAATATAAAAAATATCTCCATCAAATTCCTAATTTAGGAAGTGTAACCAGATTTATTAATGTATGTCTTTCCCAGCTGGAAAAATCTCAACATTTGAAAAATCGCGTAGTCATTTGTTACAACAACATTTACACACTAAATTATTATTTTAATAGTTAAAAGTCCTCAAGAACGTTCAATTAGTAGTAGAAAGTCTTACTACTACAAGTAAATTATAGTTAAGTTTGTCAATTCATTCTGAAGCACTGACTGGAAAATAATTAATATTTTCTTTAATTGAGTCACCCCCAGATTTTTTTCACGTTTTGGTTTAATCTTAAGCTAAGACTTTTTTTTGCAATTAATCTTTGAAAGGTCCGAAGTATCAAATAAACTTTGTTCATTTTAACAGGTGGTCGAAGGATTCAGAGCATTTGTCGAGAAAAGATATTTCATTTGTTGATATAAAAAATTGTTGCTATCAGAGGTGAAATTTTATTGTTTTTCAAGTGAAAATTAAAATTATTTAGGTGTCAAACCACATAAAGTCCAATTATAAATCATTAAAATGGAAGATAAAAAGTTATTATCAACATCTTCCCCCGAAGGTATTCAAATCGCCTCGAAAATTACACCTGAAAGATTAGCTAATTTGTTAATTCGTAAGGGTCCATTACCAATTCGTCATATTACCAACCAATTGTCTTTAGAAGTTCAAGGCTTCAACCAATTATCATTATCTAAACAAAGAAGATTAATTATGGCTGCAATGGAACAGACTGACACTGCAAACAATGTTGTATTTGAAAAAATTGGTTGGGGTCAGTGGGCTGTTAGAAAAGTCGACAGTGATTACATTGTTACTGAAGGAACTGACCCTGATAATAATTCAACAATGGATTCCAAAATGAGTAGTTCTCCTGGTAATGTAGGTAACGAAGAGAAGCAAATCAATGTGAATGATTTAAGAAAACAACCAAATTTGAAATTAGGTTGGTCTAAAAAGAAAGATAGACGTGAATCTATTACTAACAACAAATCAAATTTACATAATGTCAAATTACCCAATGAAAAGTTAAGCACTAGTGCAATCGTTTCTGATTCAGAAGAGGATTCAGATGACGATATCGATGACATAGAGGAAGATGCTATTGAGGATGCCATTGAGGAAAGCTCTAGTGAAGAGGAAAGCAGTGGGAGCGATGACTTGTTCAAATTCGATCACGAGTTAGAGTCAAAGAGATCTCCTCCAATCAAATTCGCTAATAGAGTTCCATTGAAATTGAGTCCTCCACCGAATAATATCAATTCTGGTTCAAGAAGAAAATCTTCCAGTTCGAGTGTGGTGAAAAATACCAACTACAAGCAGATTTTTAATCGTTCGAGATTGAATTCCTTGGACAATTTGGATAATTATATTATCTCGTCTGCAAAAAATTCAAATTTATCATTCAATTCTCCACCACCTCCACCACCAGCTATTGCTATGCAAAATATTTCAGGTTCACCTTTGTCGTCATGGAGTTCAAACAATTACGGTAATTCACCCAGTAATGGTGATATGATTCATAATCGTCGTAAATCATCGTTCAATGAATCTAATATCAGATCTACTTTATCATCATCGATACCTTCATCAGTCGCAACACCATCCAACTCACATATATTATTGAACAAGCTGCATGAGAACAGTTTGTCGGATACCGACGAAGAGGATTGGGCTACAATAGGTGCCGAAAGTTTAAGGCAAAATAATTTGGATTCAGATGAAACTAAGGCAGCTTTGGCTTTAGTAGACTTGATGTCTGTATAAAAATTAGGATTAGCTCCAATTACCAATCCAACGCCTCCTCCTTACGATTCATGAAATATTAATATTCAATTCTTCTCATTAGCTTGCTTATGTTTATAGATTCTAGATCCATGTTTCCCTTTATTCTTCCTTATCTCTATGATCTCTTGTCTGGTGGATGTTTCATCATAGTATGGGAGAGCTTCACGTTATCACTATCTTGAATTTTTTCGGTATTTATTCGAAACATTTTTTCAGAATTTCAAGAACTGTGATTTTTGCAAAATTGTCCAAATTTTTAATTAGAAAATAAAAGGTAAAAAAAAAATTACGTCAAAAATTGATAGCAAAGAAAAATTCAAGCCTGTCTTTAGTTAATCAGCTAGTCCAGGGCCTTCTTAAGATATGGTGGTCATGAAAAGTAATTTTTTCCAGGTCACAAGGCTTTGATATTTAACTGTGCGGATGCGACAAATTAAAAAAAGGAGAGATCATAAGATATGAATTTACTTATACTGGTACTTTTGTTAATACCTTTGGCGTTGGGATTGGACTTATCAACCTACGAGACTCCAAGAATCAACAAAGATTTTAGTTCGATTTGTGTTCCTGTGAAGTATTCTGGGGGCAATGCGTTTGTAAAGCTTGAGCTTGAACATTATAGGTTAGCCAAGGGGGATGAAGATAATGTAAAGATTCCTACTATGATTATTCATTTGACTGATTTGTTGGATACAAAGAAAATACCTTTGATGTCTGAATATAACAAATTGAGTTCAGAAAAGAAGTTTGAATTGACCAATGGTGAAAAGTTCAATATTCAAGATCGGGATCATTTTTACAATGGTTTCTTGTCATTGAATGGTGATAAAACTGGATTGAAGTTTGATGTGGATGAATCTGGCTACTACTGTGTTTATATAGCTCCACCGGACTCAGTTAAAGAAGTCAATTACTCAGTTGTTTCTAAAAATTCTTATGGTTACATGATGTTTAGTTCATATTTGCAGTATAAATTCGGATGGTTGACAGGAATTATCCTTATAGCAACTAACTGGTATTTATTCCAACATTTGATGAAAACTACTGGAAGTGAATATCAGAATTTAAATGGGCTTTCTGTGATATCCAAGTTTTTGGTATTTTATATCATATCCCCATATACTTTGATTTTACTCGGAGAGAACGTGTTAGGATTGGTAATGAACAATGTTGCCAAGAAGGGGTTCTTTTTGTCTTTCCTTGCATTCGGTTATCAAGTTGTAGAAATTGCCTTCCAAATTTATGTTCAATATCTGTTACTCATGTTTTGCATGGGTTATGGAGTAATATACTATCACAGACAGACAAAGTTTTTTAGACAAATGCCAGCATCTAGATCCAAATTCGCCACTGCCTTATTATTTATTGGTGTGGTATTGTTTTTCCTCATAATAGTGACTTCCTTGTTCTCAGGCAAAACTCCTTCCGTTCTTTACGGTTCAGTTTCCGAAGACCAAACGGGAACTCCCAATGTATTTGATATGGCTTTGAATGCAGCCGCTGGTTTGGTATTCTTCGTATCCTATGTTTCATCGGTGATTTTAGGTATAAAGACAATAAAGGTCATAAAAGAGTACCCTCCTTATGATGCCAATGTTGAAGACTATATTGAAAAAAACGACCAACTTCGTAAATCATTTAGAAGATCTTTATTGGTAATTTTCGTATTGCCAATTTATGCAAGTGTTGTGTCAACAGCGTTTATGATATTCACTGCAGGAAAATCGTATCTGGAAGACTTGAAAGATGTCAACCCAGCATTGATTGGATACTACATGAGTGACTTCATGATCGAGAATACTTCCTTCCTCTATTACCTGGTCATTAACAATTTCGTTCTCGGTCTTGTTATTTTGGTGAGTTTATATTTCATTTGGATTAAAGGAAATCACGGTGTGGCAGTATCTAAAGAGGAGGAAACTGGCGACTACACCGACTTCCGTGAACCTGACCAAATAATTGTATAGATGTGTTTTTAATGAGAGAATATATGCCCATAATGAATAGAATGTCTTTTTTCTTTGAGTTTACTATAAAATTACATAACTTTTTAACATATTGTACGTTTAATTGGATCATCTACGATTGTTGTATCTAGGTTTGGAAACTCCACGGTGATTACCTCTTCCACCACGATGTTTGAAACCACCTCTCTTGAATTTTCTGAAAGGTTTATCTCTTAATCCATTATTGAAACTATTATCAACAAGACCGATTTCTTTAGCTAAAGCAGTACCTGGTTCGACACCAAATTTTTCAACTCTTGATAAATCTTTTCTGGCGTTTTCAGCTGAAGCTTCATCACCAAACTTTTCAGCTCTTTGAATTTTTTTATTCAATAATTCAACAGCTAATTGTTTTCTTTCTTCTGGAGTCATTTTTTTAGGTGGCTCTGGTTTGGTTTCTTCAGCTTCAACTGGTGCAGATTCTTCAGATTCTTCAGTAGCTTCTTGAGGTTCCTCCACTGGAGTTTCAGTAGCCTCAGTGGTTTCTTCTGGTTTAGATTCTTCTTCAACTTCACCAGATTTATCAGCTTCAACTAATCTTTCAACTAAGTCAGCCTTTTTACCAGTGGTTGGCAATCCTCTGGATTCCAAGATTTCCTTCAATTGATTAACAGTATTTGAACTATAGTCTGACATGTTTGAAAGTTCGCCCAATGTTCGCGTTGAGAATTTAACTAAGAGGTAAAATGAACACACCAAATATATTTCTATAAAACGACTATTAAGATGAAAGAATTGAAGTATGAGTTATTGTGAAATCCTTATTTCAAACACAAGTAACGTTAATACCATTGCCATGTTCAACACCACTATAAATCCTATGGCAATCCTACCTGCCGGGAATTGATCTCTTGTTAATAATGTTTGCGTATGAAAGAACCTCATGGTAGCAAACATCACGCATGATATACTCAACAGTATGCCTAAAATTACTATTGCTCTTCCATAACGTTGAAAATGGGGTAGATTTCTATTGGTAATCTCTGTCAAGTCATATTCCATGTTACCTATAGTAACAGTGTTGGATTTAGTGGATAAATGCACAAATTGAAGAAATGTCACTGCTAGAGTCAAAAATATGCTACCAGTTCTTGTCCAAGCCAAGAATGTTCGTTCATTGGCCATCTAAAAGGTTAGTATCGATATCAACTCTATCGCATATAATTGTCTGATAAGGAATTATTTGCAACTGTGGCTTGGAAATACATACATGATCTCTGGCAACTGAACCTTTATTTTCAAGTATTAGAGCTGAATGATCTAGGAACAGATACCATGGTTTTCCATTCTTGGGTTTCTTTTGATTGTCTGAAGATAAGTTATGTTGATTATTATCATGGATTTGGATTGGTTGATTTTGATGCAGAAGATCACTATTTTCAGATACTATGGATTCCATATCACGAGGACGCGAGGAGTGGGTAACGTCATGCAATTCTATGTCATCGGTATTATCCCTCTCTTGTCTTCTTCTAAAACTTGACATAGTGGAAAGTAAGGTTGAAAAGTAGGGTCTTGAGATTCGATGCACCCACCTGTTGCGAAATTTAAGAAACCTTATTAGAGCCCCACAAGTTAATTATTTATACATTCAATATTATACTATACATTATAATTCCATTTCAGCATCTTCATCACCGTCATCAATAAACATAAGTTTGTCACCATCATCTATTAATTGCCAGACATTGATGTGTTGATATTCATAAATACAGTCCATGAATTGTTCAACAGTATAACCTTTGGCAATGATTCTTTGACGTAAATCATTCATGATTAAGATCTTATTAATTTGACCTTCACTAGTAGCCATAGTTTTGATGATTTGATAGATTTTAGTGGTGGCACTATCATCTTCTCTTAATTTTTCTTCTTCAGTGTTTAAGGAAGCTTTAGAAACTTCAATCAATCTTAAAGCTTCATCCACATCTTCATTGATGACAACATTGTCAAATCTGATTCTGGCTAAAGCTTGTGATAATCTTAATATACCCAATAAAGTTCTTGGAGTGATATGTTGGAATTTCTTAATGGATCCTTCATTTCTATGAGATTCTTTTCTTAAGTTGATATAACTTTGAACGACATAATCACCCACTTCTTTTGGTACCACTGGTCTATAAGTTCTGGCAATTGAGATATATTGTCTGATCACTGAAGCATCTAATGGGTCGAATGAAATTTCTGGTTGCTTGTTGTGCATATGAACATAAGTAACATGACTAGCTAATTTTTCATCTGATTCTCTTGATGGTTGATCTAACATTAAGTACATGATATCAAATCTTGATAATAAAGCTGCAGGTAAATTGATATTTTCGTGTGGCGATAATCTTGGATTATATCTACCATATAAAGGATTGGCAGCTGCTAAAATTGAGGTTCTGGCATTTAAAGTGGTATTGATACCAGCTTTGGAGATAGAAATGGTTTGTTGTTCCATAACTTCATGAATAGCAGTTCTATCACTTTCATCCATCTTATCGAATTCATCAATACAACAGATACCATTATCAGCTAATACAAGGGCACCTCCTTCCAAAACCATTTCATCAGTGATTGTATCTCTCATGACAGCAGCTGTTAAACCTACCCCTGATGAACCTCTACCAGTAGTATAAATAGAACGAGGAGCAATCTTTCCAATGGCTTTCAACAATTGTGATTTAGCTACCCCTGGATCACCCATAAGACAAACATTGATATCACCTCTGATTTTTAAACCATCTCCAATTTCTTTAGAAACACCCCCACATAATAATAACAATAAAATTTTCTTGACATCCAAATGACCAAAGATTTCAGGTGCAATGGATTTGGCTAATTTATTATAGATATCACCTTCATTGAACAAATTTCTGATCTTGTTTTCAATTTCAGGAGTTATTTCCAAATTTTCATATTGTTTTTTATGTTGATGGATGTGTTGGGATTCTAAATAAGTTTCAGTTAATAAACCAGCTTTCAAAGCTCTAAATCCAGTATATGGGGATGGCATGAAAATACCAGAAATATCAGCAACATCACCAGGATTTAAGGATCTAACTAAATCTCCATTTACGTGAATTGTTAAAGAACGTGGAATGTGACCAACAGGAACTTGATTAGCCATTTCTTGAATCTTAACTTCTTGGAATGAAGAGAATTTGGAAGCTCTGGTACTCATGAATAATTGACCTTTCAAATTATCAGTCTTACAAACTGATGAGGTACATTCAGATAACGGAGTAAAAATCTTAGAATTAACTTCTTGGAAGATTTCGTAACCACATTTATCACAAGTATAGGCATTAACCAATACTGATGGTTTAACATCAGAAACTCTAGTTACAATACCTCTGACCGTGATGAATTTACCAACATGACCACCTTTAATTTCTCTAACCGATAAAGGTTTATTGTTGATTAAAGGTTTGAAGTATAAGTGATAACGTCTAGTCAATTTGGCTGGGAATAAATCTTCATTTAATTCTTGTTGTAAACCTTCATTATCACCATTTGCGTTAAAATTATTAGACCCTTGAGAGAATCCATCTCTTAAGGCATTGATTTGTTCAGTATTTTCTTGTAAAGTTCTTTGATTTTTTAAATTCCTTTGATGTAAGATAACATCCAAGACATCATCCTTGTAAGAAATATCCTTGGTTGGAGGTGGCATAATCTTATCTATTATATCACTGAACATTTCAATATATCTATGAGTATTATTTAAAACTTGATCGACTAATTTACCTCTGAATTGGGTTTGACTTGTACCAATCATTTGTTGATTAGTTTCATAGTTCTTCAAGTCATTCAAGTCAATGTAAATTGTTGAAACATCCCTGTTGGAAATTTTTTGTAAAATTGACATATATTTCAATCCTAAGAAACGATTTTCTTCTTCAGTGATTTCCATATCAGTTTCTTCTGATGACTTGAAATGCTTGATGAAATCTTCTAAACCATCCTTGATATCTTGGTAATTGATATCCAATTGAATGGTAGGTAATACCGTGGAAGTTGTGGAAGACATTGATAATTTCTAAAAAGTTCGCTTCTTCCTAAGGTGAATAAAAAAAATTAATTTTTCAGAGACGCGACTTCCCTTATCGGGCGCGTTCCAGTAGAAAATGTCTAAAGGTTTAGTATATTAAAGTCTATAAGATACCAGAGAACCTATCATTTGAAACTAATGATTGGACACTAAATGAATACTAAATAGGAGAATGCCAAAGAAAAGAAAAGAAACATCAGCTCCTTAATACCAAACCCTATCCTAAATGACCACTACTCATACTAGGAACAACAGAATGACTATCAATAGTCATATTATCTAAAAGACTCTCATCGATACAATCTTTGATGATACCATCCCAATCACTGGAAATGACGAAATATAATTGGGACATACTCAAAATAAATAATGCAATTAACATACCCATCCATAAACCAAGTAATTTCAAATCTCCTGCAAAAGCCAAGTAGAAAGCTAATGGTAAAGCAAGAAGATAGTAACTGATTAAATTCAACCATCCACCAATCTTTTGTCTACCTTGACCTCTCAAAATACCAGCCGTAAGACATGCTAAGGCATCATTAAGTTGATAGACGGCACCTACAATTAATACTTTACTGGCTAATTTGATGACTTGGTTATCAGATGAGTATAAGGATGCAAACAACCCTCTACATGTGAATAAAACAACACCATTAATACTACCAACAACCAAGGATAATAATATAGTTGCATTGGATGAGATTTTTGCTGCTTTCTTAGATGCTGATCCAATAAACCAGGCAATTCTTGTGGAAGCAGCGATAGACATAGCGAAAGGAATTTGATAAAAGATAACACAAGTGGTTGAAACAATAGATTGAGCAGCTAAAGTGTCAGTTCCGAATTGTGATGCAGTAAAAGTGATGATTTCGAAAGCTAACCATTCAGCTTCAACCATCAAAACCCCTGGAATTGACAAATTGATCATTCTTTGCCAATGTTTGAAGTATTTCATATCAAAAATACCAAATTTAGGCCAACATTGATAACCATTAACGAAGTAAATATATCCATATAACATAATGCACATGATCCAATTAGTGATAACAACTGATAATGGAGCACCAACAAAACCCATTCCAATTCTCTTATCCCAAACCAAAGTATAATTTAAGATGATATTGATTGGGGCACAAATAGTCAAAACATAAGTTGATGCATGAAATACTCCTTGACTTTGCAAGTAATGTTTAGCATTTTCAAATAAGATAAATCCTGGTAAACCCATGCATAAAATCTTCAAATAAGTAGAAGCTAAATGACAAATTTTCAATTGGTCTTCACCAATCAAGAAAACCAAAATGTCATTACTCAAAAAGAACCAAAGAACAAAGATTGGAACAAATAACATTAATAATAAATAGTTACATCTCATGAAATGCATTCCCACCATATTGTAATCTTTTCTACCAAAACTTTGAGCACACAAAGTATCAAGACAAGTACTGATACCTTGAATAATGGCATAACCAGAAATGTTGGCGGTCATAGATGATAAACTTACGGCTGCTAATTCTTCCGAACCTAATCTACCAACTGAGAATACAGAAGCAACAGTCAAGGAATATTGTAAAAGGAATGTTATAGATAAAGGAATGGAGTAACTAAGAAGAACTTTGAACTCAGTCTTATAATCAGTTTCAGGTTCTTGGGGTAAATTAGAATTTGATATAACAGCACTGAGATCTAATGAATTGGTAGACTTCCAAGGAGCCAAACCTAAACCTTCACTTCCACGTCTACTTCTTGGGGCTCCAACACCTCCATAATTACCAAAAGGACTATTCAAATGTGAATGGGAAGTCGAATGAGTCAAAGGATTAAATGATGAAGGGGGTGGAATGTGATCAGTACCAACAGATGCAATGGACAAACGACGTTGTTGAATGATGGATATGATTTCTGACTCATCAATTTCTTCTTGGTTTAAAAATGGAGTGTTTTCATCGGGAACTCTACTCATAATTGCTATGAACCTAAATTCTAGAGATACTTTCTAGATAATTTTGGTTTGCGAATTTACTCTATTTCGCGTCCCCAAACCCGTTTAGTACTGATTATTCCGCCTTCAGTGTAGTTACCAGAATGTTTTGGAAATAGAGATGAAACTATTGGGGAAACACCATTGTTTTTACAAACGTTACAAAAGTGGTCACAAAAAGTGGAGAAAGTTTATGAATATATATTAAAATTTACCGTTTAATAAATTTTTGATCATATCTCTACCGGTATAATAGACAGTTCTACCGAAAGTTTCGAAATCTAAAGTACTTGAGACAACTTCAACAAAACCGAATGGTAACATAGCTGGAATCCAACCTTGAGCCAATTCTAAAGCATAAGAACCTTCATCCATGGAGAATTGTTTAACTTGACCTCTCTCCAAATGATGTTGATCTCCTGGTAAGTAGACTGAAGCTTCCAATTGGTTGTCAAAGTAACCTTTTTCATTTCCTGTTAAGATGGTGAAATAGTCATCAGCAAAATGAACACCAGTATGACCATTCAAACCAATAGCAGTACCAAAAATAATCAAATATTCAGAGATGGAGGCATGTAAAATAAACATGGTACCCATTGATCCACCAGCATTATTGAAAACCCATTCATTATAGTTCATTTCATTGATGATATCCTTACCATACTTATCTTGTAATTTTGGAACTAAAGTATCAATGATTAAAGTAATGTTACCACTTGTTTCTTCGGCCAAAGTTTCTTGAACGATCTCTTGTAAAACTTTGGCATCAAAAACGTAATTTTTTGGCAACCAAGTGCTGTATAACAGACTTAAGATTGAATAAAATAAAGCAAAGAATGCACCAACGTATAATAACTTCATGTTTTGGAATTTATAATTGAAGGAAAGAGTGACAAATTATATGAAAATTTCTATACGATTATACGACTAAACGATGGGTTCGCGATATAAATGCGATCTGATTCCAAAGGTACCCTTGGTTATCGTATTTCCAATGGAGTCAATTTCAGGGTTTGAACCAACGGGGAACTTGGATGATTGGGGTTGAATTGTGTTTGTTTTGGAGATGACTTAAACTAGATAACTAATACTGCAATTGTTTTGTGAATATCTTCACACCATCTTTTGCAGCCATTTCAGACACCCTAATGAGTACGGAATTGGGATGCCAAGAATGGCCCTAGAGTCGGGTTTTTATTACTCTATAGAGAAATCGGAATTGTATACGACAGATTTCTCGAATAAGCGGTTTACAAGTGTCGTCGATTACGTGATCTATTATACATTTTTCTTTCTCCTATTTATAGTCTTTTCTCGTCCAATGGGAATGCGGTGGCCCACCAGGTCCTCAAAGTTGGCATACAGGTGTAACAAGACCTTGAGTCCAGTGGTAGCTTCCTAAAATGACTAAAACAATACAAAAACTGATAACAACCGAGATACTCCCATACTTGTATTTCATGCTTACGGGAAGTTTGAACATCTCCGCTACGAACGTGCTGATGGTTGTTAGGCCACCACAAAACCCATCGCCCGCACCTATCAATGCTTGACAACCAATTACAGTGTTGATGATTCTAGTAGTATTATTATGTGACATGGAAAGTAACGTGAAAACGGCAAGCATTGTAGTACCGAATATGTTGGCGATGAATGTTCCCACAGGGAAAGGTCTATTATTCAATTTGGCCAAGTAGTAACGCATTAAAGCCCCGAAAGGTGCAAATAAACAACTGAACATCCATTCTCTCCATGGCACATATGTACCTAAGAGTACCACTGTGGCGACGAATAGAAGTAATCCCATCAATGCACTTAGATATGTCACATATTGGGGTGTGTTCAACTTGAATTGCAGGTGGACTCCCAAATGATAACCAAAAATAGAAACTCCAAGTTGACTTATTATCACTGTAATAACCTGTAAGACTCCATATCCTACAGTAGGGTAGCTCAAATGGTTGTAATTAGCACCCAATTCAAATGACTCTAGTATAAGCGACAGAAATGACGATAAGGTACCACAAAACCCCGTTGTTATACCTACAAAGAACAGCCCTTTATTGAACTTTTGGACTGATGCAATGACAAAACAAGCGACGAAATTCGCCCAAACAACACCTCCTAGGTATGTGCCATCAAAACTTGTTAGCTCTATTAGACCCTTCCTCGCGAGGGCTCCCCATATCGCACCATGTACGATATTTAGATGTATTAGGATTTCTTCCTTCATGTTTATGATGAGTGCGGGTTATGCCAGTAACAGGGCTTTTTAAGTGTTTGACTCATCTCGTCTAATATGACTTCAGCCACAAAGTGGGAAATACATACGTTAGCATGTGACTGAACTATGCAGCTCCATCAACCGAAAACTTGAATTATGTTCCAAATAACAAAACTTTAGTAAAAATAAGCAGGGATTGCAAAATTCGGTTGCAAAACCTACTTGGCAAGAATATCACGTGATGTAAAAGTTTGTAGGAAGACTTTTTTCAACTGTTCAATTCGAAAAGTCCGTTCATCGACCAAAAAGAACCAGCTTACAACAAGGGGAGCCTTCTAATCGCTCTGGGATGGAACATATCTCAAGATTCAACTCCATCGTCTATTACCCAATTTGGCAAACGAATGCGAGACTAGGATAAGAAATCAAGATTTCATTAGATTTTATTTTATTCGAGAACAAATGGTTAAAGTTTTAGTTACAGGAGCTAGTGGATTTGTTGCAACCCACTTAGTTCAATTACTTGATAAGAAAGGCTATGACATTGTAGGAACCGTCCGTTCAAAAGAAAAAGGTGAAAAGTTAAAGAGCAAATTCTCCAACTTTGAATATGAGATTGTTGGCGATATGACAATTGAAGGAGCTTTCGATGATGTTTTGAAGAAATATCAATTCGAGTACTTATTTCATACTGCTTCCCCATTCTTTTATGATACCACTGAACCAGAAAAAGATTTAATCATTCCAGCTATCAAAGGGACTGAAAATATTTTGGCCAGTGTTGAAAAATATGGTACATCTATCAAGAAAGTTGTCTTAACTTCAAGTGATGCTGCTGTTTATTCTGCTGAAGATGAACAAAACAACAAATTATCTTTTGATGAAAGTAGCTGGAATAATATTAGTTACGAAGATGCTTGTAAAGATTCGGTTTATGCTTATTATGGAGCCAAATCATTTGCTGAAAAATATGCTTGGGAATTTTTAAAGACTCATGATGTGAAGTTCCAAATGACTGCTGTCAACCCAGTTTATATCTTCGGACCTCAAGTGTTTGAAGAAGATGCCAAAGGTAAATTAAACACTTCGAATCAATTAATCGGGGATTTATTGAACTTAACTCCAGAAGAAATGGAAAAATTCGATAATTTGAAAGGTGGTTATGTTGACGTTAGGGATATTGCTAAAGCTCATTTAATGGCAGTTGAAAATGAAGATTGTGCTGGTAAAAGATTATTCTGCTATGGAGGCAAATTCAGCAATCAAATGTTATTAGATATTGTCAACAAAAATTTTCCTCAATTGAAATTACCTATTGGAACTGCTGGTAGTGGACCAGAGGACATTAAAGAATTATGTCAAACTAGTAATGATGCCACTAAGAAGTTATTAGGTTTTGAATTCAATGACATTGAAAAAATTGTGGTTGATGTAGTAGATCAGATTTTGAAATCCAAATTATAGAACATCAGGAACTCCACAAATCAGTGGCCAGGGGCCCCGTTTTGACTTTTAAGCTTTAAACAAAAATAAATAAAATTCAGATCGTTCCATCCTCTTAAAATAACTGTGAGGCGCTAGCGTTAGACGATTTCTTCATTCAATTGATAACATATGAAATTGTTTATGTATCGGGTGTTAAATATAAGGTTTTTAGAAATATTGTCTCTCATGTCGTGGATTAATTCGCTATTCTGACCAATAGATGGCAATCTCAAAAGGGATGTGGGGTTATGCAGGTTGGAAAAACTATTTTCCCCCCAAAAAAAGGAGACAAATATTGGAGTAGAAGAAAAAATATTGTTATTCAATGGACATGTATACTATCAAGTACGTTACCCCATAGCTAGCAACATCCTGTAATGTGGCATTTATGTCATTCGGCCTTCAACGAAACTTTGATTTATAAAATTTTTTGAGTGATTCGTTGACGAACATGAGCTCGGAAAAATGTGACCTGTTGAACGGCTCACATCCATTTGTCCATAAATTATGGGGTGGGAGTCATAAACAGAGTAAAGTTTAGAATAGAGTTATTACTATCATTGACGACTTTATAAGATAAAATACGTCAATAGTTTTTCCCACAAGAAAAAAAAAAATTTGAATTTCTTTTTCGGGTAGTCCCAACAGATTCAGATTAACAGAATCTCTTAACTTTCGAATAGATAGATTCAAATGGTCAGATCTTAGTTAACAAACACTATGATGACCTTGAACAATGTATAGGTCATTTTTCTCTTCAGCCTTCAGATCACAAAGGCTAACGCCTCGCTTGGATAAACAGTGCAGTGGACAATTTTTCCACTTTTGAATACGGTGCCTTTCGATAATTTTTTTTGGGGTCAGTGGGGTACATATGTATTGGAAAATTTTTCCAGACATCGATTATTCCAGCAAGAAGAAAATTTGTCGTCAAACTGGCGATCCCCGGCAATCAATAATGGATTTCCTGAAGTTAACTATTGCTTTGAGTATTAGTTCAGTACACTTGACTGTTAAATGACTTCCTCTTCGTTCTGTTTTTACTTCTAAGTTATGAACTCCCAACATCGTAAAAAGGACAGGCAACTATTCACCATGACCACCGTTCAAAATTTCCCGTGTAATTGAAATGTAGTCACGACTTTGTAATGATATCTATTGTTATTGGCCAATTTTTTCAAGGAGGAATGTTTTTTTTTACCTTTTCGGAACATCCTGTCGACGCAGGCGAAAATGTCGCTCGGATTTTTATTTTTCCCTCAGATATACTCCACACGGAGATTTTATTGTTGTGCTGGGGAGTGGTGCAGGTAAGGAGATAACGTGGAATTATGATTTTCCCATTCATCTGGGGATATTTTAAAATCTATAAATTGGACGTTAATTTCCTCTTTTTTTTATAATTATCAAGTTATTTTTTCATTCATCCGATTATAAGAAAAGTATAATAAGAAAATGACTTTAAGAGACAACGCTTTAGTTAAAAAGTATATTAACATTGATGCCAAAGGATCTGGATCCTCTAAAATGGGTATCCTCGTGGGTAGTTTTGCTGCCTTCGCTGGTATTCTTTATGGGTATGATACTGGTATTATTTCTGGTGTTTTAGGTATGGATTATGTCACCGGTCTTTTCCCTGCTGATAAAACTGCTTTCACTTCAAGTGAAAAATCATTGATTGTTTCCATTTTATCTGTTGGTACTTTCTTCGGTGCCTTACTTGCACCAATTTGTTCAGATAGATTTGGTAGAAAATGGACTATTATTTTCTCCTCATTACTTATTTTCAATGTTGGGGTTGTTTTACAAACCATTTCAACTTCTATTCCATTGTTATGTGCTGGTAGAGCTGTTGCCGGTTTTGGTCTTGGTGTTATTTCTTCAAATGTTCCATTATATCAATCAGAAACTTTACCTAAATGGATTAGAGGTGCTATTGTTTCATGTTATCAATGGGCTATTACTATTGGTTTATTCTTAGCTTCTGTTGTTAACAACGGTACTAAACACAGAAATGATAGTGGATCTTACAGAATTCCTATTGCTATTCAAATTCTTTGGGCTTTAATCTTAGGTATCGGTTTATTCTTCTTACCTGAATCACCAAGATTCTACATTACCAAAGATAAATTCGATGATGCCAAAAAATCTTTATCCATCTTAAGAGGATTACCAGAAGATCACCCAGAATTAATTGCTGAATTTGATGAAATCAAAGCTAACTATGATTATGAAAAATCTGTTACTCAATCTGGATGGTTAGCTGTCTTCTCCACTAAGAACAAACAATTAAAGAGATTAATAACCGGTGTAGGTTTACAAGCTTTCCAACAATTGACTGGTGTTAACTTCATTTTCTACTATGGTACTACATTCTTCCAAAGTTCAGGTATTTCAAACGAATTCTTAATTTCTTTAGCTACTAACATTGTTAACGTTGGTTCCACTATTCCAGGTATTTTCTTAATTGAAATCATTGGTAGAAGAAAATTATTATTAGGAGGTGCTGTTGTTATGTCACTCAGTCAGTTCGTTATTGCTATCACTGGTGTTGCTACTACTTCCGATGCTGCCAATAAAGTCTTGGTTGCCTTCTCATGTATTTTCATTTCCGCTTTTGCTGCTTCATGGGGTCCAGCTTGTTGGGCCATTGTTGGTGAAATCTTCCCATTAACCACTAGAGCCAAATCTATCGCCATTTCAGCTTCTTCGAATTGGTTATGGAACTGGGCTATTGCTTATGCTACTCCATACTTAGTTGATTCTGGTCCAGGTAATGCCAACTTAGGATTAAAAGTTTTCTTCCTTTGGGGAGGTTGTAACTTCTTATGTTTCTTCTTCACCTACTTCATGGTTTACGAAACTAAAGGTTTAAGTTTGGAACAAGTTGACGAATTATATGAAAATGTCACCAACGCATGGCAATCACCTAAATATGTTCCATCTCAATTAAGATTCCAAGATACTTTAGAAAACAAAGCTGAAACTGAAAACATTGATGATGTTATGATGAAAACCGATCAATCAAGAGAAGAATCAGTTTAAATAATTTAGATTAGACGAGTGTACGATTTTGTATTTATTCCTATCTCTTTTCAACTAACCAAGGCTCTTGATCTTTTCAACTTTTCGAAATGAGTTTCCCAGCCCTGAGTAGAAAATAACTCTTCTGATTAATCCTGGCAGTTTTATATATTCGTGGAAACAGAGTCGCTATAGCTGAATAAGAACTTTTAATATTTCTATAAATAATCTATATACATTACCAACCAAAACTTTCTGTGTGTAAAAATATTTCTTCAATGTGATCATTAACAACCAAAGATTGTAACGAAGAAACGGCATTACAAACTTCGAATTTCATGGAATTACTACCTGATGAAACAACCATATTCCTTCTAGCCAAAGAATATTTCATTCCAATCAATAATTCTGAAACCTGAGGTTTGAAATGATGAACGCTCAATCCTTCATAACTTGAAGAACTGACCTTCTCTTCCAAAGTTTCCTTTTCATCGTCAATAATACTATTTTCTTCATGTGTAACATAAACGTTGATATTGACGAAATCAGTAATACTTTGAATCAATTCACTTTTGACCCAATCTATATCATGAGAATATCTGACAATCCATATAAACTCAATTCTTCTGGTGGTTTTGTTTTCACCTGATTTAATTTTTTCTACCAAGTCTAATAAGAAAGGTAAAGTTGCCGTTATACCAGAACCAGTGGCAATTAAGATAACTTTTTCGAAAGAATTGTGATCTCTAGAACATCCTCCATATGGACCATCGATATAGACATCTTTATCAACAACATTACTGGTATTATTTTCGATTTCTTGATATAAAGTACCAGTTAAACCTCTTTTTGGAACAACTATGAATTTGACTTCATCACCATCTTCTTTTGGTAAATTAACAATTGAGAATGGATGATTATCAAGAATCTTTGATTTGAATCTGATGAATGCATGTTGTCCTGGTCTCCAAACAATCCCTTTGTTATTGGGAATATCGATTTCGAAAGATTTAGAACCTGGTAATTTATACAATTTAGCCTTTCTGGATCTCATGAAAAGGGCATTTGGACGGAAACATGTTTTAACTAAAAGACGGTAGAATAATTGACCAAACCAGAAGGCTAAAGCGGCCCACATATAATTTTCAGTATCCAACATATCCCAAATATGCCAGAATAATGTGGCAAAGTATCCAACTCCTAAAATCCAATGAACATGCCAGAAAATTTCATAAAACCATTTTCTAACAAATGATTTAGATAATGTACAAAGTAAAATCAAACATACTAATGGTGGGATACCTGAATACATAGAAAATCCTTTAAAGTCTTCAGCTAAATTTTTATAACCACCTTCAACTAAATCTTGATAAATGAAAGGAATGGTGTGAATCAAAGATAAAGTCAAGGCAGCTACACCAGCATATTGATGTAAATAATTTAATTTTTCATAACTTATACCTGTCAACAAAGTAATGAAATTGGTTTTACCACCAAGAATATAAATAAATGGAGTTAAAGCAGTTGCCATAATCCCAGCTCTAACAGCTAATGGAGGACTACCAAATCCTCTACAACCTCTATACCAAAAATGAGGAAGAAATACCCATAAAAGTAAATATAATGAAGTTGATATTAAAAACAATGAATTCCCACCTGATGGAGGTAACGATGTGAAATGACTGATCTTTGCTGGAAGATTCTTATAACCAAAAAGTCTGGAATATCCTGAAATCAGGTTAGCAAATTGATCTAAAATAGTAGTAGATCCATTATTTCTGTATCTCAGATCTCTCCATCTATAATAACCATTCTTTAAACCTGCCACGATTATGAAAGCACATCCATAATATAATGTGTAATATCCATAATATACTTGAGATGCCCAAGGAATGGTGGCTTGAGATTTCATATATTCATCCATATAAGCATCAAGATTAGCATCAGCAAGGCAATCCATGCCTTTGAAACTTACTGGCATATTGAGGTTTGATGTGTGGGGTGGGAATAATCAATAAATATAATCAATCAATGGCCAGATATTTTCTATTTATGTTTTTTACACATCATTTCAGCCTTTCCTAATTGGTTTAGGTTAAATGCTCACTTGACCAAAACAGAGGATTTTTTTGCTCGTATTTTTGTGCAGTACACGAGACGAGAGATATAAGGTACCTAAGATGGAAGGAGAGATTTGGGAGAGATTTGGCCGGAGGATCATGGGGTGTTATTGGTGGGTGAGAAAATATATGCCGGAGGAGTTGAAGAGGTAGACCTGGTTGAATAGGGGAAAGAGGATAGTTGAATTATGGTCGTGAGATATAAAAGACTGCTTTTTATTAGGTTGATCATATCTGTACCCCAAAGATTGTGGGATCCCAGATATGACATTATGACGGATATTAATTGGTCCTTACCTTTCTTCGGGTGAATTAGGGGGGCAAGTTAAGAGAATTTCATGAGATTCTTCAGTCTAATTCCAACCAGAGTCAAATAACATCGTATGTGGTATTATATTACATAAACCTTTCATCTTCTATGGAGTAAAGGAACTTAATAAGTGACTGGATTTCAAAATTGTCGGCGAAATCTTCATCGAAGAGACTTCTTTTAGTATTAGGACCGATGGCATCGTCTTTAATATTTTTAATGGCAGCTTTGATAAGATCTATGTATTCTCCAAAAGCTCCAGGATAGAAAAGATTGGTTAATCTCTTGGTTTTCTTACATCCTTGAACTAATTCTTCACCATCAAATACTTTCTTAATCCATCTAAGTGCTGCACCTGAACCTTCAATAACTTCTAAAATATGACCCGTGGAAGAAGCTGTTGCAAACTCAAAGGAATCCATACCATCTCCATCACACCAGACTTCATAAACTCTTTGTGAATCCTTGTAAGGAACAATTTCATCTTTTTCACCATGGTAGACAAACATAGGTATTTCTGGCTTGACATCTTCGGTTGCATTAATACCTAAAGTATTCTGTAAAAGTATTTCTTGAATGACAGGTGCTTTAAGAATGTCCCAACCATTCTTGGCGTATCTGTTCTCTCCAGCAAAGATATCATCAAAAGCATAGTTTAAGATGGAATCAGCTAAACATAATTCATAAGCTTTTTCAAAACTTTTGGTTTTGTTAGGCAAAATTTGCTCTTCTACAAATGATCTTAACTCAGGATATTGATTAGTTAATCCAGCAATGGCACTAGGAGTTAAACCGACGAAAATTGAACCATCAATAATTTCTGCAACAGCAGTGATATTGGTGACCCAGCCACCAATGGCACAACCTTTCAAGTTACTAGTTAAATCTTCTGCATAAGTTGGTGCAAGACCAGCTGCCCAACCACTAGCGATAGTACCTCCTGAATAACCCCACATAACAACCTCAGCATCAGGTGATATATTGGTGACATTACCTGTCAGAAGAGTTGCTCTAATTGAATTCAATGTTGCCAAACCTGAAGTTGGTCCTACTGTGAATGTACTTTTAGTAGTTTCATAATCTGGTGCAACAACATAATAACCTTGATCTAAAGCAGTCTGAATTAAGAACATTTCTAATTTGGCAACTATAGTACTAATACCACCCCCAACAAATGAGTAAGAAGGTGCACAATTACCAAAGGCAGAATCTTCAGCAACTTGGTATGATACTAAACGTGAACTATTAGCATTATATGGTTCAAAAATTGTAGAAACCACAAGTGAAGCATTACCTAAAACATCTTCCGACTTTACCAATACTTGCCAAACATTTGATACATTGACAGGGAAATAAAGACTTCTGATTTGATAGGGAGCTATTCTCATTTTCAAAATAGTACCAGGTTCTTCATCCTCGTAATTATCAGGGGGTTGATAAAAGGAATCTTCATCAGGTGTCAAGACCTTTATAGGTGATGCAAAAATGATACCAAACAAAAAGAACCAGAATAATTTCATATTATGTATTTACTTAAACAACGGATATCCTCCCTTTTAAATATATTTGGAGTTTTAAGTATTGCAGCATGAATATGAATATATCAATAGAGTAGGTTTCCAACTATAGAGGGTTCGGGTCTCAAAATTTCCTAAAAGGGTAAGAAGTGAAATATCTTTTTGCAACAAAAATTTGGAGACCGAAACAATGTGACTTGCCATAACAGGGATGACGATTAGGTAATACAGTAGATATGTCAACAGTTAGAGTCCTTCTATAGTGAGAGTAGCTCATAATTCAAGAAAAGAATATTTATTTGATTTAGGCTTATAGTGAGAAGTGGTTCATAGCAAAAATGCGTACTTTATGGAAAGCACCAAATTTCAGAAACCTCTTTCATTGACTTTCTACGATAATGGAGTTGACATCCGAGTTGACGTAAATATTAAAGTTGACCGAATAGAGTCTTAATTTAGTACCGAAAAGTTAAATAAAGTTTCAAGTTTCAGGGGACAGACCATGGCTGCGAAAGTTTGATAGGTTCTTTGACACATGAAGAATCGTCTTGGCTTAGGAAGAATCATAGGGCTCAAGAATAACGTCAAAACTAAGGCTAAGACAAAAGCCTTGAAAAGGATTCTCTTGGTTTGCGTTTTCCAATTGAGCCTTTTATGGTAAGTATATTACCCAATTAAAAAATTACCTAATTAGGATAAGGGGAAATCGGTTGATTCTGACTATTCAGGAACGCATTAAGGTAGCGAAGGTACCTAAAAGTATCATATGATCCAAGAACCGTTACCTCGGATTACCCAGGTTTAAAATTGGGGAGAAGTACATCTTTTTCGGGGTATTCACCGAAGTTTAACCATTTTAAGGTTTTCTAAGATTAGAGAATGTGAAAACAGAGTTTACCATTAATCATTAATTATACTACAATGAAACATCAGATCGTAACTGTTTCAACATGGTTTGAGTTCTCATCAAGGTACTATCAGAATGAAGGGATGCACCACTAAAATTACCTCCTTTACGTTTTGTTAATCTTCTTTTTAAATCATTAATACTATCATATTCTTTTTCACTATCTTTTTCATTGACTGAGAGTTGTGATCCATTAGATGACTCACTAGGGAATAAAACATTCAAAGGTTGATCTAAAGATGTGGATGAATAGAATGACAAAGCCTTTTTCCTTCTAATAGAAGAACTTGATGATTTATGAGATGGGGCACTCGATTTCAATTTTTCAAGTAATGAATCCATTAAACTTTCCTTGTCACTATTTTCACTATCATCATTCCCACCAGCTTCAGATTCCTCTGCATCTTCACTTTCAGCTCTAGCTTCAGAATCTTCTTTGAGTTTCTGTTCCTTATTGGCTTTGGAAGTTTCTGCAACTTTCTTTCTTGCATCTACAATGTTTTGTTCTTCTTCTTTCTGGATGTTTTCGATGTGAGCTCTCTTGAACTCGGTTATAAAATGGGAAAATTTGATAAAGAATGAGTTTCTACTATGAGGATCTTTGGTATTTTCACCAAAATATACCATCAAACTATTATGTTCTTCAATGGTTTTCTTTAAATGATTCTTCAAAATCGAGAGTTTGATCTTAGCATTTTCCATTGGGGATTTTACCTTATTGACGATCTCATCATCAGGATGAAATACTGACAGATCACTCAAATTACCTCTTTCTAGAGAACTGACCACTCCATTAATTTGTCTTTCAAATTCTCCACAATCAGTTTCAATTTGTTCAATGGAAACGTTCTGTAAATGAGTCAATGAATTCAACTCGTCTACGAACGAACCATATTCGGGGAATGTGTTCCTGATTATCTTTTCAATATAATGCAAGAAATGCATTGAGTTACTCTCGTCTTTCATGAACTTAAGTCTTTGTAAAGTATCTAATTTGAACCCCAAAGCTCTCTTAGAATCTTCATTCATGAAATTTCCCACCGACCTAATAATACCTAAAACATTCTTCAAGGATTCCGAATTTCTGATGCTCTGATTGGCTTCATCTATAGACCGGAGCTTTCTTGATAAATCTAGATAATTCTGAGTATAAGTGTGGACTAATAGCAAAGCTCTAGATCTAGATTTCCAATAATGCCTTAGGTTGAAACATAGCTCAAGATACACTCTATCAGGTCTTTCGAGATCACTGGGGTCTTTCTTAGGTTTCAGATTCTCATCACTAACATCTCTCAGGAAAGGTTTGAAGTTTCTGATCAAATTTTCATTCATCTCAGATAATGTATCATTATTGAAGAATTCTAATACTGTCACATTATCCATGATTTCCTTATCACAGATAATAACCTTATGAATCAACTCCTCAACTTCTAGAGACCCGAACATATGAAGATTGATACCAAACTGTTGAGCCAAATCCCTGGGTAAAAGAGAAACTTTCTTAGCTGGAGAATCAACAAAGTCTTTTCTTTTCTTGATGACTGAAGATTTGGCAACGAATTTCTTTTCAACTTCATCAAGAATACCCTTCTCTTGAAGCTGTTCAGACAATTTGGAATGCTCGATGTCGGGCCAGAAAGTTTGGTCAATGTCATCGATTTTATCCCAGTGCATTTGTTTCAACTTAGACTTAGGTTTGATGCTAGGAATGGTGAACTTTGGTTCTATGAACAGATTATCCGGGGTGTTTGTTTCGGATCTTAAGAAATCCGTGCTGGTATTTGCAGGCGTTGGAGTTCCCGGCAAACTAGATGGGAGTGGTGGTGGGGGTGGAGGAGTTCCTGGTTTACCTAATACTGGCAATGGTGGAGGAGGGGGAGGT